TCTAAGTAAATTTAGTTTTTCATTTTACAATATCCATAACATTGAAAAATAATCCTATTCAGAGAGTTCAGGTGTTTCAAAAGAAGAAAAGGTGGTTTTCAGTAAGATATAATCACATTTTGCTGTATTTTTTACATGTCTTGTGATGTGTTTTGATACTGTGTTGTAGGATGTCGTGTACAGGAGATAGGAAGGTCAGATATTGTATCCATCGGATACCTTATTTTGTGTGAAGGTGTTATCCGACAATATGGCCGATTAAGGGTAAAAGAAGATGTTAGCCATAAAGTTGATCAATATTGAACGCCTAAAATGCCACTCAAGTGACTGAGTATTGTTTTACGCCGCCTTTAGCAATATTCCAGCAATATCACAGAGGAAGACACCAGAAATGGGCTTCACACATGTACCCATGTGGGGAATCGAACCCAGGTCTTCGCTGTGATGAGCAGACGCATTAACCACTGGGCTACCCCACCGCCCTAAAATGCCACTCAAAGAAGCTATGATGTTTTGTTTGCGTTTTATTTATCTGCAAGCCTCAGTCAAACCTTTGTGAGAGACCCAAGGTCTAAAACTGTCTAAAGACTTTAGGAAATAACGGTAAGCAAGCGTACATATTCGGACAGCAGTCCCTTTATCAACAATGGCCTCAACTAGTGCCACATCAATCATTGACAAAAAAAGTATAAAAAAATAAGATTGAGGTGTGATGTCGCAGTCGATGACCTGAACACCTGCACACCCTGCTTTTGTGGGGGTTTTGTTATGTAATCTTCTAGATAAACATGTATTTGCTCAGGGGTGGTTCACTTTAACCGGAACTATCTGTTACGGCATTGTCTTGATTTTGTCACAAGCGTGGGAGGCAGTATTTGGACTACATATGACTCACAGATGATACATCCGGGATTAACTATGATATTGTTAGGCCATGAGGATGGTTTTTATTTGCCAAGGTTAAAAATCACATACAAATTGGCTGTGGAAGTTACATGGTTTATTTGATGTGAAGGTTGTGTATAACCTATCAGGACCCAGGACTAGGAGGTGGGGTAGCCTAGTGGTTAAAGCGTTGGCTCGTCACGCCGAAGACCTGGGTTCGAATCCCCACATGAGTACAATGTGTGAAACCCATTTCTGGTGTCCTGGTGATATTGCTGGAATATTGCTAAAAGCGGCATAAAACTAAACTCACTCACTTGCAAAAAACAGTCTTAGTAGTAAGATGATTGTAGCTCCTATACTTTAACGCTTAGGCTTACGATAATCTTAGTGCTACAATTACTTTGTGCAAGTGGGCCAAGGAATGAATATTGGTGTTTACTCTATCAGAGGCTTTGCTCCCAGTATTGGCTGTTGGTAGTGGCCAACGACTATACTCCTCCATGCATAGTATTTTCTAATAGATATTAGCATATATGTTCCAGTACATAATACAGCTGAAGAGAAAAAATAATTAAAATGTAAACATATCTTTATTGTTGTTTATTATTATTAAGGTAATAAAGATTTTTCATTCCAAATTGACATTGTATGTACTATATCAGGTCTATCATTTGATTGTGAATAATGTTGCATGTTGATTCCCAGGCTGAAACTAAAGCGTTTCTCTAAAATAGCTAGGTGTGAAACCAACGGAGAACATAGAAATGTGCTGTATTGTATTGTATTCTAAAATTAACTAAGTTCACAAATTAAAACAAATGAATACAAAGGTATCCTATGGCAGTACAATAATGTGTGGCAGTACAAATTCATGGGACTATAATACAAGAGCAGGGATTATAGCAATGAAAACGAAGGTGTCCCCTGGTGTCCGCTGACATCATAATGCTACAAGCTGCATAAAACCCAACTAACTGTATCATATGTAGATGTCTCTTGTTGAAAACAAGTTAATCATTCCTGCCGGATACTGAATCCTATATTGCCGCTTGGCCTGCAGTGTATTGATGTTTTACTGTAATGTTATTCATTATTCTTGCATTCCCATACAAAATCCATGGCAGGTCCAGGCTTATGTTCTGTGTAAGGTGACATTGTAAGTTTTTTAAGCTTCACACAAAATATGTGTCAGAATTGAGGTAATATATTACAATGTCATATTTTATTATCTCCTTGAGACAGCAGCTACTCATATAGAAATCTCTTCTTTGATGTTGCATTTTTTCATGCTGAGTCGGCATATTTACAGAAGGAATTTGCAGATTCAAGGCTGTTGTGAGGATCATGTCCTGCTGATGCATATATCGGAGTAGATAATTAAATTTGATGTTTTTGTATGCTTGTTTAGACCTGTTTGGTATCTTGCTTCTGGTGATCACGTCAGTGGTCTAGTGGGTAGTGCCTCTGCTTGGAGAGTGAGAAATCTGTGGTTTGATTATACCACAAGATGGTACTTGTTGTTCCCCTGTCTTACAACGCAAGTATGGGTCACTGTAACAATGTTGCAAAATGAGAGCTATTTCAAAGGTTGATGTACAATTACTTTGTAAACAGTGCAAAATAACCTGCAGTACTTTTGCAAGTCAGGCTTGTGTCATTTCTGGTCAGGCTTTGAATCCCATATTTGATATTTGCCTCAATGACGTATTGTTTGTAGGTTTCACCTAATAAGTTCACATCTTTGATCTCAGTCCTGTAAAGATTTTATCTCACATTATGATCATATGGTAAATCCGATTTGTTTTACTTCTGACACATGTTAGTTCCAATCTCTGTCTGTATGTAATGTGATCCACAGTATGTCATGGTATGTCATGTTGGTCCTCAGTATGTCATTGTATGTCATATTGATCTTCAGTATGTTATGTATGTTGATCCTGTCTGTCATGTTGATCCTCAGTATGTTATGGTCTGTCATGGTATGTCATGTTGATCCTCATTTTGTTATGGTTTGTCACGGAATGTCATGTTGATCCTCAGTATGTTATGGTCTGTATTGCTATGTCATGTTGATCCTCAGTATGTTATGGTCTAATGGTATGTCATGTTGATCCTCAGTGTGTCATGGTATGTCATGTTGATGCTTACTACGTCACGTTGATCCTCAGTATGTCATGGTAGTCATGTTGATCCTCAGTATGTTTTGGTCTGTCATGGTATGTCATGTTGATCCTCAGTATGTTATGGTCTGACTTGGTATGTCATGTTGATCCTCAGTATGTTATGGTCTAATGGTATGTCATGTTGATCCTCAGTGTGTCATGGTATGTCATGTTGATCCTCAGTATGTTTTGGTCTGTCATGGTATGTCATGTTGATCCTCAGTATGTTATGGTCTGTCATGGTATGTCATGTTGATCCTCAGTATGTCATGTTGATCCTCAGTATGTTATGGTCTGTCTTGCTATGTCATGTTGATCCTCAGTATGTTATGGTCTGTAATGGTATGTCATGTTGATCCTCAGTGTGTCATGGTATGTCATGTTGATCCTCAGTATGTAGTGTCATGATTCATGTCATGTAAATTCCTCAAAGACGCAAAACAACAATTTACAGTCTTCTTTTCTTTCTTGCCAAGCATCTGTTCACAACTTTTTTCAAGTCACTGTCTGAAACTGACGATGCATTCAGGCTAATCATGAGAAGTCCGTTGCAATTTTGAACACTGAGTCTGTTTCTATGATCTGTCACAATCAGTTTCACTTTTGAGAACACTCTCTCAACTTCAGAAGTGGACAATCACAGTTGCATGAATGGACAGTAATTGAGCGATGTTTGGATTCAAGTTTTTCAAGTTGAGGCTTGAGTCTTCAAAATGTAAGTGGAGGGTGAACTGGTGTCAAAGAAGCTCCTTTACTTGACTCCACCTCAATCTGTGTTTGGTCGACATTAAGTCCATTTCTGCCCTTGGTGTTCCACTTAGAACATAATGAACAAAACATCATTCCCTTCTTTTTTGTCATCTTCTTGAGGTACCTCGACCAGGGGACGGCTTTGTTGCCACTTTGTGTCAAATGCAGTCTTGTGACCACCATCTTTCTTCTGTGTTGGAATAACTGACTCTGTCTCGAAATTGTGCCCTTTGAATTTTCACAGGAAACTACCTCTGACTCGTCGGTCTGAAAAAAAAAAATATACAAAGTTCATATACCATATTCAAAATATTCTTAGATATTAAATTTGCAATCATAATTATTAAAACAAAAATATCACACAATAATACACCTGAGCGTAGTATCTACTGTGGAGAGCCTACGACAAGGGTGTGGCTTCCCATTGTTTGAAATCGTCACAAAAATAGTTTTCGCCTTCAAGACTTACATTTTATGAAATCGACAGTAAACACTAAATTACCAAAAGTGAAGCTGTTATGCAAGCTGTATTAACTATTTTCATTTCCCAGGACAAAACAACAAAATAATTCAAGATCAATTTCAAATTGCCGATTGATTCAAAATGGCGGACATTTTCGAAGTTTCAGATTTTCACCTAAACAGCACAGTCACATGAATATCGGTCCCCAAAGCGTGCCAAAAACACTAGTATGTTTTGGTCTGTCATGGTATGTCATGTTGATCCTCAGTATGTTATGGTCTGACTTGGTATGTCATGTTGATCCTCAGTATGTTATGGTCTAATGGTATGTCATGTTGATCCTCAGTGTGTCATGGTATGTCATGTTGATCTTCAGTATGTTATGGTCTGTCATGGTATATCATGTTGATCCTCAGTATATCATGTTGATCCTCAGTATGTTTTGGTCTGTCATGGTATGTCATGTTGATCCTCAGTATGTTATGGTCTGTCATGGTATATCATGTTGATCCTCAGTATGTCACGGTATGTCATGTTGATGCTCAGTATGTCATGTTCATCCTCAGTATGTCATGATATGTCATGTTGATCCTCAGTATGTCATTGCATGGCATGTTGATTGATGGTGTGTCATGTGTCATGATACGTCATGTTGATCCACAATATATCATAATTCATCATGCTGATACTGGATGTGTTATGTGCCCTGATATATCATTCTGAGTCTTATTTTTCAGATTTACCAAATAGCATATGTGATAATGAAGGCTGCCAACTCTCCAAGACCAGGAAACTGGATCTTGGAACGGTCACTAGATGGCACCACCTACAAACCATGGCAGTACTTTGCGATGACTGGTCGTGAATGTCAGGAAGAATATGGCCTTGACCCCACATATGGAATACCGACATCATTATCAGACGATGAAGTAATATGTACGACACGCTACTCTCATCTCATTCCACTCGAAAATGGAGAGGTAAAGTTCCCTCAAATGTGGTGATTCTGGAACGGAAGTGTCACGCACTCAATCTATCCACCAATTAAATACTGTTTGCTACCTGCAATAGGTGTATGCTTAAGTCATTGTATTGTGAGCTTTTGCTATGGTTAATTCTGAATGCTTACATGACCTTCAATTTAAATGACTACAAGGAAAGAAGAATAAAAGTGCTGATGAAGATGCTATGATGTTTCTGTTTCAGATTTTAATTTCTCTAGTCAACGGAAGACCAGGTATTAACCAGCCAAGTAAAGTGCTTTTGGTACGTTTGTATTTTTAAAAATGTATTCCAGATGCTTTAATTATTCAAATTATTTTTACATTTTGAATTATCTATATTATATTTATGTTATCATTTGACCCAATAATGTAAAAAGATAATATAAATTATTTTTGGATGTTTTGCTAATCTGCCTGTAAAGAAATAATATTTTGAAAATTAAATATTTATCAGTGATTGATAATTCCCAATCATACAATAATTTCTTTCTGCAGGATTTTACATCAGCAAGATTTATTCGCATGAGATTCCAGAAGATCCGCACCCTCAACGCTGACTTGATGACATTCCATAACTTCAAGCCACAAGATGCCGACCCCTCTGTCACTAGAAGGGTAAGGGTTTAGTTCCACTGGATTGCATTGCACCAACAACAAGATCTTCAAACTATTTTACAGAAAAAGGACTTATTAAGTCATCTTATTAAAATATTTCATGAAATAGGAGCTGAGAAAATATCTGCTGCAGTAATTTAGGCTTGCCAACTGTTAAACACTTGGGATGTTTTGGATATAATCATTTCGGGGGGTTCTATGACAGACTTATGCTTAAATAATAGGACTGGCAAACGGCAGTTAGCTGGGCAAGTGCCTCTACTGCCGAATTTGGTTAAAACAGAACTTGGACAATGCAAGGTAGTATGGCCTCAAGAAAAAATCCCATGAACAAAGAGATACTGTGAACATGAATTTGGATCGATAAAGACTGTGTTTATGGATGCTCATGTGTGTTTCTATGAGTTAATATGTGTTTCTGTATGTTCATAAGTGTATATATCTGTTTCAGTATTACTACTCCATCAAGGACATCTCAATAGGTGGACACTGCATTTGCTATGGACATGCTAAACTCTGTGGACGGCATGACTCACAGCCCGATGTGAGTATTGTACTATTAAGTATATATTTTTCAAGATATTTTTAAGATAAATATTTTAAAAATACAGAAAAACAATATGTACATGTAAAATATAAAAATATGTACATTTTAAAAAATTGTGAATACATTATTTTTTTCTCATCATTTTTCTCATTAAAAGTAGTACGTAGGGTCTATTATTAGGGAATCAACAGAGTTTGGCTTTTTGACAAACAATCTTCAAATGTATTATGCATGCTTTGCATCATGTATATCTTTATACAAGTTGTTAGAATAGGTGGCAGTGATTGAGGAAACACAATTCAGTGGTAATCATGAATATTGTGTCCCTGTTTCAGCGCCTCAAATGTCAGTGCGAGGACAATACGTGCGGAGACAACTGTGAGAGGTGCTGTCCGGGATTTAATCAGTACGGCTGGAACAATGGCAATGGTGTCAAACACATTTGTGAACGTAAGCAAGACAGGATATTTCATCGATGTCGTGCTAATATTATTCTTTATAGGGCTTGTTTCAGACATGTAATGGATATTCTTTGTACTGAAATGATCAAGCATTTTAAAGTGTCAATGTGATCTAGGGGGAGGTAACTCCAGCAGACATTTAGTTTTGTGTGGTTGCCTTAAAATCTTAGCTACCTACCTACTTTTGTATGCATTTGTATGCATGAGAACAGTTATGGACCTAAATAATCAGTACTTTATTGAATAACATTTGCAAGATTACTTAATGGTATAGATAATAATGTATTTTTCAGTTGGTGATAGCTTTGTCATGACTGAATATCTGTATAGATAATGTGGTATATTTCAGCCTGTAACTGCCATGGCAAGGCGGATGACTGTGTTTTCAATGCCACAGTGAAGGATCTAGGCCTCAGTCTTAACATTGAGGGCAAATATCAAGGGGGAGGTGTTTGTCTAAACTGTCGGGTGAGTCATATTCATACACAATACTTGCTCATCGTAGACATTTCTTTCAAAATCTGATTTGTCACCAACAGAGAGCGACCATTCAGGCACATATAATGGATAAAGAAAGTACATTTGTAAAAATGAGAGTTTCTCTGCTGGAGATGGAGATGGTTTCTTTGTTATACACAGTTCACTTCCATTGGTTCATCTTGGGTGCTGCAGTTTACTTTGCAGAGTTGTGTCCCTTGAAGACCAGTTTTAACCTTGATCTTTATGTGTCCATCAAATTAATTAGACATCCAGGACCTGAATCATTTTTTACTTTTCACCCAAATTAATTGGATCCATCTGAGATGATTTACTATACTATAACCCGTGAAGATCTGGGTTAGGATTGGTCTTCAACCCATGCTCGCCGTAAGAGGCGACTAACGGAATTAGGTGGTCAGGCTCGCTGATTTGGTAGACACGCGTCCCAACTGCGTAGGTCTTTGCTCATGCTGTTGATCACTGGATTTTCTAGTCCAGATTCGGTTATTTACAGACTGCTGCCATATAGCTGGAACAAAACTAAAATACATTAAACTTGCTTACTGTCCTTGTCACATTTCAGGAATTCACAACGGGTATAAACTGTGAGCAGTGTATTGAGGGTTACTACCGACCCAGTAGACTCGCTATCACTGATTCCTTCCCATGTCGACGGTGTAACTGCCAGGAGACGATGACATCCACCGCCACCTGTGTCACTGATGACAGTCGTGTTAGCGAGGGCTTGGTGAGTACTGAATAGCATGAAGTAAACAATGTGCAGGTATTTTGAAGCTATGTCATAAAACAATAAATTTGAAATCGTATAAGTTCTACAAAACTTTCAAGGAAGTAATCTGTGTCCAACCACTACTGTGTCATTAAAATACTAAGAAAGAACATTTTATGGCAAATTGTTCACATGGATCTTAGGCACTTTAGCCATGCAGAGTTGCCTCCCTTTGGTGTGCCAGGATCCTATGGGTTTGAATCTAATTTGTCCTGAGTATATTTCTAGGCTTGTCATCTCCTTCTCTTCAGGATAGACCTGATATAACTGAAATACTTTTCAGAGCTGTGTTAAACCAACTCACTCACTATTATTCCTGACTTCATCTTTTACCTATCTCAAGGTGCTGTTGATTAGATTCGGGGTGGTGGCGTAGTCTAGTGGTTAAAGCGTTGGCTCGTCACGCCGAAGACCCGGGTTCGAATCCCCACATGAGTACAATGAGTGAAGCCCATTTCTGGTGTCCCCCGGCCGTGATATAGATGGAATATTGCTAAAAGCGGCATAAAACCAAAACTCAGTCAGTCAGTCAATCAGTCAGTTGATTAGATTCAGCTGTCCAGAATGATTTGTTCAACATAACATAATGCACTCAAGCCATTAACAGAGCCATACTTTCCATTATATTTACAACTGTGGAACACCCAAATCTGTTTGTTATTTTCATAAATGGTTGGGTAGCCTAGTGGTTAAAGCATTCACTTATCACGCCAAAGACATGGGTTCAATTCCCCACATGGGTACATTTGTGGTGTCCCCACCGTGATATTGCTGAAATATTGCTAAAAGCGGGTTAAGACTACACTTACGTACGAATCATTCTCGATGTGAGTTTTGTGTATATACATGAGTTCTAACATGATGTATTTTGTGTGACAGAACCCTGGAGATTGTGTGTGTAAGCCAGGGTATGCTGGGCGTGGCTGTAACAGATGTGCATATGGCTACTTCGGCTTCCCCAGGTGTCGAATCTGTCCATGTAACCCTGCAGGAAGTGTCAACCCAGAAGAGTGTCGCCGCAGGTGTCGGTGTAAGGTGAGTGATAGCACAGGTGTTGTAAGGTGGGTGCAATATCAGGTGTCTGTGTAGTGTCAGTGCCATCTCTGGTGTCAGTTAGAGCTGTCACAGGTGTCAGTATAAGGTGAGTGTCATATCAGGTGTTGGTGTAAGATGAGGGCTTTTACAGGTGTCAGTGTAAGGTGAGCGTCATCTCAGGTGTTCATGTAAGATGAGGGCTTTCACAGGCGTCAGTGTAAGGTGAGTGTCATCTCAGGTTTTGATGTAAGATGAGGGCTTTCACAGGTGTCAGTGTAAGGTGAGTGTCATCTCAGGTGTTGGTGTAAGATGAGGCCTTTCACAGGTGTCAGTGTAAGGTGAGTGTCATCTCAGGTTTTGATGTAAGATGAGGGCTTTCACAGGTGTCAGTGTAAGGTGAGTGTCATCTCAGGTGTTGGTGTAAGATGAGGCCTTTCACAGGTGTCAGTGTAAGGTGAGTGTCATCTCAGGTTTTGATGTAAGATGAGGGCTTTCACAGGTGTCAGTGTAAGGTGAGTGTCATCTCAGGTGTTGGTGTAAGATGAGGCCTTTCACAGGTGTCAGTGTAAGGTGAGTGTCATCTCAGGTGTTGGTGTAAGATGAGGCCTTTCACAGGTGTCAGTGTAAGGTGAGTGTCATCTCAGGTTTTGATGTAAGATGAGGGCTTTCACAGGTGTCAGTGTAAGGTGAGTGTCATCTCAGGTGTTGGTGTAAGATGAGGCCTTTCACAGGTGTCAGTGTAAGGTGAGTGTCATCTCGGTGTTGGTGTAAGATGAGGACTTTCATAGGTGTCAGTGTAAGGTGAGTGTCAACTCAGGTGTTGGTGTAAGATGAGGACTTTCATAGGTGTCAGTGTAAGGGGAGTGTCAACTCAGGTGTTAGTGTATGTGAGTGCCATCTCATCTAAGTGAGTTCTATTGACATTGTTCAGGATGTATTATCTTTTTGAAAGGTGCTTAATTTGCTCTTAAAGCATCAGCAAAGAATATTATCAAGGTGACTTTTGAATCGATACCAACACTGGTCAATTAAAGTAGCAAAGCTGTGAGGTTGCCTGAAACTGTCTTCTCAGGTGTCATCTCTGGCATTCAATAGTGTCATTTGTGTTATAGTCATGCCTCAAGCTAACACTTGTGCCATTGGGATTGACCTGTGGGTGATCTTCAAATATATTATTTGACCACAAAAGCAAAGACTGGAGTCAGAGCCATACAGGATTGTGTTATAAATGAATGTATTACAAAGCTTGACCAAGCACCTGTTTATATCCAGGCCAATGTGGAGGGCAAGCACTGTGACCGCTGTAAGCCCGGCTACTACAACCTGGACAAGGACAACGAGGATGGCTGTACCAAGTGCTACTGTCATGGCGTCTCCACGGTCTGCAAATCTGCTGAATGGGGACTCACTCAGGTATGCTGGCAGGACTGTAGCCTTTCCTTCATCGTAGCTGGGCCAGGATTATCGTCTCTCAAAACTGGGTACACCTTTTGTTGTGTTTCACAGTTCCAGAAAATAGCATTTTCTCTTCTAAGCAAACCTTTTGGAATGCTATATCATTTTCCACAGCTTTTGAAAACTTGCATCAAAATGGGGCTCCACTTCATTTTAAATGGAGTTGTTTGGTTCTATCAAAATTATGTATTTTCAGAAATTAACCATTAGTTTATCTGTTCCCAATTTTCCTATAGTTGTCGGTCTGTACTGTTATAAACTTAGATAATTTGAATGAAATTAATCCATGCCATACCACTTTTAATCCTGGGATGTCAAGCATTTTACACAATGAGATGGGCCTTGGGTGGCTCTGTTGTCTCAGTCACTACAACTCACTGTGAAGAGTTGCCTCCCTTGTTGACACTCCTGTCATACATGGAATACTGTTGAAAGCAGTGTTAAACACAACTGACACAGTACAATATCCAATAATAACTTTTGAAAGTGAGGGGCTTTGTTGAGGTGTGAGCAAATATGCTTTACATTAGCATGAGAATTTTTATCATTGTGTCAAAGATGAAGTGCTTTTGTATAAGATTGTGCACTAGGATTATTGTCTGTCTTCCTATATGCTGCAGTCATCAGTATCACAGCTTTCTATATGCTGCAGTCATCAGTATCACAGCTTTCTATATGCTGCAGTCATCAGTATCACAGCTTTCTATATGCTGCAGTCATCAGTATCACAGCTTTCTATATGCTGCAGTCATCAGTATCACAGCTGCAGTGCATCAGTATCACAGCTTTCTATATGCTGCAGTCATCAGTATCACAGCTTTCTATATGCTGCAGTCATCAGTATCACAGCTTTCTATATGCTGCAGTCATCAGTATCACAGCTTTCTATATGCTGCAGTCATCAGTATCACAGCTTTCTATATGCTGCAGTCATCAGTATCACAGCTTCTATATCTATATGCTGCAGTCATCAGTATCACAGCTTTCTATATGCTGCAGTCATCAGTATCACAGCTTTCTATATGCTGCAGTCATCAGTATCACAGCTTTCTATATGCTGCAGTCATCAGTATCACAGCTTTCTCACAGCTGTACTTAGATATTATGATGATTTTGAGCACATAAACTAGTGGCTTATAGCATGAGCATCAATCAACATCACTTGGCTACAACATCTGAGCCCAGTGAATCTTTTACAAAGCCACTATACTGCTAATGTTACTTCTGGCATTCATAAACATACATACAATTGTACACAAGCACCTACACCTGACCACACCTGCATAGCTGTACATATGGAGCAGGACTCGAATCTATATTTGATGAAATGTATAAAAACTTCTAAAACAACAGCTGATGCTACTTTGCAGGTGAACGACATGAACGGGTGGGTGTTGTCCACGAGGGAGCCAGGGGGACTCACCCTCCTCCCCAGGATGTTTGGGGAATGGCTGGAGGCCAAGACGTACCTCCTGAACGGTGGCAGCGGCAGTGGGGGAAGTGGTTGGCCAGTGCAGCAGGCAGACATCTTGTACTGGCTTGCTCCCATGATGTTCCTAGGCAACAGGGTAGGCTGACAGCAGTAGATCAAGTAGATCATACTGGAGTATAATTTTAAATTTGGACACGATATATTTATGTTCCTTTTCTTGTTCTTTTTATGGTTGCGTAGCTTTGTGGTTAAAGCTTTCGCTTGTCATGATGAAAACCCGGGTTCGATTCCCCTCATGGGTACAATATATGAAGCCCATTTCTGGTGTCCTCTGCCATGATATTGTGGGAGTATTGCTAAAATCGGAGTAAAGCTAAACTACTAAACTCATTCACTCTCTTTGTGTTAATGGTCATACTGATGATGGTGAAGTCGACTGAAAACACCTTGCTTAATGACAAGATAATAATTAGCTACTGTATTATCCTAGATTTTTTGGTTCCATTTATGCAATCAGCATTACAGAACAATTTAAACACAGTTGGGGAAATGATGGCCTCTTTTGTATGTTTCATCTGTTTTCATATTTCAGCTGACATCCTATGGTGGAAAGTTGGCTTACACAATCAAATACACAATAGACGAGAACCTGGATCTTAGATATCACTTGAGTGAACCCGATGTCATCATTGAGGTATGCTCAATGTTTAGGATTTACATTGCTGCAGTTGTATTGATCATGTCTAGTTTTGAATCCATATTTCTGTTCTTGAACACTGCCAGATCTTGATTCCATGAGGTGTGACAACTGACACAGTCAAGGGAATAGTTAGTACAGTTATTGATGGGTTATGATAACGCCCATTACTGTCCATTGTTTCAGGACTTCAAATCACTGGCTATGATATATCTTTGTTTCATTCTAGTAATAATATGTCATTGTCAAATATCAGAACTTGAGGTTGTACTATTAATTATGGCATTGAAGATAAAAATTTAATTTGAGTTCTTGTCATGATCCACATGGTTAGAGGGAGATAGCTCTATCCATGAGCAGCATTTGATGTCTCAAAGTCATCAAACAATCTCCATTATTCACTACTGAATGATATGTGATATTTGGTCATTGTTCACAGGGAAACGGATTCACCATCATCAACGGGAAACAGTTTCTGCGAGAAAAGGAAGAAAACAGTCTGATGGTGAGACTGCATGAATCCAACTGGAAGAAGCTGGTCCTACAAGGAAACAGCTTTCGGGAGGAGCCGGTCTCTAAACAGGAGTTCATGCTGATCCTGCAGGGCCTGACCAAAATCATGATCCGGGCCAGCTACCACACGGCACAGGACACCATATAGTAAGACCCTTGCTGAGATTCTTAGTTAGAATCAGTTCCCAGCAACCCATGGTGGTTGTAGGAAGTGGCCACATTGATTGTAGTCAGGTTCTGTGACTTGCTTTAAAGAGTGTCATTGTCCCCCAAAAGGTGGCTTCATTCACAATATGAATCACTGAATTATCTGGTCCAACTCGATTATTTTCTGGTCTTCATTACATAGCTGGAATATTGCCTTGAGGGATGTTACACAATGATGTAGCAATATCTGCCTCAGTAGTGGTGACTAGGCATATTCTTCATAACACCCTAGGGCCCTGTTCCTCAAAGTGATCATAGCGCTACGACTGTCATAAGTCTATGTTAAAGTATGGGAGTAACGATCACCGTAGTGCTACAATCGCTTTGAGGAATGGGGCCCTACTCTTGAAAAGTGACGATGGTTCCACTACCCCAACTTTCAGCTTTCCAGAAGACACTAGTATTATGAGTTTCATATCAAGTAGAATATCAATCTTGAGGACATCCCTGTCTCATACTTAATGATGAAAGTTAACCATGATTTGTATTATATTACCCTTTTCCCACAGCTTGAAGGATGTGACTCTGGACACTGTGAGTCCAATATCCCAGACCAACATCTCGCTGCCTTCAGTGGAACAGTGTATGTGCCCAATGGGATATGCTGGTCTATCCTGTGAGGTGAGCGTCAAACATCATTTATGTAGTTTATCAAATTCTGTGGTCAATGCATCATACTGCTCAGAGTTATCTTTCCACTTACTCACTCACTCATCCACTCACTTACTCTCTTCTTGGTATACTCTCTGAAGTTCATCAGTTTGTTCTTGTGCCTAAACACACCGAAGATCCGGGTTCGAATCCCTACATAGGCACAATGTGTGAAGCCCATTTCTGGTGTCCCCCTCCGTGATGTTGCTGGAATATTGCTGAAAGGGCGTAAAACCAAACTCAGTCAGTCAGTCTTGTGCCTAAAATATTGCTAAAACTAATTTGAGAGATCCTCTAAAATTCTGCTGATGTTAAGCAGATAATCATTTATGGTACTTGGAATTATTCATTCACAGATCGTGAGTCATATGATCAGGCCACTCATTGTCTTTCGTTTTCAGAGTTGTTCCCCTGGTTACCGGCGCCTCAACAATACTCTGCACCAGGGCATGTGCCTCAGGTGTAACTGCTACAACCATGCCATGCAGTGTGATGCTGTGGATGGCAAGTGCCAAGTGAGTCGCTGCTTTTCAGTTCCTTTAAATCAGTTCAACCCAGTTACGAAGTTTAGTCTGCAATATACCTGTACTTATGGATGTAACTGAAATTGTAATTGTCTGCAACTGATGCAAATTACATCTTATTCACAGTAGATGGACCTGCAGTGAAACTAAAATATTTATCAATACATCATTATGTTCAACTCATAAAGTCACTATCTTCTGTTGTGATACAACATATTTTCCCAGTAATAAACAGCACGGGTGGACTGAAGCACTACAATTCTCTGTGCAGAGTTACTTCCCTTAGGCATGCCTACTTATGTTGATTTGAATCGGAAAACAGCCATGATAATGTGTCTTGATTTGATAGCACTATAACCATGCTCACCAGATTAGTAATACATCCAAGGATCACGATGCAAACATCAGGATTTACTGAGAAACTGTTCAAAGTGGTGTCTGGCCAAACTCACTACCCAACTTCCATTTCTAATGCATACTTATAAAATCTGAAAATAAAAACCAAGTAAAACTAACCGAATATCTTTCTGATTCCACAATATTTAATTTGTTTACAGGACTGTCAACACAATACCATGGGAGCGAGGTGTGATCAGTGTTTACCTGGTTACTATGGCAACCCCAGACGTGGATCCCCTGACGACTGCAAACCATGTGCATGCCCTCATCAGTGGAGAGATGGCATCCCAGACCTGTGTGAATATGACCCCTCACCAAACAACAGGGATGACTACAGGTGCTTGTCTTGCCCTGAGGGTCAGGCAGGAAAGCATTGTGACAGGTACTTACAAATATAATTCTTTGAAAATCTGCATACCATATGCATGTATATGATGCGCACGTTTTTTACATCCATACATGCCTGCTAGTCCCATTATGAAACTTTCCTATATTTCCTGTGTGAATATCTAAATCTGTTTCATCTATTTTATTAAATCTTTAATGCAGTGTTGTATAAGTATATTTTGGCAGGACCAGGCCAGGATATTCAACTCATTTGGCTGTGTATGGCAAAGATATCACTACTTAAAGGCTGCCATTAACATTCTACTCAATATTTTCTGCGACTGATCATTAGATATGTTGTCATACAAGCAGTATTCGAATCTGGTATGGAACTGAAGCATGTGCAGCAGAATTTCAAGTTGATTAAAGATAAATACATGATTAAATTTTGATAAGTTGTTGTGTTGATGTAAAGTCTCAGTATCATGAAATGTAAAGTAGACTAGTACATGTCTGGAGTGTTGTATAACATTTAATGAATCATTTTTGGATGGACATATTGACTTATTTAATGTTGAGTTATTTGTTTTTAGATGTGCTGCAGGCTTTTACGGCAACCCACAAGTAGAGGGTGGTTCATGCCGTCCCTGCTACTGCAGTGGCAACATCGACATGGGTGACCCTACGTCATGTGACCCTGTGACCGGTCAGTGCATGAGATGCAGCAACCACACTCAGGGCGTGTACTGTGAGAAGTGCATGACAGGCTTCTATGGCTCTGCCGTACAAGGCAACTGCAGAGGTTAGTACTTGTGGGATCATGTTGTACAGTGGAAGCTGTCAAAACCAGCAGCTGTCCAATCTGGCAAGTTGTCAACACCTGGCATATAATCTCAGTCCTGTCGGTGGCTAGTACATTTATCATCATCTAAAAGCTCTGCATTCCGGCAGCCATCAATTCCAGATCTCGCATGAAATGAGCTGACCGAATATGTGTTTATACAGTAATGAGCGCTGTCTAATCCAGCGTGTGGCAAGGAGTCAGACGGATGTGTATTGTCACCAATTAATCCTGCGTTGAAACTTCATGGTTGCCAACAAAGATGATTTAATCTTAGTTCAGTATGGGTATACTTGTAATTAGTGAAAATTGTGACTCATGAGGGATGTTAGATAAGTGAATATGAGCTGAAGTCATTGTCTCTTATTGTCAGTGTTTGAAGTAGTTGAGAGAACCTTGGATACAACAATGTATATGAGAGTGACAAAACAAGTCAGTTCTAGACGTAGGTAACCATGTCAACTCGACAATCCAGCACGCTGTTTAAACCGGATTATTTCTTCAGTCCCGACAAGTGCCAGTTTAGACAGCTTCTGCTGTACCTCAGCTTCATATTCTCAGTATATGACACAAAGAGGATTGTCACAAAATGAAAACAGTCTCCTCGAGGTGACACTTTCCTAGTTGTTGTCACATAGTGATGTTAGGTGGCCCAAGCTGTAACCTGCTTTGCAGAGTTGCATCCCTTACCATGTCAGGATCCGATCAACCAGGAAGACCAACTCTCAGCACCTGTGGGGATTATTGGGCTAAGAATGATGTGGGACATTACTGGTTTGCCTTATTTGACAACTCACATAATATATTGGCTTTGTTGGAGATTGAGGATGCAACAACAAAAGATGATTGAATCATTATATGAATCAGCCTGTCTGTTAATAGGTAGCAACGGATATGAATGTTCATGCCATTGGTTGCTGGAGTTTCTTCTCTAAATCTGATCACTCTCAACCCCATGTTGATAAGAAAATAGAACATATGTCAAATGTGATGATGATGATGATGATGATGATGATGATGATGATGATGATGATTTCAGTATGTAACTGCCATGAGGATGGATCATACTCCAGTGAATGTGATGAGAGGAATGGCCAATGTTCCTGCAAGCCGCGTTACACAGGTCGTCAGTGTAACACCTGCCAGGTAAATGTTCATAAATCCTTGAGTAATGAACTTGAAAGGAAATCAGTTACATTAATCAGACACATGCAAAAATAAAAAAAAATTAAAATATGATTCTAAAAAATAGTATGATGACATTTGAGTTGTATAGCAGAGGAATGAGTTATAAACATTTTTCTATTAAAGCAAAAAAAGAATTGTCAAGCAGATCTTTTGTTCTCCACAGAAATCCTATTATTTGCAGGGGATCTATTTTGCCTCTGACCCATGAAGATCCGGGTTAGAATTGATATTCAGTAACCCATGCTTGTCATAAGAGAAGACTAATGGGATCGGGTGGTCAGACTTGGTTGACACATGTCATCGTATCCCAGTTATGCTAAACAATGCTCATGCTATTGATCACTGGATTGTTTGGTCCAGACTTGATTTCTTACAGACCGCCGCCATATATCTGTAATATTGCTGAGTGCGGCGTAAAACTAAACGCACTCACTCACTGGCTATGTGCCCCTGTCATATGTATGTTCCATATTGATTTGATTCCTTTGTGTCTATAATTGCTGTCAAAGTTTGTAAAATAATTCTTAATTCTCTCCTCAGCCTGGGTATGGAGATATCACTAATGGCTGCACGCAGTGTCGCTGTAGTCGTATCGGGTCTACTGACCTCCGATGTAGCCCTATCACTGGTCAGTGTCCATGCAAGCCAGGCATTGGTGGCCTGAGCTGTGACCGGTGCAAGGAGGGCATGTACGGCTTCCGAGGTGGACGCTGCTCAGGTGAGTTATCTTTGTCAGGTTCAGGATACTGGGTAAGCCAGTGGTCAAAGTGCGTGCATGTGTGTGTGCATGCATGCATGCCCACATTGATTTTTAATCTCTTATCCCCAGGCAACAAAGATGTTACCATTAGCATGTGAAGTGTCCATTCAGGACATCTCTCCTTAAGGGATTGAGCATTTTATATTCTCTTATGTGGCTGCAATTGTAACCCCAAAATGAATTAACTATCACAGTGACTACTATTATTTAAATAGCCTGAGGCTGTTGAAAAAAATAAGAAACTGTCTGCCATAAACATTACCTTGTTGCACGGTATTTTTAGGAAGAAGAAAATTATTTTGGCTCATAGTTGTAGTATATCAATCAGTTTCATGTCTATTTCATAACCACATCGGCACAAAATTCATGTTTGTTTTTAGCGCATATCAGCAGCCATTATGACCCAGATGTTGAATATGTTACAGTTTCTAGTTTACGTCTAGAGTGAACAATCAGGCATTTATCATAACATTTATAATTTATAACTTGAAAAAGTCTTTGATGGTCATTAACATCAAAAACGTCTAAGTGGTGTGTCAGAAATGTTTGCAATGTGTTCAACGATGTTTTGGCCTCAGATTGCTTGAAGCATTGGAATCAGTCGTAGAGACACTCAACCACTAAGCCATTCGTGACAGACATCTTGTGATGAAAACTCATGTCAGTTGTAAACAGTTTATACAGCTCGCTCTACGGTTATTTCTTCATTAAATCATCTCAATTAATTATCCTGTGTTCCTAATTAACAAGTGTGATGTTCACCGACGTCGGTGTCAAGCAGCCAGTAAGGCACACGCTAATTACCACTCTCGTGTGATTGTTTGTATACGGTCGGATCATCCGGATTAACAAATGTTTTTACAATGTATTTACAATAATCAGTTGCTAGATTGCTGTGTCGGAGTCTGAATGTGAGAATGTCGGATTAACGAGAGTAATTATCACTGTTTTAAATGGTTCCGTAATTTTTTGTTGGATTAACGTGATTGTTGGATTAATGACTGTCAGATTAACGAGAGCTGACTGTATGAATTTAGTCATAATGAACTGATTACATTGCATCTCTCCTGCTTTTGCAGACTGTGGATGTTTTGGTCCCGGCACCAACGGAAGTATCCGCTGTGACCAGCACAGTGGCCAGTGCGAGTGTCATCCCAATGTCGTAGGCCGCAAGTGTGAACAGTGTCTGGTGAGCCACAATTCTCACTGTGTATTACATAGAGGATATTATATGAGTGCCCATGTCATGCTATGTTTACGACACAAGTGCCTAAATTTAGGTATTTCCTGAGCGAGAGCGAGTGGGGTGGTGGGGATTCTGATTTCTTTGATATTTATTATTATATATGATCCCATATTGTCATATATTTCACATATTTCTGGCTTCACTTCTATAAACTGCTGATGCATGAACATCTGGGTTACGATTGGTCTTCAGCAACCCATGCTTGTCAAAATAGGCGACTAACGGCATCATGTGTTAATGCTCACTGACTTGAAGTTGTCTTTTTGGTATAATGATAACATCTCATTTCTCACATCTATCAACAGTATCATGATGATTAATATCTTCCATATCTCAGACATATCGACACAAGACACATTGTTTGATAGAGAGCATTGTGAAAGTGTTCAGATGTCGTGTATTACTGAATGAATAAACATGTATATCCACAGGATGGATATTGGGGCATACAATCTGCCATGGGTTGTCTCCCCTGTGACTGTGATCGTACCGGGGCCAGGAGTCACCAGTGTGATACGATTGATGGTCAATGCCAGTGTCGTGCCAATGTTGGCGGCAAGTTCTGCGATCAGTGTCTACCAGGATATTACGGCTTCAACTACGATGGCTGCAAGAGTAAGTGTGAGCCGATCCAAAACATGGAGGCCATTTAAATACCCATAATAATTTGGGTTCGTTTTGTAGAAATTGAATGGTATGATGAAAAGTACCTATTGAACTGTCATTTTGTCATAATGTCATTTATGATTGAGTCTTTTAAACTTGGTTAAAATGCTTTTAATTCATATTAAAATAACATCAAAAGTTTTATTAATTTTTAAAGAAAAATTAAAACAGATGATCTAGGGTGAGATGCGTGACATGTTCTTTAGTCCATTATATACTCTTCTATACTAAAGATGTTAAGTACACAGAATGTTACATGTGACTAGTTAATCTGTCTTGCCAAAAGAAAATAAATAAAGCCATGTGATAGAAAAACTCAATTGTTCTTTACTAGTATGTATAATACATTAACCTGAAGTATGGAAATAGGGGATAATGCATGATACCATATAGGTCTTTCAAGTAATCGTGAAACGATACTCACTCACTGGATTAAACACGAAGCACATATATTTATGGGATGACATCCAGATTGTTTGATGTTGTAGGATGTGAACCATGTGATCTTCCTGGTCACATATGTGACTCAAGGACAGGAAAATGTGTGTGTCCCCCCCAACACAACAGGACCTCGCTGTGAGGACTGCCTCGACAACTGCTGGGGCTACAACAATGTGACAGGCTGCAAGGTAGGCCTCGGACAGACATGTGTATCGGCAGTACTCAGGATAAACTTACACCAGAAAGACACTTTAAATCCTGAACATAATTGTCCAGGAGAGGTCTATGTACAGACATTTTATTGACAATTTTCAGGATAAACTTACTTCAGAAATATACTTTAAATGATAATCTTAATTATCCAGGACAGTTCTGGGATATATTAACAGCTTTTCACTTCTGTTAAATTGATTCTAATTGTTTTTAAACATTTTTTTAAATCTTAGCATTGTTTGCTTCAGCAGAATCTGTGTGATTACAGAAATTGACACTTTGCTTCTTTGTTCTTAGATAAATGGTTTTTGGTTATGCTTGGCTTTTAATATTTTTTTCGTATTTTATAATTTATCTGCTGATATTTGTCTGTAGCAATAAATATGAACGATTTCTTCTTAAATTTAGATTATTCAGCTAAAACTGAAAGTCATGTATAATATAGTATTGTGATTACATTCTCATAATTTCCAGTTGAACAGATAATTAGATATCAACTTCATGTTTTAAATTTGAGAAATTAATAATTGCTAGATATGCAAACATTCCATTTAGCATTTCATTTGGGGATGGATGCATGCATGGGTAGTTATGGAAAAATGTATGATGTTGGAGCATGTAAAATGTAAATGTGGCATTCAGTTGGTCTTTGAGGTTTGGTGTTACTAACCTGTGTGGACCGTCAGTCCGTGTCCCTGGTGTAAACTTGGTCCTTGTTTCCATCAACACTGTGTTTATGTTTGTTTGCTCTGTCATCTTTGTTTGTCACTTTAGTGAAATTTGCATTTTTTTGCACATTTGAAATACACATGTTATTCCATAGAGCACTTTGCCTACAGTTCACCTCATATCCACACAGCAAACTGTAATCTGTATACCTCCACAGTAGTTACCCCAATGCAGACCATAAGCATTTTGCATGAAAAGTGAATTTGTCCAAATTTATTTACATTTCATTGTTTGACTTTTATAAGAATATACATTGTTAGAATCATCCTTTCAAAAAATCTTTGAATTTAGATAAATTCTCTTCTCTATTTCTGCCTTTAATGCAGGTAATGTTTTGGTATATTATTTTATTTATTTACTTTGTGCAAATGCTTTCATACATGTTTTGTACACATGCACACACCTAGCATATGTATTTAGTTGTGGTCACACTTGCACACAGTGTCAACACATGTTGAAAACAATGAGGTTATTTTACAGTCATTGTTTAAAGTCAACCTGAATAGATCTATCAGTCTGTTGAAATGACTACTGTATGCCATCGGTCATTCATGACCAACAGTCCAACCCAGTGTCCATCAACTTGTCTTTCTTGGGCACCAGTTGTCATCCCTGTCCAGCTGTCCAACTCAGGGTCCAGCATCTTCTCTATCTTGGCCACCGTTGGTTTACCCTGTCCAATTGTCCAACCCGGCATCAAACAGTTTGCTTTTCTTAGTCTCTGTTATGACTCATCTTGCTGACCCAGTGTGAAGCATCTACCCTATGTTATGCCCCATTAACCTTCCTTGTCCCATTGCCCCTCAATGTTACCTAGGGTCCATCTGGATGCCAAACACCATGTCCATCCTTGTTCCTGAAGGTCCTTTAGAAAGCCAGGCACCCATGTCCATCCATGTTCCTGAAGGTGATTTAGGAAGCAAGGCATCAGTGTCAATCCATATTCCTGTGCGCCCTGTAGGAAGCCAGGCACCATGGCCATCCACGTTCCTGAAGGTCCTTTAGGAAGCCAGGCACTATGACCATATATGTTCCCCATGGCCATCCACGTCTCCTGAAGGTCCTTTAGGAAGCCAGGCACTATGACCATATATGTTCCTGTGTGCCCTGTAGGAAGCCAGGCACCATGGCCATCCACGTTCCTGAAGGTCCTTTAGGAAGCCAGGCACTATGACCATATATGTTCCTGTGTGCCCTGTAGGAAGCCAGGCACCATGGCCATGCATGTTCCTGAAGGTGATTTAGGAAGCACGGCATCAGTGTCAATCCATATTCCCAGGCACCAGTCCACGTCCTGAATCCATGACCATATATGTTCCTGTGTGCCCTGTAGGAGGCCAGGCACCATTGCCATCCATGTACCTGAAGGTCATTTAGGAAGCCAGGCACTATGACCATATATGTTCCTGTGTGCCCTGTAGGAGGCCAGGCACCATTGCCATCCATGTACCTGAAGGTCCTTTAGGAAGCAAGGCAACATGGCCATGCATGTTCCTGAAGCTCCTTTAGGAATCAAGGCACCATTGACCATCCTTGTCCCTGAAGGTCTTTAAGAAAGCCAGGCTCCATAGTTGTCCATATTTCAAGGATCATCTGGAAGTAAGGTACCCATGTTCATCCATGTAGCATTTTTCCCATATGGCATCCCCACCTGATTTTCCTACCATCTGATTGCATGTGTTAAACTTGGTTGCTTTGATAAACTTTATCCAGTAGTCAGTCCATATCCAGTTGTTTATCCATGACCAGTTGTCCTCTTTAAGTCTCACTGGTTTTCATGACTATCATTTTTCAGTCCAATTGTCCATTTTAGATCTCAATTATTCTCCCTGATTAATTGTCTATCAATACCCAGTTGTCCGTATTAGAGCCAGGTGATCATTCATCGCTGATTGTCTACCCATTTTCACTTGTCCAATTGTCCAGTTAAGGTTACATTGGTCATTTGGGCTGATCATCAAACCATGCTTCCAAATCTCCTCTTGGGATCTAACAGGTCATGTATGTCCAGTTGTCACAGTGTGTCATCTCCTGTCATCCATCCATTGTCCACGTGTCCATCATCCATGTGTTTCCATGTGCGCTGTCTTGTGTTTCAGCGTTGCAACTGTAGCGAGGATGGCTCTGTGTCGCTTCAGTGTGACCCCGACGATGGTTCGTGCACATGTTTGCCGGACTATAGGGGCTACAGTTGCAATAATTGTCTGTTTGGTTATTATGACTTTCCTGCCTGTGAAGAATGCATGTGTAATACTAACGGCACGCTAGCGGACAAATGTCGTAGTGATGGCAGTTGTCATTGCGATCGGAGAGGAATGTGCACCTGCAAGGTTTGTAGCTTATCGCAAACTATTTTCAGCTGACTAAGCATTTTTTTATTAATCTAGCTTCACCTGGGTTTACAAATGGTGCATGCCATTATTTTTCTTTTTGTACTCCATAAATTTAGAGTCCATTTTTACTAAACAGTTTATACAGAAAAGAACTATTTTGTTATATTTGTTTAGAAGCTGAAAATATGTTTGTGATATATCGCTATTGTTTTCAAGCTATAATTCTAATCTACTAAACAGTTTTCCCAAGCTATGACTAATGCTATAACATCCATGTCCACTAATTTTCATTTTTGTGCTAATTTCAAATATTTATGCATTTTCTCCTGAACTTCATTCAGTGTACTTTGTATATATGTATACTATTAATGTGTTTTTTCATTACAGTGGATTGTAAAGCATGTCAATTTCAATCAAGCCCACATGATTGTTGCCTATTGCATGAGAATACATGTCCTTAGCCGACACTCATCAGCTAGTTTTATGCATGGATGTGATGGTTTGATGGGTGATTATGTATATAGTTCTAAAACTTCCAAAAACCACCATGTGGAATCAAGGGTAAAGAAATCCAAAGTTCTTGTGTGATATAATTTGACGTGAGTGATCAATTGCTGGAAATGTGTGACTTGGCTGGTATTGTGTTAACTACCTCCTTGTTGCATGCCCTTAGCGTTAAGATGACCATAACTTCCATACCTTAACATAGACTTAAGGTAGTGTTAGCGCTAAGGTTGTTTTGTACAACAGCACCCTGGACCACTTTCATGCTTGGCCCTGATCCCTGAAGCAATCTTAGCGCTAAGGTAATGGTAACTCCTAAACTTTAACATAGGCTTAGGATTGTCTTAGCACTAAGACAACTTCATGGAATGGGGCCCTGGGGTTTGGTTGTACATAGGATACTATGGGTGCAATATTGGTGACTGGCTAGAAACAACACTCACTCACTTACTTCATATGATCTTTCCAAAGTTGATAAATGTTTAGAACTTTTGCAATCACCTGTCAATATCATATCAATTATGACAATATTATTTTAGCTGCATGATCATTGTGTAGATAGTTTTATAGTTAACCAATTTTCTGAACCTTTTAAAATCATATATATATATTTATATATATTTTGGGAGGTATGTTTCAAAATGGTCTCATTCCTTTTATACCAAAACAATACTGAATCTTGTAATTTTGGTAAAAAAGTCAATCTTGATAATGTATTATGTAAGATAGTACCAAGTCAAGACCATTATTCAGTACGATATAATGACATCACTGAGAAAATATGTTCTTTCCTTAAAATGGGACAGACATGCACGGTTCAAGTTTTCTGGAGGAAAAGAATTTTTATATATTTTTCAGATGATTATTTCAGCATTTTTTTGTTCCATAGAAAAATGTTGAAGGACCGAAGTGTTCGAAATGCAGGAGGAATACATTCAGCCTTGACACATACAATCCCAGTGGCTGCACAAGCTGCTACTGTTTTATGAAAACCCGTTCCTGCTCTCAGGCTCCCTATGTTTGGTTCACTGTAAGTTGTAGGGCTGGAGTTAGTCCTGGTATCATACATACATAAACAGCAAAATTGCAAAATGATGACAGACAATACATGAATATATACTGAGGGAAACAAATAAGGGAACACCACTTCATGGCAATGTTCCTTTATTTATTCTCAGATTTCCTCACACAGCGCCATTCAAAGCTGGTGATGAAAACTGGAAAACATTGAAGGAAAGCTTGAATTTTCCTGTTCCTTTATTTGTTTCTCTCAGTATATTTTCAAAATGCCTTGACAAATCAAATGTTGTAATTTGAAAAAATCGTATGGCCTTAACTTGTTTTGAGAAATACATCATATTGAATGTATTCTGATTCAAGATTTACCAAATTCATCCTGAAACAATCATCCGGCTGATTGTTATCTTTCAATATAACTGGACATGTTTCCATTGTCCAGATCTCAGCACCCACTATGAGACGGACCATCTCCCAGCTGGGCCCTAACGTCATCCAGAACAGGTACGGCTTCCATGTCATCCCCTCTGATGTGGACATGGTTGCTGTGCCGACCACGATGACGGACAAGGCCCTTTATTGGTCCCTCCCGGCCACCATGCTGGGAGATAAGGTAAGTGACTCATCTGCCAATGGTGAAGTGTCATCCTTACTTCGTACCTATAGGATGTGTGGATGTTTAGACACTATTTAATGACCTGATATGAACTGGGGAATCATGATCTCATTGTGTTGGTGGTGGTGTAGCCCAGTGGTTAAAGCGTCCGCTCATCAAACCGAAGACCCAGGTTTGATTCCCCACATGGGTACAATGTGTGAAGCCCATTTCTGCAGTCCCCACTGTGATATTGCTGGAATATTGCTAAAAGCGGCATAAAACTATACTCACTCACTCACTCTCTCATTGTTTATATCTTATATTTTTAGCATAAATGTTATGAAGCATAAATCTGACAGATTTTGCAAACCTGTTATAATGCCAAATTCATGGTAGTGCTTAAACATGATTGAGGTTGTATGGTTTAATTCCTGTCATGAAAATTCCTTGAGTAGATATGTTCTATTAAATATTCTATTCATTTTTACAAGCATGTTAAATGCAACTGACGTTTTGGTTCTATCATCAAGCATGGTGTATTATGAATATGTATGACTGAACACTGTATTACCTACTTGTATAAAACATTAACAACAAAGAACAACTAAGACTTTTTGATTCTACATGATTTGATTTGTTTGTTGTATAATAATTAACCATTGTTGAAAGCTGCAATTAAGTTATTTAAGGCAAATATAGGCAACATTTTATTGACTCAATTACCTCTCATTCAGTTGTTTTCGTTTCCACCAGATCCTGTCCTACAATGGCCGCCTTGACTTTGTCCACTATTTTGAATCGGACACTACTCTCTTTGGAGGAAGTTTTGGATCTCATCACAGCAGCCAGTTATCTCCCCTTGTTGTCCTTATTGGCAATGGTTTCATATTAACCTACAACAGCACGATCATCCTTGAACCTCAACACCCGGACACATTCATAGCAAGATTACACGAGGCAAGGATTTAATTTTCCCCCCAACGCAAACTTTTGCACTGGTGCCTTTTGGTAGGGTATTAAAATGGACTTCACCGTCCGTGCACATTTGTCTTTTCCAGAGCAGAACTCTAAAACCGTTCTATATTTCTTCACCAAACTTGGCACATAGATAGATCTGGTGGTGTAGTAGTGCCTTTTGGTAGTTTTGGAATTCTGAATAAAATATTTTTGGCGTTTCCATGGCAACAAATTCGACTTAGACTGAAATTAGTGGTAGTGCTCTTTTCCGGAGCAGAACTCTAAAACCATTCAAACTTGTCACATAGATAGATCTGGTGGTGTACTGGTGCCTTTTGGTAGTTTTGGAATTCCGAATAAAATATTTTTGACGTTTCCATAGCAACAAGTTTGAACTCTAAAACCATTCACTATTTCTTCACCAAACTTGGCACATAGATAGATCTGGTGGTGTACTGGTGCCTTTTGGTAGTTTTGGAATTCTGAATAAAATATTTTTGTCATTTCCATGGCAACAAGTTTGACTAAAACTGAAATTGGTGGTAGTGCTCTTTTCCGGAGCAGAACTTTAAAACCTTTCAATACTCTCCTTCCACTTTTCTATATACACACCTAAATATTTGACATAATCATAACTCGTAGACATAATCATGAAGAGTATTTTGCCATTGCGAGGGGATATTGATGACTTTGTCTTCTTGTTTTCTGTAATTTTCAGTTGATGAAAATATTACCAAATCATCCTCTGATTTTTGTATTTACATAACATTTCCTTGTCCAGGAAAGTCCATGATACATATAACAGTAAATTCATACTGTCAGGATGTGATGATATAGTAGAAAATAAAGTCTTGGGCGAAAAGAAAAACATTCAAAATGACTGAGATGATCTAATGGCTTCTTTATTCCTGTAGGGTGTTGGGTGGATGGTGTGGGGGTGGAGGTAGCCTAGTGGTTAAAGTGTTCACTCACCACACCGAAGACCCGGGTTCGATTCCCCACATTGGGACAGTGTTTTAAGCCCATTTCTGGTGTCCCCGGCTGTGATGTTGCTGAAATATTGCTAAAAGCGGCGTAAAACCATACTCACTCATTCCTGCAGGTCTTTGAGTAACTTTGACAACACGATTACACATTAGAGCACACGATCATTTTTGGGTTTTTTAAAAGGATGTAACATAATGGTTGAGGTGTTTCCCTGGCTTACAGTCCCTCTTTTGATTTCTCCATAATCCAGCTGCAAGTGAAGTCAGTTCATGGTTTCTAATAGCAAGGTCATGACCTTGGCGCATTGCTGTAAAATGTGGTAGTAACCATACTCAGTCTGATCTACTCATTGTCAACTGCACTATGTGTCTGTCAGATTTAGGTAATTAAGCTAATGAAGTGTGTGTGTCTACTTGCAGAACTACTGGCGTATCCCAGGCCAGACGGCGCCGGTGTCTCGTCGTCTGCTGATGGTGGTGCTCCAGAACGTGGAGGCCATCTTTGTCCAGGCAACCAGTGATGGATACGCAACATATGCTGAGTGAGTTCAGTAGTGGTGTTCCGATTAGTTGAAATAATCTAAAATTGGTCGAAGTGACCAAACGACCTAGCAATCGATGACATTTTCTCATAATCGAACACAAACGATTTTGGAACTGCTGTTTTAGTGTTTGAAACACTTGACGATGGAACATATCATAGAAGTTGTCAGGGCCTGAAAACCTGTTTAATTCTTAGAAATCTCACTTCACTAACTGAAAAGTCATGACTGAAGATTTCTTGAAGTCTCCAGGAAGTTTATGTTCATGATATATTAGTCATCACTTTAAAGTAGCAAGTTGCATCATGTTATACTTTTCTGCAATAACAACCTGGATAGGAAAATCTGAAAAATGACACTAACCAATTATTTTCGATGATTGTTCGTTGGTAATGAAGCAATCATCAATAGTGAGATTTCAACCAATTCCCAACACTAGAGTTCAGCACTAAAAACTAATTCTTAGCAAGAATGTTTGATGATTTTAACTGGGACATTGGTATTTTGGTATTCAGTGGGAATTATTGGAGCTGACGTTTTCTGACACAACTGATAGTGATTAAAGTTATTTTATATTTACCCTCCTGTTTTGTTTACAGTTGATCTCAAAATAATACAACTACAAAGGCAACAAAAATAACTACTGAATTTTAAACTTAACTTAATCTGTTCATTCCAACTCTTATTTGCTCAAGAGAATACTTGCTATGGTATATAAAGTAAATATTCAACATTTTGTACACATTTGGGGACTGTCGGGTAACCTAGCTAGTGGTTAAAACGTTCGCTCGTCATGGCTTTCTCCCCACATGGGTACCATGTGTGCAGCCCATTTCTGGTGTCCCCTGCCGTGATATTGCTGGAATATTGCTGGAATATTGCTAAAAGTGGCGTAAAATCCAGACTCGCTCACTTGTACACATTTTTTCTGACATTTAACAAATATATTCTACTCCCCTTTTCATATTCCACCTGTTAAGATAAATTCTTGGCAGACAATCCATAAGTTTATGAGATATAATATTTTTATTCGGTTTTATTTTTATATGACAAATTAATGTTTGATACTTTTGAATTCCTATTAGTTTTGTCAAATTGTTGTTAAATGATGTGTATCTGTGTTAGTAACATACAATGCAGTGATAATTTTTTCTCCAGGTTATATTTTAAATCTGATTTTGTATTCCAGATTGGGTCCAATTAGTTTGCAGGTGGCTGAACCAGCCACATCTACTTCATCAGGGGACATTGCCCTTGGTATCGAGTTGTGTGATTGTCCTGACAAATACTCGGGCACTAGTTGTCAGGTAAATGCTATATTCATTTTAAGATTGATTTATGTCAAAGGAAATATCCTTTATGCCAAAATATAATATGATACCACCATACCATTCCACTAACCGATCTTAACCAAATCAATCATAAAGTTACGGTCCAAAAACTAAGTTGCTCAATCGTGATCATCGTACGGAAACGTAGGGAAACCAAAATGACGGCTTGGATGATTCTATGTGAAGAAGAAGAGCGAGCATTACACCAGAGAAAAATTGCTCTTTCTTGCTCAAGGTTTCTTCTCCACGTTTACACTTGGTTCGAAAGCTACTTCCATCATCAGGTAGAATATGCAAAGGGAGATAACTTGTGCCTCACATTTTTCTATCTCTTGCACGAAAGAGTCTCGATCTTAGCTAGGATCGGATCATAAGAGCAGGACTGGCTACAATCAGCCCGAGATCGGTTAAAGGAACGGAAGTAACTTTTAGCTAAGACGATTGTAAAATTGTCGTAACTTGCTAGGATTGATCTTAGATAAGATCGGTTAGTCGAACGGCGCCCTGAACCATCAGTTTGACTGTCGTTCTGTTACTGTCCTAACCATATATGTTACCTTACATTGTTGTCATTTTCAGAATCCTGGTGATGGGTTCTTTAGAGAAAAGCAAAATGGAACCAATGACCTTTCTCAACCTGAAATCACCATTGGGCGAATCAGACGCTGTCGTTGCAACGGACACAGTGATGTTTGTGACCCGGAAACAGGATTCTGCAGGGTAAATACCAAAACTATTTCAAGGTGTATAAGCAAAGAGAAAAGAAATTATTCAGATGAGTTCATACAGCTTTAGAATAAGTAATGACACAAAGTTCCTACTAAGACTGAACAACCTATGATGCTTCATTAAAACTTCTATGACGTGTCCTTAACTATAATGATTCAGGGCCCCAGTTATGTAGCTTTTTGAATAGGGCCCAAGGCAAAATATCCTTTAGTACACTGCACATGGAGGTCGAGCAAATTTAATATTTTAATGTAACCTATGTCTTGGTAATTTGTATTCATTTCAAATTAGGACGGTGGGGTAGCTTAGTGGTTAAAGCGTTGGCTTGTCACGCCGAAGACCAGGGTTCGAATCCCCACATGGGTACAACGTGTGAAGCCCATTTCCGGTGTCCCCTGCAATGATGTTGCTGAAATATTGCTAAAAGCGGCATAAAACCAAACTCAGTTAGTCAGTCATTTCAAATTAAAAGATGTAACTGGATATTCAGACTTCTGCAGCAAATGAAACAGTCTGCTGTTAGATATGCATGTAAGATTACATAGATCTGTTTTCCTCGATTACAACACCGACGTGATGTCATGTTCAGGATGTTATCTCAAACTGACATAATGTGACAATAGAATGATATAACCGAGACACCTGGTGTCAGAGTCTGTGTATTCTGTGTATTCCCAGGAGTGCCAGCACAACACTACTGGAGACCGATGTAACCAGTGTCTGCCGGGGTTCTTCGGAGTGGCAACCCGTGGCTCCCCCTGGGATTGTTCTCCATGTGCCTGTCCGCGCATAGAACCCTCAAACAGGTAAACAGTCGGTACTGAAACAGCGAAGCTTTTGTCAACATCAAGTCCTCAAGACCATTCAGTAGATCAGTAGATTGTTGATAAACACTGAAACAGTGAAGCTCTTGTCAACATCAAGTCCTCAAGACCATTCAGTAGATCAGTAGATTGTTGACAAAACACTGAAACAGTGAAGTTCTTGTCAACATCAAGTCCTCAAGACCATTCAGTAGATCAGTAGATTGTTGACAAAACACTGAAACAGTGAAGTTCTTGTCAACATCAAGTCCTCAAGACCATTCAGTAGATCAGTAGATTGTTGACAAAACACTGAAACAGTGAAGTTCTTGTCAACATCAAGTCCTCAAGACCATTCAGTAGATCAGTAGATTGTTGACAAAACTCTCAAACACTGAAACAGTGAAGCTCTTGTCAACATCAAGTCCTCAAGACCATTCAGTAGATCAGTAGATTGTTGACAAAACACTGAAACAGTGAAGTTCTTGTCAACATCAAGTCCTCAAGACCATTCAGTAGATCAGTAGATTGTTGACAAACACTTGAAGTTCTTGTCAACATCAAGTCCTCAAGACCATTCACTGAAACACAGTGAAGCTCTTGTCAACATCAAGTCCTCAAGACCATTCAGTAGATCAGTAGATTGTTGACAAACAAAGTTCTTGTCAACATCACTCAAGAAACAGTTGACAAAACAGAAACAGTGAAGTTCTTGTCAACATCAAGTCCTCAAGACCATTCAGTAGATCAGTAGATTGTTGACAAAACTCTCAAACACTGAAACAGTGAAGCTCTTGTCAACATCAAGTCCTCAAGACCATTCAGTAGATCAGTAGATTGTTGACAAAACACTGAAACAGTGAAGTTCTTGTCAACATCAAGTCCTCAAGACCATTCAGTAGATCAGTAGATTGTTGACAAAACACTGAAACAGTGAAGTTCTTGTCAACATCAAGTCCTCAAGACCATTCAGTAGATCAGTAGATTGTTGACAAAACACTGAAACAGTGAAGTTCTTGTCAACATCAAGTCCTCAAGACCATTTAGTAGATCAGTAGATTGTTGACAAAACTCTCAAACACCTGTCACCTCCAGGTACTCAAGACCATAGAGAAAAGTTCAGTAGATCAAAACCAGTAGATTTTTATGATGCCATGATCCTGATAAACATTCTGCTGTGAGCGTGATTTTATTTTCCTGTATTGAATCATAGAGTGTGAGACAAGATATAAGTGCATACCAGAATCATTATTGGCATGAACAGAGGTTAGTTCTAGAGAAAGACAGATTTTGCTAGATGATATGACGAGGAGTGTTTCTTAAATCTTTTTATTAAATTCCTTCAATGTCTTGGGGAGATAACTCATTGCTGGAAATTCATTCATATGAGTACCGTATATAACTGTAGATAAGCCGAATTTTGAGGACCAAAAATAGCATTCTGTAGAAGGGGTCGGCTTATCTATGGGTTACACCTTCGACAAACTTTTTTTCAGGGGGTAAGAAAACGACAATGTATCGCTTCGCATGAACAAACACACAAAAGAAGACAACTTTTGTCGGTAAAGACGTCAAATTTGCAATTAACCATCGCTAGACCAGATTATTTACCTATTCATTTCTAATTTGGTTTTGCTTGACATTGTCTTATATGCAGGGATTAAGATTACCATGTGTAATTGTCTCGTATACAGCACCGGAAATAGTGATCAGCTTAACGAATTGACTTTAACACTACTTCAAACAGTTACATCATGACATAACACGAAAATGTGTGAGGATCTGATGCAGGTGATTTATAAACGTTTACCACTTCAGTAAAGTCTGTTAACATATTCAAGGGAATATGGGATTTGAAAAACTCAGCAGGGGATTCTGGTGTACCAAAGGGATGTAACTCTGTGTAGTGAGTTGTGGCACCATAGATGACTGGGCCCCTGTGTACCCAAGATACCAAGAATTTTAGTCATCCCCCGCCATAACACGTGACAATGTGTAATCACGAGGGAACTATTTTTATGGGAGCCACAGATTATTCCACAGTTTAACCACAGCATCACAAATGGTGTTATTGCAAGGGATGACTGTATATATTAAATAGTAGGGCTTACTAATGTTTAATTTTGCTCCCCAGTTTCAGTTCTTCCTGTGAGGACATGTCAGGTGTGTTGACTTGCACCAACTGCTCAGTGGGCTACACAGGGTCTAGATGTGAAAGGTATGTACTGTGCAGGGTTTAAGTGAATAGTAATTCTGATTGGTCAATAAGAGGCCATGAAACATACATAGATTTCATATCAATGAAGTTGGAAGAAAATGTCTGGTGTGCAAACTCATTCAAATCAGGCTCCCCAATTCTGAAAACTGAAGTTTTTTCTCAAATTTCAAATTGAGTTTGACAATTTGAATCAGCTGAATTTTAACTCAATGGTATTTTTAAAATAAAAAGCAAACAAAAAAACTTCAGTAATCTATCCACCAAACTCATATTGTCTACTATGTTTGAGTTTAGTATCAATTTCAGTTCATTCGGGGAAATGCATTTTCTCCCATTTGAGTAATAGTCAAAACCCAGACTTAAGTTTGTTTTGAGAAATCGGGGCCAGATCTTAGTGCTGGCTACTGCTACACAAAACTAAGATCTGATTTTAATAACAAAGTCTGGTAGGCTATTCGACAGACATTTACTCTTCACAATTACTTTGTGCAAAATTATATTTACAAAGCGTAAAGAAAAATCCAAATGGAGCACTCAACAGTGTTTAATTTAAATGCCAAATCATTCTAGGCTTGAGTTGGATTCATTTCTTTGTTCATTCTCTGGTGCCTAAAAGACATACAGTGGACACTTTCATGTGCCAGCATCTCATTAATTTCCCCAAATGCAACCTTGTGATTTCAAAACTATTTGTGGCAAGTATGACAACAATCTAAAAAAGCATGTTCAGTTTGTTCTGTAACATTAATTATTTTGATCAAATTTGAGTCTTTTTTTAATTTAAAACTTAACATAACACAACTTTCGTTAGCAATGGCAACTTTGTGTTTTGTTTGAAATTTTTATTTTAGTATATCTCATTCATATGATTTACATAAAACATAATGAACCCTTTTTGGTTTTTGGTACAACTATAGTCCGTTTGGCTCAAAATTGGATCGATGAATTGCAGTCTAACTCAAAAACTAATAAACATATAATACTCAATGAAACACTGATCATAATCAAAACATCAGACCAACTCTGTTATTTTTGGCAACTCTGTGATTTTATGTCCGAAACATAAATAAGTTGTTTAACAAACTATCATTAACATTTTTACACAGTGCACTATTTGTTATGAGGGAGGAGTGCAAAGAGAGGAACAGCCTGGTGTACATGAAGCACGTGCATAAGTGCCGACAAAGTCATTGATTCATTTACCTGTGCTGTGGCGGCTCCATCCTTTCTCGCACACCTGGCTGTTCCTCGTAACAAATAGTGAACTGTGTCAAAATTTTAATAATAGTTTGTTAAACAACTCATTTATTTTCAGGACATAAATTCTGCAAAAAAATCAAAGACTTGGTCTGATGTTTGTATTATGATCAGTGTTTCATTGAGTATTATATGTTTATTACTTTCAAGTTAGATTGCAATTCATCGGTCCAATTTTAAGCCTATAGATAAATATGCCAGTACATGACTAACTGATGATTATGTTAAAAAACTATGTTGATCAGGTGTTCCCCTGGTTACTATGGCAACCCCCTGAAACTTGGCAGCAATTGTAAGCCATGCAATTGCAACAAGGAAGGATCTGTGACTGAGTCATGTGACATGAATACGGGCCGCTGTGACTGTCTCCCTGGTATTGAAGGCATCAAGTGTGATGAATGTGACGTACATGGCTTTGCTGTACAGAATGGCACCTGTGTCTGTATGTACTGCATCTTGTTCCATTCTCTACAAAACTCAGCGTTACCATATGTTGATCTGTCTCTGCAAGAAAACTTTGAAGAAAGAATATCCCTGTGTTTTAAAAATACATCCAGTAAATTTGTTTTAATGAAACACAACAAAAGCTATATTTTTGTATTTACTGGTATTTGAATTCAAACAAAGATCTTTTTAAAGTTAGTTTATGCTTTATCAGAATTCAGATTCACCTTGAAGTTATTTTGTTTAAAAGAATGAGTAAGTTAGTTCAGTTTTACGCCGCACTCAGCAATATTCCAGCTATATGGCGGTGGTCTGTAGTTAATTGAGACTGGACCAGACAATCCAGTGATCAGCAGCATGAGCATCGATTTATGCAATTGAGAACCGATGACATGTGTCAACAAAGTCAGCGAGCCTGACCACCGATCCCGTTAGTCGCCTTTTATGACAAGCATGGGTTGCTGAAGGTTCATTCAGTTTAGACTTCAAGTTGAAGACTTCAGTTTAGCCTTCAAGTTTAAGACTTCAGTGAATGAGGACTTTAAATGCCCATAATTGGCACCCTAATGTCATGAAAATTATTTGTATTGTTCATTCTACGTCCAGTAAGATATTCCTACATGTTCCTCATGTCATGCGTGTTTTGTTTTTACTTTTATCAAACTATGCATCCACATTGAAGACATTCAACAGGTACACATCCATGCATGAGACCGAGTGAAACTAGATCACCATCATCTGCAGCATGGTTACTGCTTATGTATCTCAGATTATTCTTTTATCCATCAAAGATTCTTTGCATGTCTTTTAAATTCTTTTGGAAGTCTCCTGTAGAAATAGGCATATTATTACCTTTCACCTACATATTTTGTTGATATAAAGTCATCCAGAAATTTTGAAATGATATGATTTGATCCTTCTGAAAACCTTAAGCATGAAAATACCTTCTTAAGTTCTGTGATATTACTTGTAGTTAGTTGAGGCTGTTCATCAAAAAGCTTTTCAGATTGACTTCACATTTAGTGTATAGTTGTGAAGTATAGTAAAGGCAAATGGGAATTGTTTTATGCACTATTTGATAAAGAGTCAGTTACAAAACAAAGATAGGCAGTGTGCGAAATAGCTTCCAAATTTTGCTAGCCAGTCGGGCTAGCTATGCCTGAAAATTACTACCACAAAATAATTCACTAGTCAGAAATTTGAATGTGGACACGGGTTTCATCATTAAGCTGCTAATATGATAAACATTTTCATCAGGCGATGATCTTGCATGGTTTAAAAGTGTGTTATGATTTAACAGTCAGAGAGAGTGATATATTAACAAAATGACCCCATGAAAATTCACTAGCCAGTCGGCCAGTGACTGTGGAGATTTACTGGCCCGACTGGATTTTAACTAGCCATGGGTTAGAGGGCCAGTGGCTATTTCGCACACTGAAGATAGGTCATACCATTATGTATTTAAACACACAGTTATATGGCTCTTCATATGTATGTTCAGATGTTTAGACCATGGATGGGGGGTGTTCATTTAACACTGCTGTGATCCATACCTTTACAAAAATTCAAATAGTCTTTAAATATCCAAACTGCAGGTAAACATTAGTAAATCTTTGACTATATTTCCTGGGTGCCGTTGTACAAAGCGATTTTAGCGTTAAGGTGACCGTAACTCCCATACCTTAACATAGATTTAAGGTAGTCTTAGCACTAAGGTGGCCGTAACTCCCATACCTTAACATAGACTTAAGGTAGTCTTATCGCTAAGGATGTTCTGTACAACAGCACCCTGCCCTTTAGCTACATAGTCAGTGCATTACATTCTTATGGGGTTGGGGGTGAGGGGTAGTGATTGTGTAAGATTATGAAGACTCACATAAGGCCTTATATTATGACTGGAATGGTTGACAGATCTGTTGTCCTTAAATACATACAATTAAAAGTAAATATCAGTATGACAAGTTGTATTTTATGTATACGTTAATGATCGCTGTGACAGAAATACGGCAATGAGTGCTGTTGTCAAGACTTAAGATTTATACGAATAATATCAGTAAGAACAGAACCAGGCCAGAATTGTAAAAAAGATTTATAAGTGACACCTCCAAATGAAACTTTAATAACATGATTAATGAACATCCTGTACAATGCATGCTGTCTTATCTATGTTTCAGTCTACAAACTAAATCGTTTCAATTTTAAAATCAGTAAACCAAAATGAAAAAGAATCTGGCCTAAAGTAAAGTATGATGAAAATATAATATCATCACTCATTACGCTCATCGTCATTAATTATCACTTGTTTGTTTTTAAGCAAATTCAGGATGAACCAAATGTATTGAGAAAAGTGTATGTTAAGATGTTCGATGTTATGTTCTGTTTGCAGCATGCTACACTGGTTGCCCTGGTGTTCTGTTGAATGACCTCCAGAACATGACCTTGGCAGTCAATTTACGGAACATCACAGTGCCGTTACCATGGAAGGAACTACGGAGGATCCAAAACGAAACAGTTGAACTTCTGGTATGAGTTGGAGGAAGTCAGAATTACCACTAATAAATTCAATAAACTGAAAGTACATTTTAAAAGATTTCTTTCAGATTCTCCATTCCTGCTGTCCTGCATAAACACATAATTAACACAAGGGCACAGGTGGTAAATTGAATCTGGTTTGGGGAAAGGCTTTCCCTTTGCCTTATTCATGGGAAAATTGAGTTGAAACTCTGAAGGCAAAAGGTAAATGCAATTTTCCCTTTGCTCAATTCATCGGAAAATAGAGTTGAAACTGTGTAACCTTTGTGTTCGAGTCCCTTGTAAATACAAATGGTATACTAAATCTGGTTTGGATGGAAGTGTTCCCTTTGCTCAATGCATGGGAAAATTGAGTTGAAATAGTGAAGCCATATTAGTTCTAAGCCCTTGTAAATACAAGTGGTAAACTGAATCTGGTTTGGAGGGGAAGCAATTAATTCATTGAGACATTGAGATAAAACTGTGAAACCATATTTTGTTCTAGGAGCTTGTCAACATTTCCAAGATGGCAAGTCTGGCCAATGTCTTTGACTACAGAAACCAAACTGAGTTTTTCCAGGATGTGGCTGAACGACTTATGAATCGGGTAAGTTTCTATAAATACATTGCAAGTGATTCAGTGCCATTTGATTGCCTACGCAAGCACTAATTTTATATTCATATTTCCGTAAACTGAAAACACTAATATGGCCATGCCCATTTTCGGACTACTGTTTCCTGTTTGGTGGAAAATTGGAAAAGCTTTGGTTGTAGAGTTGTGCTGAACAATGTCACTGATATGATGGTGTACAGTTATTTGGTATGTTCATGATTAAAGAAGCTGTTAAGTTATTACTGGTGATATATATATTATGAGAACTGATCTAGGTATGTACAGAATGGTGAGCAGACTGTATAAATATCCAACTCAACTCCCTGGGGAGTATTCAACTCATGCAGCCTGTTAGTCGCAGTCCTCACAAGGTACCTATTTGCCTCTAGGTGAACTGGGACACATAGTCACTGTATTTTGACCAAGTGTCTGCACATGTTCATGTGTCCACCATCTGGTCACCTACCATCGGATGAGAGGGTTCTTTTAAGTGAACAGGGTAGTGTACTGCACACTAGGGGTTTTGACTAAGCACTATCCTAACACCTTGAGAAATAAGGGCCAGAAAACTTGAACCATTCCAGGTGGGCCGCACTCAGAGACGAATTAATGGCCTGACTGTCGATGCCTCTAACATGCTGGACAGTGCCACAAAGATTGAGGACAACATTCGGAGATTGTTTGATGACATTAAGGGTAGGAACATTTTAAGAACATTTTTGGCTGTAGCCTACTTTCAGTTCATACCTGTAACTGCACAAAGTTTGCATCTATCACTCATATCCATATGTGTATAGTTTTCTTCTGTTCATCATTTTAACCTGTGACGTATTATGTACCTGTAAGTGACTTCAAGCTATGTATGCACATTGTGCAACTGTCAATTATGTTCACCTGTATGTATATTGTGAATCTGTCTACCAGATTCACCTGTGTCATTTCCATATTGTGCAACTGTGGATTATGTACTATATGCATATTGTGTCTGTTTATCAAATTTACCTGTGATATATACATATTGTGCACCTGTCAATCAGATTCACCTGTTATTGTGCACCTGTCAATTGGATTCACCTATTATGTATGCATACCGTTATTGTGCACCTGTCAATCAGATTCACCTGTTATGATCCTGTCAATCATATACTTTAACCTACAGTCTATGTCTATTTCAGGTGACATTAACGACCTGGAGACTTTAGTGGAGAGATTGTTCAACGTTCAATCAGGCGTCAATATCACTTCAGCATTTGCTGAGGCACAGCGTATTCTGAATGAGGTCTTGGGACGAGATTTCAGCAGAAGAGATGATGACTCATATGATGAAAGGAAGTATGTTAAAAAGATTATTTGGAGATGTTGAAGATTACCTTGGTATGACATATAGTCATAAAATATTAAAATATACTGTTTATTGGCATGAGTTGTCATATGAAGTTGTCATCAACTTGTTATATGGGTTTTGTGTCTGTGATTAGTTTGCAATTATAGGAATTGACTCACTTTAATGATTACACTGGTATTGGAGAAGGTCACCATTCTGATAAGCCTAGGCTGTATCTTAAGGACAAACTACTTTCTGCATTCTTTGGAGACCAACTACTGTCTGGCTGTCTTGGAATATGCTGCTTTCTTGATGTCTTGTGGACAGATTACTTTCTAGATCCTTTGGGGACGAACTATTTTCTAGACCTCTTAGGACAAACTTCTTTTAAGATCTCTTGTTGTCCACCACTCCACTACTTTCTAGATCTCTTGTAGACAAACTATTTTCAAGATCTGTAGGACCCTGGAATGGTTTACGCCAAGTGACCTTGAAGGAAGTTAATACTTAATAGTCATAAAATACATACTCTTCTTAAAGGCTTGCGGAGAAGTTGCTGAGAAGAGTACTCAGGTTGAAGAGGAAGAACTTCAATGCGACAGACACAGAGAAGAAGCTGAAGGATTTGACAGACAGTCTGGAGGACTTGAAGAATCAGTCCCAGAAGGCCAGTGCCGTTGCTAGACGAGTTCTGCAAGAAGAGACACTCAGACTCGGTGCCAAGCTAGCAGATATTTTGGTGAGGCCTTCATTGCTGCATTGTGTTTCACCTACCTTCAAGTCATCAATTTTTTTTGGTCTATAAGGACAAAGCAAAGTGAAAAAAGTGTGGAAAAGGAAATATACTGAGGAAAACAAATAAGAGAAAACCACTTCATGGCAGTGTTCCTTTATTTATTCTCAGATTTCCTCCCACAGAAATTCAAAGCTGGTGATGAAAGTTGGAAAATATTGAAGGAATGCTTGAATTTTCCTGTGTTCCTTTATTTGTTTCTCTCAGTATATTAAAAAAAATATGGGGGCTGTGTCACTTTCTATGTTAAGCTGGATGATGTAACTGAGATTCTGTTAATCCCAACTCACTCACTCACTCATTATTAGGAAAAGTATGATGACATAGAAGACCTGGGAGGTGATACAGACAACCTGGTGACCGACGGCAACTACTACATTGATGAAGCCCGGAACCTGCTGGATCGCCTGAAAGAAAATATCTGGGTATGTTCTCACATCTCCTGTCTTCTATACAGCCTACCCCGATTAAGACAGAACAGACCACATCCCTGTTCCTCAAACACAGCGCCAAGACTATCATGAATCCAATTCTTTACCACTGACTTAATCTGAAATTGGCCTAACAAAAGCAACCTTTTCTAAATAAATAATTGATGTATTTAAGCTCTGTTCATATCAGATGAGTATTGGTATTTTTGCAGTATTGGGTCAGCATTTAGTTTCATATTTGCTGGATTTGTTTTGATTTTTATGTTGATCAATGTCAAAAGTTCAAGGAGGGAATACAAAATCTTGAAGAAAGCCAATATCATGCCGATTTGCTTTGCACTATTTGGTCAAATGGTTGATTCTCCATGTTTGCCACAGTTGTCAGTGTGAAGTTACATTTATTTCTCAGGCAAATGAAGATCATGGCCCCGTTTCACAAAGCTCTCATCGCGCTATGACTATCATACTTCAATGTGACAGTATAGGAAGTAGGAATGCTACGGGAAAAGTTACGAGATCTTAGGCTTACGAGAGCTTCGTGAAACGGGGCCCATGTCAGCAAAGCCTGTATATCAAGGATAAAGGACACAAGTCTTGATTTGCAATGCTAACAATTTCACTACAACTCACTGATTGAACAGTCTGAGCAAAATATCAATGTCCAGTCACCAGTTTTATAGATTTGGTTTTATAAAATACTATGTAATTTCTAAATACTTTTGCATGTATGACATGTTGTCAGATAAAAACAGATGTTAATTTCAGTTATGTATTGTTTTCATTTTTAATGAACCTGATGGTAAGTTTTAGTGACTTGGCTCAGTGACATTGTAGATTGTTGCTCACAATATTGGTCACTGGATTGTCTGGTCCAGGCTTGAATCATTTCAGACTGACATCATATAGCCAAAATATTGATCCAAGTGCATAATCTAACAACAAACAAATCCTTGACCTTGTCTACTCAGACTCTGCAAAATCGCCACTCAACCCTGGACGCTGTAACTGATCGTCTGTCTGAGATTGTGGGGAACTTGAACCGGACAGTGCCTCGAGTGACCGCGATGGTGGACCGGGCCTGGGATCATGCCGAGAGACTGGCCAGATACGCCAAGCAACTGGATAGGTGAGAGACACAGAGTAGTGACGAGGCAAACAGACTTTGTTATAAACACGCGGCAGGGGATATAGTATTAGGCTCTGTCCGTACGTCTGTACATCCGTACATACTAATTGAAATATCTTAAGAACCGTTAACTAGATTCTTTTCATATTTAGTACCTATCTTCATCACAGTATGCAAAAGGTTTCAGTCAGGTTTTGTGACCTTGACCTTTAGTTCAAGGTCACAAGGGGACTTTAACCTTTTACCCTTGTCAGCAAGATATCTCAAGAACTGTTTACTGGATTTTCTTCATATTGACACCAAGCTTTATCTTGGGAAGGCGCAGGGCCCAGTCGATTTTGGTGACCTTCACATATTTTTCAAGGTCACGGCCAAACTTTGAAGATTTCAGCCTGTAAATCTGCATGTTAAGCTTATCAGTGAGACATATCACAAACGATTCACTGTATTTTCTTCATATTTGACACAAACCATCATCTTTGGAAGGTGCAGGTTGACTGGTCATTCTTTTGTCGTCATTTAACTTCATCTTAAACTACAACATTCACTTTCATTACTTTTTAAGTTTGATTTGATCATTTGCAGCAGGGGATTATGTCACCTAAGTGACAATGCTTGTTTTTTAGGTTTCTATTTCTTACTGTGGGTATTTTCAAAACTGATATGGGGTGCTACATGTGAGCTGCTGAGTTTTACACCACCTCTAGACATATTTCAGCAATATCACACGGAGGATACGAGAAATGGGGCACACATGTGGGAATCAGTCCAGGCCTTAGGTGCGATGAGTAAACACTTGAAATGCTTGGTTACCCTAACGCTGTTCCAAAAATAATATATTTCCTAAACTATTGTACCAAGTGTTCTTTGTTAATTTAGAAAGATTTTGATATGTTCCAGTCACAATAGAGGCAGGTATTAGATTATGGGTAGCCTAATGGTTATCCAAGCAATTGATTGTTTTGACAGGTTTAGGGATGCAGCAATATATGACCATTGATAATGATCCCAGGTTCTAGAATCACCACATGAAGGGCACAATGTGTGAAGCCCATTTCTGGTGTCCCCCGCCGTGATGTTGCTGGAATATTGCTGAAAGCAGCATAATACTAAACTGAAATGAATAATTGAGCACATTTCCCGATTTTGTTATTTATAGACTATTGGACAAACTTTTGAAAAATGGCAGATAAATCAATATCAATATCTTAATGCATGAATGTGTTTCGATGTTTAGCTTGTTCAACAAGACCCGAGTCGGAGCCGAGGATGCCTTGAGAGCGGCGAAGGTGTACAAGAACATTGTGAAGGCGATAGAAACTGCAGAGGATGCAGCCAATGATGCTTTGAGGAAAGCAAGAGATGCTGTCCGACTGGTAGGTGCTGACTAACAGAAGCATCAAACTGTTGCCATCATCATATTTATAGGAACAATGTCCATTGTATAAATCTGACTTCATCATGGGCATGTATTTGTGAATATCTGTCTACATAGTGATGACATGTCTAAGGCCCTGCAATTCAATGTCCAAAGTTGCATCCTTCAGGTGAACCAGAACCTATGAGGGGGCGGTGGGGTAGCGTAGTGGTTAAAGCATTTGGTTGTGACGCCAAAGACCTAGGTTCGATTCCCCACATGGGTACAATGTGTGAAGCCCATTTCTGGTGTCCCCTGCCATGATATTGCTGGGATATTGCTGAAAGTGGCGTAAAACCAAACTCTTTCAGTCACTCGGAACCTATGATTTCTGTTCTTCCTGATCTATCCTTATTATGGATCTAGTCTTGTTAGCATTGTAGTGGTAAATGTGTAAGAAATTGTATGCAGAGATGCCAACCTCTACGATGCTATCGTAGTCACTACGAATTTTAGCCTCAAACTACGCCAATACGATTGCACTAAAAATTCTATGGAATTTGATAAAATTCATTAACATTCGGATATATGGACTAAAACTGATACTTTCGTTGATTAAACAAACACATACGACAAGAAGAAATATAATGGTTATTATTTTTCCTTATATCCCGACTCATGATATTTTGCTTATCTCCTTCTTCTATGTGAATGGGAGTGGAACACTTGAATCCTTTGTAGTTCCTCAAAGAGGACGTAAAAGTTCTCTCACCCACGAGTTGCCTCCCTTTCCCCGCCAAAACAGTCATGTGACCTGCCATGCTTGTCACTCTCTCCTAACCTAAAATCTTACAGACCAGTCTCCAACTTGCCCTTTGCTGCTAAGATCATGGAGAGAGTGGTAGCATCAAGGCTTCATGATCATATCATCAGAACTGGGAAAGCAGAAAAGTTGCAGTCTGCATACTGATGTACGGAAACGGCTCTTGTACGTGTGTAGAGTGAATTGCTGCCGGCAATTGATTCAGATGGTGTGGCAGTGTTGGTGTTGCTCAATTTGTCAGCTGCTTTTGACACAATTGACCAGTCCATTCTTCTCAACATATTGAATTAGAGATTCAATCTTACTAGTGAAGCTTATTCCTGGCTGGATTCCTATCTGTCAGGACGATTTCAGTCTGTGAGAGTCAATGGGCAAATGTCAGAGAAAGTTAGCCTCAAGTATGGAGTTCCACAGGGTTCTGTACTGGGACCAGTGTTGTTTACTATCTACACATCACCTCTCGGGGGACATTGCTCGCGCCAATAATCTCTTGTTTTATCTCTACGCTGACGACACCCAGCTGTATCTGGCCTTCAAGCCCTCCAACAGAACATCAGTAGAGGATACATATCGTCGTTTGATGAACTGTATCAAGGACATCAAGGATTGGATGAACTTTCTCAAGCTCAACAGTGAGAAGACAGAACTGCTGATTCTCTCTTCAAAGTCAACGAAAGGCAAACTTGCTCTGCCCACCTTTGAAATTGGAGGCTGCATTATTGAACCAAGCAAAGAAGCATGAAATCTGGGATTTGTATTTGACTCATCTGTGAGTGCAGAGTCCCATGTAAACAAAGTATGCAGACATACATATTTAAACATCTGAAACATTACCCAAATACGTCAATTTGTAGATCTAAAGACCATAACATCTCTTGTTCAGTGCTGTGTTGTGTCCCATTTAGATTACTGCAATGCTCTTCTAATTGGACTACCAAAGCAATTGATAACAAAGCTGCAGCGTGTTCAGAATTGTGCAGCTAGACTTGTGACAAAGACAAAGAAAGACAGACACATTTCTCCAGTGTTAAAAAAACTTCATTGGTTGAAGGTGGCGGACAGAATCACTTATAAAGTGCTCCTGTTAACATTCAAAGCAAGGACAGGCCTAGCCCCTATGTATCTCCAGGAACTACTCCAGGAATACAAGCATGGGACAAGGCATGCTGTGTGTTCCACACACAAGGACCACCACCTATGGAGATCGATCCTTCGCCAGAGAAGCTCCACGACTCTGGAATGATCAGCCATTAAAACTTAGACTTGGCCACTTTTAAAACCAATCTCAAGACCCACCTTTTTCTCAAAGACATACGCCTAGACCGAGTGGACATTGCTGATACATGTGACATGCATCCTCTCAAAGCACTTTTGAGCAGTTATACTGACTGGATTCTTGCGCTATATAAGTTCTTAGTTGATGATGATGATAATGTGACGAGTTCCCATGGGGCGGGGATACAGGACGTATGTAAGGACAGCTGATGAATCCACGAAGTGGCTTGACCCACCACCAATCCGTCGGATTTTCTCTCCATACTCACCGATTTCACAAAATGGCGTCTCGTTGTTGATGCAAGCAGTGATCGTCGGGATATAAAAAGGAACACAAACACATGTTGCCACAATACACCGGTAATCTTTATTATGTAATATTCTCACCAACACTTACGCTGTATATCCACTTTCCAAATGGCGTCTCGTTGTTGATGCATGCAAGCAGTGATCGTTAAAAAAAGGTAAACAAACACCGGTAATCTTTATTATGTAATATTCTCGTAATGGTGTCTCGTCGTTGATGGACCATACTTACCGGGTACTCTGGTCTCTGTTGGCCGCGACCCATCGCGGGGGGTCGGCCTATCCATGAGAGATATGATTTTGACACTGATTTTGAGGGTCAAGTTTGGGGGTCGGCTTATCCATGGGGTCGGCTTATAGACGGTCATATACGGTAAAACTGATATTTTATACTTATCCTGACTCATGAGGTCAAGCCCTCCCAACCTCCCCGCAAAAGACACTTCGGGTTTCCGAGCAAACCCAGGTGCATGGCCTTATTCAGGAGAGAGTGACCCAGATAGCATTCAGACTTTGGCCCAACGGTGGCAATTGTTTTGCCAACATTGCCAACGTTGAGCCAACGTCCGAATGCTATCTGGGGACAAGCATGGCAGGTTGCATGACTGTTTTGGCGGGAAAAGGGAGGCAGCTCGTGGGTGAGAGAATCTTTACGTCCTCTTTGGGGAACTACAAGGGATTCAAGTGTTCCACTACCATTCGCATAGAAGAAGGAGATACTAGTAAGCAAAATATCATGAGTCAGGAAAAGTATAAAATATGAATTTTACTTAAAAAATTACATATTTGGAAATCGGCTGTTGGTGGTATGTGAAATTAAAGCTTCACTCTTGATTAGTGTCATATTATCTTTCTCAGAATCCATCATGTTTTTTTAGTATTTAGTTGACTACTAATTTTGTGGTCAAACTACTAATTTTGATCCTTGAAACTACTATTTGCAACACTTTGGGGTTGGCATCTCTGTGTATGTATGTGTTGACTGTGAATTCTCCACTTAATATACATCTTTCCTTAGGCCAACTTGGACAGGATTCGCTATGATGTTGAAAAGTCTATTAACCGCAGCCGTGCTCTGATGAAGCAGGCTGATGAGAAGAGGAACACTGTTAACAACCTTGGTGGCGACCTTGTCTTCCTCGAGAACGATTTGGATGGAGTGCAGAAGCTCCACGAGGACACGTAAAGAATGCAGGACATGTTGAACAGAGACATGGCTAGGCTGCCTTCAGGTACAGATTATCTTCCCCTGAGATGCAGTAAATCTGTATGTGGATCTATTGTCTTACCAGGTCATGTGCAGTAAATCTGTATGTAGATCCATTGTCTTACCAGGTCATACAGTAAATCTGTATGTACCAGGGTAGATAAAATGTCTGACCAGGTCATGTGCAGTAAATCTGTATGTAGATCCATTGTCTTACCAGGTCATACAGTAAATCTGTATGTACCAGGGTAGATAAAATGTCTGACCAGGTCATGTGCAGTAAATCTGTATGTAGTTCCATTGTCTCACCAGTCATGCAGTAGATCTGTATGTACCAGGGTAGATAAAATGTCTTACCACATCATACAGTAAATCTGTATGTAGTTCCATTGTCTTACCAGTCATGCAGTAAATCTGTATGTAGATCCATTGTCTTACCAGGTCATGCATTTAATGTGTAGTTTTATTGTCTTACAAGGTCTTGCAGGAAATCTGTATGTTCCGGGGTAGATAAAATGTCTTTCCAGGTCATGCAGTAAATCTGTATGTAGATCCATTGTCTTACCAGGTCATGCAGTTAATGTGTAGTTCCATTGTCTTACCAGTCATGCAGTAAATCTGTATGTAGATCCATTGTCTTACCAGGTCATGCAGTTGATGTGTAGTTCCATTGTCTTACCAGTCATGCAGTAAATCTGTATGTAGATCCATTGTCGTACCAGGTCATGCAGTTAATGTGTAGTTCTATTGTCTTACAAGGTTTTGCAGGAAATCTGTATGTACCGGGGTAGATAAAATTGTCTTACCAGTCATGCAGTAAATCTGTATGTAGATCCATTGTCTTACCAGGTCATGCAGTTAATGTGTAGTTCCATTGTCTTACCAGTCATGCAGTAAATCTGTATGTAGATCCATTGTCGTACCAGGTCATGCAGTTGATGTGTAGTTCCATTGTCTTACCAGTCATGCAGTAAATCTGTATGTAGTTCCATTGTCTTACCAGTCATGCAGTAAATCTGTATGTAGATCCATTGTCTTACCAGGTCATGCAGTTAATGTGTAGTTCCATTGTCTTACCAGTCATGCAGTAAATCTGTATGTAGATCCATGTCGTACCAGGTCATGCAGTTAATGTGTAGTTCTATTGTCTTACAAGATTTTGCAGGAAATCTGTATGTACCGGGGTAGATAAAATTGTCTTACCAGTCATGCAGTAAATCTGTATGTAGATCCATTGTCTTACCAGGTCATGCAGTTAATGTGTAGTTCCATTGTCTTACCAGTCATGCAGTAAATCTGTATGTAGATCCATTGTCTTACCAGGTCATGCAGTTGATGTGTAGTTCCATTGTCTTACCAGTCATGCAGTAAATCTGTATGTAGATCCATTGTCTTACCAGGTCATGCAGTTTATGTGTAGTTCCATTGTCTTACCAGTCATGCAGTAAATCTGTATGTAGATCCATTGTCTTACCAGTCATGCAGTTGATGTGTAGATCCATTGTCTTACCAGTCATGCAGTTGATGTGTAGTTCCATTGTCTTACCAGTCATGCAGTAAATCTGTATGTAGATCCATTGTCTTACCAGTCATGCAGTAAATTTGTATGTTCCGGGGTAGATCAAATGTCTTTCCAGGTCATGCAGTAAATCTGTATGTAGATCCATTGTCTTACCAGGTCATGCAGTTAATGTGTAGTTCCATTGTCTTACCAGTCATGCAGTAAATCTGTATGTAGATCCATTGTCTTACCAGGTCATGCAGTTAATGTGTAGTTCTATTGTCTTACAAGGTTTTGCAGGAAATCTGTATGTACCGGGGTAGATAAAATTGTCTTACCAGTCATGCAGTAAATCTGTATGTAGATCCATTGTCTTACCAGGTCATGCAGTTAATGTGTAGTTCCATTGTCTTACCAGTCATGCAGTAAATCTGTATGTAGTTCCATTGTCTTACCAGTCATGCAGTAAATCTGTATGTAGATCCATTGTCTTACCAGGTCATGCAGTTTATGTGTAGTTCCATTGTCTTACCAGTCATGCAGTTGATGTGTAGATCCATTGTCTTACCAGTCATGCAGTTGATGTGTAGTTCCATTGTCTTACCAGTCATGCAGTAAATCTGTATGTAGATCCATTGTCTTACCAGTCATGCAGTAAATTTGTATGTTCCGGGGTAGATAAAATGTCTTTCCAGGTCATGCAGTAAATCTGTATGTAGATCCATTGTCTTACCAGGTCATGCAGTTAATGTGTAGTTCCATTGTCTTACCAGTCATGCAGTAAATCTGTATGTAGATCCATTGTCTTACCAGGTCATGCAGTTAATGTGTAGTTCCATTGTCTTACCAGTCATGCAGTAAATCTGTATGTAGATCCATTGTCTTACCAGGTCATGCAGTTAATGTGTAGTTCCATTGTCTTACCAGTCATGCAGTAAATCTGTATGTAGATCCATTGTCTTACCAGGTCATGCAGTTAATGTGTAGTTCCATTGTCTTACCAGTCATGCAGTAAATCTGTATGTAGATCCATTGTCTTACCAGGTCATGCAGTTAATGTGTAGTTCTATTGTCTTACAAGGTTTTGCAGGAAATCTGTATGTACCGGGGTAGATAAAATTGTCTTACCATGTCATGCAGTGAATTTGTATGTAGATTCATTGTTTTACCTGGTCATGCTGGTGACAGTTCAACACTTGCATTAATGTGATGATGCTTTATTTTAATAATTAGCACTAGTATGACCATTGTGATTGAAAACATTCACAAAACATGTTTATGGCCTCACTGTAGATCTGAGCAACAGACTGGGCAGGCTGACCAGGACAGTGGACGATACGAAGCGCAGGGCTGGACGTACAAACAGGAAGGTGGACAAACTCATCGACAAGATGAAAAAAATTCTTCCCGGGCTGGAGGATCTCCAGGACAAGAACACACAGTTTGTGATAGATCAAGCTTCAAAACAGTGTAAGTGGTGAAATACAGTACAACCAGAAATTATTGAGAATTTAAAGATTGTAATTTTTTAAAACATTTTCACTCATTACTCACATATTAAATGTGAATAGTAGCAGAACATAACTCCAGATTCAAAGACAGGTGAACAGTTAGTATTTTGTCAAGTCACCATGGGCAGCAATGCAGGCTTCAAAGCGGAGGGGCATACCACTGATCAAAGAAGTTTGAAAGTTGTGGTCCATGGTGTCCCAATATCGGACCATCTCTTCTTTCATTTCAGCAATATTTGTCAGATTTTTCTTATTGACACTTTTCCTTCATAAGTCCCCAAACATTTTCTATTGGATTTAGGTCAGGGCTATAGCTTGGCCAATCTAATAATGTCATATTTTGGGTCCGAGACCAGGCCTGTGAATGCTTCAAACGATGTTTTGGGTAGTTGTCCTGCTGAAAAATAAAAAAAATGTCCATAGAACACGTGAGCAGATGGAAGTAAATGTCCCTCGAGAATATCTGTGTACCGCTCATTGTTCATATTCCCTTCAAATACACAGAGGGGTGTTGCCCCTAACACAGATATGCCACCCCACATGTTAAATTTCGGACTGTACTTTGGGCACTGATACAAAGGTTTTTCAGTTTGTTTGGTCCAGAATTTCAGTGTATTAGGAAACAGCCACACAGACCTTTCATCTGAGAAAATCACATTGTCCCAGGTAAAATTTCTATGCTGTAAGCACCAGTTCAACCTTCGCTCCTTTTGTTCAGGTTTCATGTTGGGTGATGGAATTCCTTGACTTTTCTGCCAACCCATTGCGTGCAGCTCAGTTCTAATTGTCTCCTTACAGACAGCCACAGTTCCTCTATCAATCATATCCAGCCTTAAGTTTTCTAAACTCCTTCGTTTGTTTTTAGAAACAAGAATACCAAGCCGCCTCCTGTCACCGACAGTCAATTTTCTGGGCCTACCTGCGCCTGCCTGGTGCTCAATGCCATATCCATTTGCAATATTTTTCAAAACACGATAAACAGTGGACAAAGGGATGCCTGTTCTACTTGAAATCACTTAAGCTGATCTGATGTCCTTGTTATAATACTCTAAAATCAACTTCATCTTCTCTAAATCATCCATACTGAGGATCACTGAAAATGTCGTCTGCTAGCAAGTAAACAAAGGGGAATAACTCTTCACAAACTAATGAAAAAGGTTTAATGGAGTTGTCTCCCTTGAATGAAACCAAGCACTTGATAGCTGGTCAAGGTTGTTTATACTAGAAATCCAATTAAACATATTCCTAAAATTCTCAATAACTTCTGGTCATACTATATACTTCTCTTGTGAACATGTACAAGTCATGATTTTCTTTCCTATCATCAACATTGCAGACAGTGGTTTCCTATTCCATATAATGATCGCCATGATTTGTTTAGTGGGAAAAGCTCGGAATAACAAGAACAAGATACTGGGCATCATGGGTGATGTTCAGCAGCAAGCGATTCAGTCACAGATGCTGCAGAACAACGTCTCCCGCAACATCCTTCAGCTCCAGGAGCGGATCAGGCTGGCAAGGGAGCTCGCCAACAACGTGAGTAGGGATGATGTCATATGTCAGGGCCTCAGATTTTGGAGCTCTTGTCAGTAGCCTAGCATTAGAGACCAGTAAAGATCCGGGTTAGAATTGGTCTTCAGTAACCCATGCTTGTCTTAAGAGGTGACTAACAGGATCGGGTGGTCAAGTTCGGAGACTTGGTTGAGACATGTAATCGTATGCCACTTGTGTAGATCAATGCTCATGATGTTGATGGCTGGATTGTTTGGTCCAGACTGCTGCCATATAGCTGGAATATTGCTGAGTGTGGCTTTAAACAACAAATAGTCAATCAATCAATCTAGCGTTAGATTGTCAAAGTGACTACCTGGATTCCACACATTGGTACAGTGTTTTGGTACAAGTTTAGTGTCCCTGCTGTGATAATGCATAAAATTACCAAATCATTCACTCATTTTCATCCCCTTATAAACCTTGGAAAACTGTGGTGCCCGGCCATATCAGGCATATGATATGTAAATCTCCTTAATAGCTGTCAGAAATTATAATAGCAGTCAGAAAACATGTTTCTCTAGCTCTCCTTCAAGAGGGATCTACTGGAGGTCAATGAAACATGATACGTGTCATCCTTTTGAGCAGTACCACGACTGGAAGTAACTATTGGAAGTGCCATTGGATGGGAAGTGAATGACCTATAAATAAGTCAAGGTCAAAGTATTTGCCTGTTGTAGAATACTGTTTGTATGGAGAAGGGGAAGCTAACAAAATGTCAATACCATGTTGGATGACTGATGATGCCAAACTCTCTACTAATATTGATGAATGTTTTCGGATTGTCCTGCAGATGAAACTTTCCATGAAGGGAGATGGTCGCTGTGTCCGGTCGTACCGCTCCGTCAGTCAGCCTGGTGCCACCAATGATATCAGCTTTGGCTTCAAGCTGAACAAGACTCAGGACAGCATGCTACTTGTCCTGATACAGAAGTCACCACAGGTAGGCACAGATACCATTGACATCATCTCAAGTTATAATACAGGTAATGAAAGCGTTTGGATTTGGGCCCAATATTATCAAATGGATCCAAATCCAAACGCTTTAATCGATGAACTCAATAAAATAATCTATAGATTCATATGGATAATATGATAAGATTAAACGGTCTAATATCAGTAGAACTTACGAGGATGGGGGCCTCAGAATGATTGACATTGAATGTTTCATTAATGCTTCGAAATTATCGTCATTGAAATGTCACTTATGGAAATCTTCAAGTTTTAATAGCATCTTTCCCTTAAGTCATCTGTACTTTCTAGGTTCTAATGCTGTTGATTGCTTATCTGGCAAAGATAATCCTTATTGGAGAGATGTTTTATCTGCTTGGAGAGTATGTTATAAAAAACACACTTTTGACAGCGATGACTTAGACTAAATCTTGGCTCAGCCACTTTGGTTAAATCATTTCTTTAAATCTTCATACATGATGAGAAATTGGTTTAATTGCGGTATACATTATGTCAGCGATATTTGTAATGAAAATGGATTTCTCAGTTTTGAAGATGTAAAACAGAGGTACAAAATAAGAGGAACCTTCTTAGATTATCATCATTTGTTAAATAACATTCCAGTGAACTGGGAGACAACTTCTAGGAAACAGAGCTCTGCTTAAATCAATTAAACATTAATAGAGTTTACCAAGATATGATCTCAAATGTTAAAGGTTCAAGGATATTCTATGATAAATTGATTAAGGACAACAATACCCCTAAGGTACTAGAGTATTGGAATACTGTCTTTCAGCAGGATATAATGTGGAGTGATGTATTCAGATATTACAGGAAATGTACAAATGATTGTAAGCTGACATCAATCTGAAGTTGCGAGATTTATGTATGATGTACCAAAGAGTATCGCACACTCACTGCCAGCTCACGCCTTGTCTGTATCCATGTATTGTAGGAGTTCCTGGCAGTGGAGCTGATCAACAACAAGATCCGGTTCACATGGGACAATGGTGGAGGGCAAGGGTCCGTGACCCATGATGTGGAGGTCAAGCTGACACCAGCTGACACACCCGAGGGAGACAAGTGGTACAGAGTAATTGCACAAAGGTAAAATCAATTTACAGCAAAACATTCTTCAGTTTCCTTCTGTCTATAAGCATTAAACATCCAGCTCAAATTTTGTGTTTACTATGAAACGTTAAGGGTCAGTTTGTATCTCTGGGTGTATATTCAGGCGAAAACTTGCAGCTGTAAACAAATGAGGTACAACAACCTTGCCGTGCAGACCTGGTTTAGAATTGATCTTCAGTAACCCATGCTTGTTATAAGAGGCGATTAACGGGATCGGGTGGTCAGGCTCACTGACTTGGTTGACACATATCATTGTATCCCAATTGCGTAGATCGATGCTCATGCTGTTGATCACTGGATTGTCTGGTCCAGACTCAATTATTTAAAGACAGCTTGTCTTAATCTTTGCAGGATTCAATTAATCCTGTGGTCAGACTTACTGACTTGGTCTTCAGTAACCCACGCTTGTCACCCATGAATCCGGGTTCATATTGACAATGACTTCAGTGAATTAGAACCTTCCCATAGCTGTTCAGTTTCACCAAAGTAGAATCAACCCTTTTCATACACAGAAAGCAATAAAGTTGTTAAATTATATATGTTTCAGCAGCATCTGTTTACTTTCGGATGGTGATGGTTAGGCTTGAAATAGGTAGTGTTAGAGCTTCAGAGGAAAGGCCCTGAAAAACGCTTATTTGTGTACTGTTAAGATAGCTCTCCTGCTGAACATGTTTCATCCAAGGGGATGGTTCACACAGCAACATAGGGTGCTATCTCTGCTTTGATATATCCGGGCAGTACCTTTGATTTCACACGTCTTCAGTTCCCAATGGCGCAAATCGATGCTCATGCTGTTGATCACTGGATTGTCTGGTCCAGACTTGATTGTCTGCAGATCACCGCCATATAGGTGGAATATTGCTGAGTGCGCCATAAAACTAAACTCACTCACTCACTCACCTTTGAACTCATCAACTTGACAAATCAAGCGTCATTGAACTTCTTGTGAGTTGTATATTAATGGTACTATTTGCTGCTAGGATCGGGCGTATCGGCTTGCTGAAGGTGTACCATGTGAAGGACTCAGAGACTACAGCCAAGGAGGCCAGCGGAACTTCCCCAGTTGGACACTCTGTACTCAAACTGGATCTCGACTCGGACGTTTTCTTCGGGGGAGTTGATGCTAACTTTGATGTAAGTACAGTCAATAAGAACAGAAAATACATTCTGTTTACTAAGCAAACATTTCTTTACTATACCTAGTTATTGTAATTAGTGGGGTGGTGGGAGCCTAGTGGTTAAAGCTTCCACTCATCACGCTCAACACCTGGGTTTGATTCCCACATGGGTACAATGTGTGAAGCTAGAATATTGCTAAAAGTGGCGTAAAACCATACTCACTCACTATTGTAATTAGTAAAAGAGGAATGATGTCCTTGAGTTTGAAAGTTTATTTTGAGAATTATTTCATCTTAAGGACAAGAGGAATAATGTATTACCTCAAGACTCAGACCAGCCATATATCCTTGTAAAGATCCGGTTTGGAACTGATTTCAGCAACCCTGGCATGTCCAAAGAGAGAGTGAGTTTAGTTTTACACCGCTTATTCCAGCAATATCATGGCAGGCGGCACCAGAAATGAGCTTCATAGATAATACCCATGTAAAGAATCAAACCCGGGTCTTCAGCCTGATGAGCAAATGCTTTATCCACTAGACTACCCCACCACCCTGTCCTAAGAGGGGAGGACTACTGCGATTGGATGGCCAGACTTGCAGATTTGGCATTCCAGTTGTGTAGACTGATGCTGGGGATATCAATCACTGGATCGTCTGATCTAAACTCTATTTGTTGCAGACTGCCATTGGACAGCTGGAATATTGCTGAAAACAGTCTTAAATGACAAGCAACTGCCAAACAAAACCAGCTATTTAACAGGAAGTTAATATGTCAACAACTTCAAATGCAATTGACATAATTATTACCAATGAGAATGTGATCATTCAGTTCAGTTTGTGACATTGGGCACGTATTTGCAGACACCTCCAGGGATAAGCAGACGGAATATGACTGGATGTCTTGGAGATATGAAAGTTGACAGGAAAGCGGTTGGCATGTACAACTTCAAGAACACTTCAGCCTCATGCCGACCTTGCAATGAAGTGTAGGTTAAACCTGCCCGAACATAAATGGCATATCAGTATGTGGTGGAGATATGATGATAATAATAATAATAATAATGAAAGTATTTATACTGCGAATACTCCACACCACAAAGGGGCATGCTCAAAGCGCACACAAACAGCACAACATTATTACCCCAGATAACTCAAGCTGCCTGTTAAGCCCTAGTCATATTACTTATCCCACCGGGTACCCATTTTCTGTGATGAAGAGTGGATTCACCCTGTGAGGATGTAAATTACTTATCAGTATATGGTGTAGGTATTCACTCTTTATGGTTTGTGTTGCGGTTAAATAGGTTCTTCTCACAAGAAAATATGGAGGCTTACAAGTCTAAGACATCTAGGCGTTGGAAGAACAAGACGAATATTTTAAGTATTATAACATTATATTTGTAACAACATTTCGTGACTACTTCTTGCCCCCTTTGTCAAGTTGCATGACATGTTGAGGAAGGAAGAAAATAGTTAATAGTAAATAATTTTAATATTTGAATATTGTTTATTTTTTTTAGCCATTTCCTCAGATATGACCATGTTTTCTGTTTCCCAGACCTACCCCGCCAATCAGCACAAACGAGTACCAGTTTGATGGAACTGGTTACGTGGAGAAGGACCGTGATTCCTACCGCAGTGACAGAATCAATGTGGCATTTTCATTTAAAACCTACTGGGAAAATGCCATGTTGCATTTCTCCGGAAACCCAGATATGGTAAGGATAAATATTTGAATATGCTCCATAAAGTTGTAGTGGGTGATTATTGTCTCCCGCTGCAACGCGGAACAGGGGACTATGTATTCAGAGGCATCCGTCCGTACATCTGTATGTACCTCCCGATTCTTGTTAACATGATATCTCATGAACTCTTGTACCCAATGTCTTCAAATTTGGTGGCAGCCTACATTGGGGAATTATGCAGAAACCAGTCGATTTGGGTGACCTTGACCTTATTTTCAAGGTCACCACGACACTTTGACCACTTTTCAAACTCTTCTTAACGCGATATCTCATGAACTGTTGTACCCAATGTCTTCAAATGTGGCAACAGCCTACATTGGGGGATTATACAGACACCAGTTTATTTGGGTGACCTTGACCTTATCTTCAAGGTCACCATGACACTTTGACCGCTTTTCAAACTTATTTTAATCGATATCTCATAAAACATTGCACCCAATGTTTTCAATTATGTTGGCAGCCTACTTTGGGTGATTATGCAGAGACCAGTCATTTCAGGCATCTTGTATGTGACCAAAAAATAAAAAGTAGTAAATATAGATATGCCATTCTTTAGCGACGGGGGACATTGACATATCAGTGGCAAACACTTGTTGTTGAAGCTCACACTTCACTCTTGGTCTGCTGTTTCCCTATCCTAAGAAGATGTTGTGTGTTTACAGGGTGACTTCATGTCTATTGAGCTGCGTGACGGCAAGGTGATGTTCCAGTTCTACAATGGTGGAATGAGTCTGGGCAAAGGAATGACCAAGAATAAGTACAATAACAACAAGTGGACTAAAGTTGGAATTGAACGGAATAAGCTGCAAGGTAGGAGACTTTATCTAATGTAGGTACGATGCTTGCAATGACGATAATGTTGATAATGATGGCAATGATAAGGTTGATGATACTGGCAATGACTATAATGTTGATGATGATGCAAAGATAATAATATTGATGATATAATGATGGCAATGACGATAATGTTGATGATGATGATGGCAATGATAAAGTTGATGATGATGGCAATGATGATAATGTTGATGATGATAATATTGATGATTATGGCAATGACGATAATGTTGATGATAATAGCAGTGACGATAATATTGATGATGATGGCAATGATAAAGTTGATGATGATGGCAATGATGATAATGTTGATGATGATAATATTGATGATTATGGCAATGACGATAATGTTGATGATAATAGCAGTGACGATAATATTGATGATGATGGCAATGATAAAGTTGATGATGATGGCAATGATGATAATGTTGATGATGCCAATGATGATAATATTGATGATTATGGCAATGACGATAATGTTGATGATAATAGCAGTGACGATAATGTTGATGATGATGGCAGTGATGATAAGTTACATTTACAGATACCCAATCAACTAAATGCTTCAAAATCAGTATGTTTCTGTGAGGTGTGTTCCCTGGATCCACAATTTAAAAGGATTTTGTGTCTTGTGTTCAGCTGAGAACAACACTGACAGGTTTTGGTTTTATTTCATTCAAGAATCAAATTGTAACATGTCCATATTTATTTCAGCGTTGTTAAAGGTGGATGACGAACAAGTGTTCATTCAGGCCAATAGAGGCAACAATGGCCTTGACCTTAAAGGATATCCATTCTATTTTGGTGGCATTCCAGCAAGCCTTGACCTCTCCAAGTATCAGAAAATGTGAGTCATATGATGTGCTGGTACATTCTGCATTACAGTAGGTACCAAGTTGGTGTAATCAGAATTCTCCAAATCATGTCACCTATTTGCAATTCAAAAACTGATGGGTTTCATCAGTCTGTACTCCTGTTAGAATTTAAGAACTAAACCCAAGAACCTCTTGGGTTTTATAAGCTTGTTACATCACCGGTTAGTATTCCTAAACTGAATCCCAGGAACCATTAGGATTCTTGAGCTTGGTTCCATCACCGGTTAGTATTCCTAAACTGAATTTCGTGACCTTCTAGGATTCATGAAGTTGCTGCTAGGATTCATGTCCTGAATCTTGTCACCTGTTGGGAGTCATCTGCTGAATCTTGTCAACTGTTGGGATTCATGTCCTGAATCTTGTCACATGTTGAGATTCATGTCCTGAATCTTGTCACATGTTGGGATTCATGTCCTGAATCTTGTCACATGTTGGGATTCATGTCCTGAATCTTGTCACATGTTGGGATTCATGTCCTGAATCTTGTCACATGTTGGGATTCATGTCCTGAATCTTGTCACATGTTGGGATTCATGTCCTGAATCTTGTCACCTGTTGGGATTCATGTCCTGAATCTTGTCATGTTGTTGGGATCTTGTCATGGATTCATGTCCTGAATCTTGTCACATGTTGGGATTCATGTCCTGAATCTTGTCACATGTTGGGATTCATGTCCTGAATCTTGTCACTGTTGGGATCTTGTCACATGTCACTACCTTGGGATTCATGTCCTGAATCTTGTGATTCATGTCCTGAATCTTGTCACATGTTGGGATTCATGTCCTGAATCTTGTCACATGTTGGGATTCATGTCCTGAATCTTGTCACATGTTGGGATTCATGTCCTGAATCTTGTCACATGTTGTTGGGATTCATGTCCTGAATCTTGTCACATGTTGGGATTCATGTCCTGAATCTTGTCACATGTTGGGATTCATGTCCTAAACCTTGTCACATGTTGGGATTCATGTCCTGAATCTTGTCACATGTTGGGATTCATGTCCTGAATCTTGTCACATGTTGGGATTCATGTCCTGAATCTTGTCACATGTTGGGTTTCATGTCCTAAACCTTGTCACATGTTGGGTTTCATGTCCTAAACCTTGTCACATGTTGGGTTTCATGAGCTGAACCTCGTTACTTGCCCCTACAGTTGACCACTAATCTCTCTAGTTCTAGCTTATTCTTGCTCACAAACCCAGTGTAACAGTACAGTGATCCAGTCCCTCTTTACTCCACAGCACTAACTTTGAGACCAACAACTACTTTGGCTGCATGCGTGACGTCGGGCTGGGTGGCTTCAGTACCACCATGCAGGATCTCTTCACCGGAAACTCTGTGGGGATGTCTGCTGGATGCTCAGACACTGTCAGTACAACAGTAAACTCACATGAACCGACTGCTTGATACTTTCCTTATATGATGATGGCTGTCATAATGTTGATGATGATGGCAATGATAATGTTGATGATGATGACAATGATAAGATTGATGATGATGTCAGTGACTATAATGTTGATGGTGATGACAATGACGATAATATTATTGATGATGATGGGAATGATGATAATGGTGATGACAATGACAATAATATTATTGATGATGATAGCAATGATGATAATGTTGATGGTGATGACAATGATGATAATATTATTGATGATGATAGCAATGATAATGTTGATGATGATGGCAACAATAATAATGTTGATGGTGATGATAATGACGATAATATTATTGATGATGATAGCAATGATGATAATGTTCATGGTGATGACAATGACGATAATATTATTGATGATGAAGGCAATGATAAGGTTGATGATGATGGCAACAAGAATAATGTTGATGGTGATGATAATGATGATAATATTGACAGAAACCTCTCCCTGTCCATATTGCAAGCTTGTCTTCTCAACATTTGCTAAAGACCACGCCTTTGACAAAAGATTTCTATTTAAGTCACGTTGAGTTCCTTATTATTGTTGTTATTATCATTGTAAAGTCAGTGCCTAGAAACAATGTTTTTAATGTATATTTCGTGAAACATTTCATGAATACAATGCAATGTCATTCTCTAATGTATACTTCAAATTTAAGGGTATTCGTAAAGCTGGTTTCCATGGCAATGATGGCTTTGCGATGTTCAAGGCAGAAAGCATGCCTGATGAAGCAGATGTGTCAGTGTCTTTCATCACGAAACAGAGAGATGCCATGCTGCTGCTAGCGATGGATCACAATGATGTAAGCATTACAGACACTGAAGATAGGGCCTGGTACACAAGATCAGCTCACGAGTTACCGTAATAGTTGCGGTTTTGTTTCAAATTTATATAGATGGTTGGCAAATGTTTACCATTCTCTATAGCTCTCTAAATATTTTTCTTTGTGTTGGGTTGTTTTTTTTACCAACTCTGCTCTCAGTCATTTTCCAGTTATATGAGGGGTGGTGGGGTGGCCTAGTGGTTAGAGTGTTTGCTCGTCATGCCGAAGACCTGGGTTTGATTCCCCACATGGGGACAATGTGTGAAACCCATTTCTGGTGTCCCCTGCCATGATATTCATGGAATATTGCTAAAAGTGGTATAAAACCATATTCACTCACTATAGTATTTAGTAAAAGGGAATGATGTCCTTGATTTTGAAAGTTTAATTTGAGAAATATTTCATCTAAAGATCAAGAGGAATAATGTTTCACCTCAAGACTGACCAGACAAGGTCTGTTAATGATGAAATCTCGAAACAGTCTGCTGATTGACTTATTGATCACGTAGTTGCAAACCAATGACATGCAATCTATAAAGTCACCTAGCCTGACCACGTGATTCATTCAGTCATGACAACCATAGGTTGCTTGGCAACTGTTTTCTTATCCAGAATCCCAAAGGTCATTTCTGTTGTTACCAAGGTGATATCTGCTCACTCTTGATTGGCTACATGTCGGAAAGAATATAAGACATCAGTCCGAGCAGTAACAGTGATAATGTGAATGTGTTTTGCTGGCTATAATACAGAAGTATGTTCTGTTTCAGAATTTCTACTCGTTATCTCTAAATAATGGCAGAATAGAGGGCAGGTTTGCCGCTGGAGGACGACCTGTTGTTCTACAGTCTTCTGACACGTACAATGATGAAAAGTTGCACAATATCGCTGTTGTCAAGTCAGGCAGAAGGTAGGTCAACTCAGTTGTTCAAATGATTTGTGTATAATCATTAAAAAAATTGTTTAAATTCTAGAAGTTTAAACTCAGTGGTAATGGGTGGCATAAATAGAAGTCTTCAACTATATATGGTGATTGGCCAGGAAATCAGTGACATGACACACATTTTGCTCATTTCGTAGAAACTGAAAATGATCTTACTACACCACAAACCGTGACAGATTGAAAAAACGTCTCCAGTACTTAAAGTAAATACTGTAAAAATTAATATCTTGAATAACTAACCAAATGCCATGAAGCAGTGGAGGGATTACTGATGTACATGTAATGATATGTTTCAGGCAAATACTGTCTGATTAAGCAAACATATTCATATACAAGTTTCAACTGTCTGTGTTGATAAATATAGCCATTTTGTTTAAAATGTTTAATTGTTTTCTTAGACTGACGATGATAGTTGATGACAAGAGAGTTGCTGAGGAGAGCCTTCCTATTGGGGTCAACACCATCCCCATTGACCCAGACAAGGGCCGAATGTTCCTAGGAGGGCTCCCTGAGGGTTTTGATGCCAGCAATATGGTCGCCTCCAAACTGTCGCTGGACGGTTGTATCAGCGATATTATTGTCAATGGAAAGTAAGTTAAAAATGGAAGACAGTATGTATTCAAATTTTGCCTACACTCACTAACATAACAGTTGAACTCAAGACTTAAGAAAAACCTTTGAAACATTTAAGATGAATCGTAAAGTTTGTATACAAAGTTCATGAAGAATTTACATGTTATTTGTTTCATTTTACAGACTGATTAACCTAAATCTTCCTGTAGAGTACAAGCGTGCAGATATTGGACGATGCCCATATGATCTGAACAATTTGTTCAGTTTTGCAAACAACAATAACAATAACAACAACAGCCTGAACGGCTTCCCAGAAACCACAGCCTCACGTGTTTTCGCACCCCCCACCACAGTCTGACAATAACCTAGAAATCACAACTACTACTACCACCACCACTACCACTTCCACTACTACTTCCACGACAACTTCAACTACCACAACATCATCAACCCCAACAACAACAGGATCAACAGCTACAGCATCAACGACAGAGGCACCTCAATCATGTGGCCCAGTGGAACCACAATCATTTGAGTCTGGCGCTTTTGTCTTTGGAAACAGTGATAACAGTTTTGCCCAGATTAAGTTCAAAAGAAAAGAAGTAGTCAAGACGTGAGTATCCGTGGTTATCAAGAAACTGTTGCTTCATATGTTACTTTGAAACTCACATTGACATAAAATATGGTATGGATTTACAAATTCTTTAATATTTATAATACAAAGTTTCTGGGCTACTTCTTTCCTCTTCATTACCTGATGAAGGGGCAAGAAGTAGCCCAGAAACGTCGTGTTGTAAATATCAAAGGAGTTGTAAATCCATACCATACATTGTTATGTTACCTTCCAACTTCTAAATGCCCATCAAGCATCTCATAATTATTGCCTAAGTAACTTGATCGGGACTTACTAGAGATTGCTCATAATTCCTGGGTTTGAATCCAGACAGTTAATTGTTGGTGTCTCTTGTAATGACTTAAGGCTTAACACTTGTAACTTGTGAAAACTTGGTCTGTCTCACAGTTAGTGCACCAGATTATTTCCCTTTCTGCCCAACGCTTTCTGCAATGTGAATGCTCCAGAAGAAGCAAATCTAGATTTCCGTTCAGGATCTCTGAGCTCACTAGGGCTTCATTTCAATTTAAATGAAGCTGTTTGTGCCAGAATTATATCTATTCACAGACTTAGCATAAATCAAATGAAAACCCACTTTTTCAATCTCTACAACTTGTTCTTTTCTTCTTTTGAATGATATGGGGTAGATGAGTATAGATTTATCATATGTTTTATTCCTTACTTCCAGATTCAACATATCGTTTAGCTTCCGTTCATATTACGCTGATGGATTATTTTTCTTGCTGACCAACCAAGCCAAGACTGACTACCTGGTTGTGCAGCTTCAGAATGGAGAAATCGTCTTGTCTTACCGTCACAAGGCTGACCAGCACAGCATCCGATCTGGCCGACGTCTGGGCGATGGAAGGTGGCATTCAGTAAGTACACGGTCATGCAGGCAGCCATATTGAAATTACAGCTTTGGTGTATGAAATTTTTTTTGTTTAGCCACAACCAAATAAATTCCTTGTATTACGCATATACATTTTTAAAACATCTGAATCTTTTTATGATTCAGTTTTGTGTGTGTTTGTGTTGGGATGGATTTTTCTGTCTTTTTGTTTCAAGACAAGTTTTTGCTGTGGTAGTGAAAGCCACGGTCAAAAGTGAAATGTAAATGTCACTTATTTTGTATATCAAAGGTTTCTCTGTATGGGTTGTTCTATTTTAGCAGTAAAATAGTTCTAATGTGACTGGCAGTCAATAAAGTTACCTGTCCTCTGGTAGTTTATACATATTCTATATGTTCTTTGATATTCAGATTTTGTTTGTACTGTTAAATGGTTCACAGTAGTACTATGCCAGACATATTAGCTGGTGAAGAGTGTTTGCTTTGGGTTCCTCTGACCTTGAACTCTGAGGAGCAATGTTGGATTGTATATGCTCCCATATCCAGTCAAACATTGTAATCAGTGGCAAGTGAAACAGTGATGTCTTTCTACTAATCTGAACTTCTGGATTGAAATGCATGGTACAGTTTTAGTAAGCAGACAAAATGATTTGAATCAAACTTGCGAGGACTGCCATTGTATTAAGCTTTCCATTACAACTTACCATGATTTACAATCTACAACCAACAACATAATTAAGTATGACAAGTATTTCTGTTGACAATATTGACAAAGTAGGTAGTACAATGGAGGGGATGGGAACTACATAATGAGATCTTTTTGTTCATAATTTTAGTTTATGGTTTGGCATCAGGCCTTGCTCTGTTCTCATTCTGGTTTAATTTAAGCTGTTGTATGATCTGGTATTGTAGGCCTCTAGATGCACAAAAAGTATGAACAAGATCAGTTAGATTTTAAATATAAAATAAACAGTCTTCTAAAAGAAGCCATTTTAAACCATGATATGTCCTTTTGCACATGGCCCTTTTAAACTGTGTACAACTCTGCCTCTAGGGGAAAGCCTGTGAGGCAGCAGTTCTATGTGACTGAAGCTGGCAGTTATATATCCCTCCAGCTGCAAGTCCACAGTGTAAAGGTGAGCTACAGATCCTTATGGTAGTGTTCATTGTTATTCCAGGTGGTTGTGAACAAAGGCAGCCGAAACATCCATCTGAAGGTCGAGAACCAGAATCGCATCAAGGAGCCAATTGCCCGAAGGCTGGACATTGCTGCACCCATGTATGTTGGGGGGCTGCCAAACAAGTACAAGAGCTCTGTGGACAACCTTGTAAGTCACAGATTGTTCCCTGTGTTTTTCCTATGTCCGTATACTTCCTGCATCAGTATCAATTTCACACAATCATTGTTGCTGCCTCAGTATCAATTTGACATTCTTGTTCTTCCTTCACCAGTATGAACTTGACACACATATTCCTCTTGCATTAGTATGAACTTGACACACATATTCCTTTTGCATTAGTATGAACTTGACACACATATTCCTTTTGCATTAGTATGAACTTGACACACATATTCCTTTTGCATTAGTATGAACTTGACACACATATTCCTCTTGCATTAGTATGAACTTGACACACATATTCCTCCTGCCTCAGTATGAACTTGACGCACATATTCCTTTTGCATTAGTATGAACTTGACACACATATTCCTCTTGCATTAGTACGAACTTGACACACATATTCCTCTTGCATTAGTATGAACTTGACACACATATTCCTCCTGCCTCAGTATGAACTTGATGCACATATTCCTTTTGCATTAGTATGAACTTGACACACATATTCCTCTTGCATTAGTACGAACTTGACACACATATTCCTTTTGCATTAGTATGAACTTGACACACATATTCCTCTTGCATTAGTATGAACTTGACACACATATTCCTTTTGCATTAGTATGAACTTGACACACATATTCCTTTTGCATTAGTATGAACTTGACACACATATTCCTTTTGCATTAGTATGAACTTGACACACATATTCCTCTTGCATTAGTTTGAACTTGACATAAGTGTTCTTCCTACATCAGTATAAATAGGACACGAGTATACGACATAATGCCTCTTGCATCAGGTGCCACACAGTCTTCGTGGATGTCTGCGAAAGTTCACCATCAACGGGGAAGTGATTGACATTGCTGATACAAAGGTCATCAGCGGAGTTGGGCTGTGTAACAAGAATGTGGAGCCGGGGGCCTCCTTCCAAGGCAACTCCTGGGGAATATACTGTGAGTACTCCCAACTCAAGTTTACAGAAAGTATTCACGTGTCACATGCAGTATATACTTGATGAGACAAAGCAAACATTCTGATGTACTCTATCATTGTGCTGTCTACATTCTGATAACTGGAGGGGCAAATACCATCTCTTGTCTTTTGCAGTCCCGATCTATGATTGATGGCATTAAAATTATTGAATTGAATAGTTTGTTCTCAATAACTTCCACATTTGTGAAAAACACATATTTCAGTTTTGACCTATTCCATTTTTAAAGAACACTTTGTGTGTGTCATAGGAATTAGATATTGTGACTTACCCAGTATGTATTTGGTTGGTAATTACAGTCAAGCATTTCAAAGAATGTCTTACCAAAATGTGATAACAAAATACAACTCCCTAATGAGACATATCAAATGTATTGGAAGAGATCTTTAAATTTACGATGAAAATGGGGAAAATCACTGCAGACAAGAACATGGACAATCATCTCCTAAAACCACACACTAATAGATCTCATATCTGTGAAAAAAATAATGAAAATGTTGTGGCCTTGCGTAGCTGAAGCTGTTGTACATATGGAGCGATATCTTCACATGCGGAATGTTTGACGACTGGTATATATGTTTGATGTCTGTTGTATGTATATGTTTATGAATGTTCTATTTTATCAGGAGCGGTGGGGTAGCCTAGTGGTTAAAGTGTTTGCTCATCACGCCTAAGACCCGGGTTTGATTCTCCACATGGGTACAATGTGTGAAGCCCATTTCTGGTGTCCCCCCACCGTGATCTTGCTAAGAGCAGTGTAAAACCATACTCACTCACTCACTTTTATTTTATCTTCACAAGTCGGTATGACTAAAGTAAGGATCTTTTTTTAGTGGTTAAACATTTTCAGGCAGCATTAGAACATTTTCATGTATACCTTATTAAGAGGAAGAATATTTGTTTTAGCCATTCCGTCAGGACCCAATGTTGCTTGTAAGTTGTGTATCATTTTCTCATTGTTCACTGAGTGGTGACAAGTCTTTTGCTTCCTTTCAAATGCAGAACACACTTCTTTCATGTTTGGAAGGGGTGGCAAATAAACATATCTAGATTTTCTCTTTAGTTAGAAGGGTAAAATGAGCTGTTTCCCTAATTATTTCAAACATCTTTAGTGCGCACATAGTGAAAAGTGCTTTATCAGCTTGTCAGCATGTAGTTGGTCGATATAAAGGGTGTGTTAGTTTGCTTAGACATTTCATTATTTATGTTAAGTAATCGTATTAAAAGCATAAGAAATACCTATGTAATGAAACAAATGTTAATTTTCATTTCTTTTAGTTTGGAAGTAGATTATACACACAGATGCATCTATAACAACGTTTTCTTGTGCCTAGATGTTTTCTAAAGTACATTTTGCTGTGAATGTTTGCTCTGCACTCTAGCTAACTCTGCCTGTTGAATGACTACTTCTTTTTTGCGCATGAAGTTCATTGTTTATATGTTTTTCAAGCATTGATTTGCTGACAGATAGTTCATGCTGTTTTGGTTGTGGCACATGTTTGGACTCAAGGCTTGAATGCTTCCGACAGAATATCATCTGCTTTGTTTGGTACATTTTAGCAATATTGTGATATGAGAATCTTAGCCATATTGCAAAGGGTGCCTCCCATTTCATTCCTGATTTCATTTCCAGAAAGGGCAGGTAATGCTTGTCATGTATAAATAGAATGGAGACACGTTGTCTTCACTCTAGACTTTTTGTTTATATTTGTTTACTATAATCAAAATAATTTAAGAATTAGGGGTTATTTCATTGTATCAATGTGCTCCCTTTCCTTGCACTGAAAGAAACAATGTTGTCTTGTTGGGAGTGAGCCAGTGAGTGGACTTTACAGTCTTACTTTCTTCTGTGTTAGGAATATGAAACATCTAGAAGTCCTTTGAATAAGTTGTGTGAGGAATATCAAACATCTTAAAGTCCTTTGAATGAGTTGTGTGAGGGATATCAAACATCTAGAAATCCTTTGAATACATTGTGTGATGTATATGAAACATGTAGAAGTTTTTTGAATAAGTTGCATGAGGAATATGAAATGTCTAGAAATCCTTTGAATAAGTTGCATGAGGAATATGAAACATCATTAAGTCCTTTGAATAAGTTGTGTGAGGAATATGAAACATCATTAAATCCTTTGAATAAGTTGTGTGAGGAATATGAAACATCTAGAAATCCTTTGAATCAGTTGTGTGAGGAATATGGAACAACATTAAGTCCTTTGAATAAGTTTCATGAGGAATATGAAACATCATTAAGTCCTTTGAATAAGTTTCATGAGGAATATGAAACATAATTAAGTCCTTTGAATAAGTTGTGTGAGGAATATGAAACATCTAGAAGTTCTTTGAATAAGTTGTGTGAGGAATATGAAGCATCTAGAAATCCTTTGAATAAGTTTCATGAGGAATATGAAACATCTTAAAGTCCTTTGAATAAGTTGCATGAGGAATATGAAACATCTAGAAATCCTTTGAATAAGTTGTGTGAGGAATATGAAACATCTAGAAGTCCTCTGAATAAAACATCTCTAGAAGTCCTTTGAATGAGTTGCTTGAAGAACATGAAACATCTAGAAGTTCTTTGAATAACTTTGACCAAAAGGTCATGATCATAATGTGAGACTCACATTAAGATACACTGCAAGATTTTGAAATAAATAAAATGGCATTGATTTGAAATCAAATGGGGTCATGTTCCTCAAAGCAATCTGAACAGTGGGACCATCATAAGTTGATGAAGTATGAAAGTACCAAGTTCTGGACCCCTTTTAAAACAAATTAAGTAGGTCTCCTCTACCTATGAATCCAATAATCTCAGCTTTTGTCCTTGTATACCAGCTTTACAGCAGGTGCAATTTCGCAAGCTGAATCTTGTGATGATTTATTATTCCAGCGCAAGCATTCCATATAGGAGAGTTCTTGAAAATCAGTCTGGAATTCAGAACCAACTCTGGAAACGGAACACTTGTCACAATTAGCAGTGAATTGGGGGACCTTGGTATGACCTTGGAGCTGTACAAAGGAGCGGTAATGATTATGATTATATGGACATGAAGTATTGAACTGGACGAGAATGCGTCTCAAGGTGAAGGTTGTCTGTACACAAAAGAAATCATACAGAAAAACTAGGCCTTATGTGTTTATTGAGAATATAAAATTCTCATCTTAGAAATATGCCACATCTGAGTTAACTAACCCTTTAAGCCAAAGTTATATACAGCCAGCTTTCGTAATATATTTTTTGAGTCTAAGATCAAGAAGAAAATGCTTTGCTTGTCAAATATCATGTCAGTAAGTATTTTAAAAGTATGAATCAAATATTCTATCCATTTAAAACTTTAAGACATGTTTTATAAGCTTTTATGATAATGTAAATTAGATCATTGATATTTCTTTTATTTGAAGTGTTGCCATCGGTGACAGTAGTGATGACAGTGTGTCATCGTTATCTCGGGGCCCCCATCGTGCAGCAGTTTTCAGGAATTTTTCTCACTCAAATTTCTTTCTCCAGGTTCAATTCACCATCAAGAACAACAATGACAAGTTCACGGCTCTCACACCAAATACGAGGCAGTACCTTCCCTGTGACCACAAGTGGCACCGAGTGACAGCAGAGGTTATACGGAATGTTGTATCCATAGAAGTGGATGACTGGGGAAAGACGTACGGGCCAAGCCTGGGCAGTCTCCGTACCACCCCAACAGACAGCCCCATGTTTATAGGGGGCAAACCAGGTGAGCTCTCACACAGATACAATACTCCAACAGACAGCCCCATGTTTATAGGGGGCAAACCAGGTGAGCTCTCACACAGATCAAATACTCCAACAGACAGCCCCATGTTTATAGGGGGCAAACCAGGTGAGCTCTCACACAGATCAAATACTCCAACAGACAGCCCCATGTTTATAGGGGGCAAACCAGGTGAGCTCTCACACAGATCAAATACTCCCAACAGACAGCCCCATGTTTATAGGGGCAAACCAGGTGAGCTCTCACACAGATCAAATACTCCAACAGACAGCCCCATGTTTATAGGGGCAAACCAGGTGAGCTCTCACACAGATCAAATACTCCAACAGACAGCCCCATGTTTATAGGGGGGCAAACCAGGTGAGCTCTCACACAGATCAAGCCAACAGACAGCCCCATGTTTATAGGGGGCAAACCAGGTGTGAGCTCTCACACAGATCAAATACTCCAACAGACAGCCCCATGTTTATAGGGGCAAACCAGGTGAGCTCTCACACAGATCAAATACTCCAACAGACAGCCCCATGTTTATAGGGGGCAAACCAGGTGAGCTCTCTCACAGATCAAATACTCCAACAGACAGCCCCATGTTTATAGGGGGCAAACCAGGTGAGCTCTCTCACAGATCAAATACTCCAACAGACAGCCCCATGTTTATAGGGGCAAACCAGGTGAGCTCTCTCACAGATCAAATACTCCAACAGACAGCCCCATGTTTATAGGGGCAAACCAGGTGAGCTCTCTCACAGATCAAATACTCCAACAGACAGCCCCATGTTTATAGGGGGCAAACCAGGTGAGCTCTCTCACAGATCAAATACTCCAACAGACAGCCCCATGTTTATAGGGGGCAAACCAGGTGAGCTCTCTCACAGATCAAATACCCCAACAGACAGCCCCATGTTTATAGGGGGAATCCAGGTGAGCTCTCTCACAGATCAAATACTCCAACAGACAGCCCCATGTTTATAGGGGGCAAACCAGGTGAGCTCTCACACAGATCAAATACTCCAACAGACAGCCCCATGTTTATAGGGGGCAAACCAGGTGAGCTCTCACACAGATCAAATACTCCAACAGACAGCCCCATGTTTATAGGGGGCAAACCAGGTGAGCTCTCACACAGATCAAATACTCCAACAGACAGCCCCATGTTTATAGGGGGCAAACCAGGTGAGCTCTCACACAGATCAAATACTACAACAGACAGCCCCATGTTTATAGGGGGAATCCAGGTGAGCTCACACACAGAACAGGGGGAACCCCTGAATTCTATGATTGTGGTTGGAAACAGTTTTGGCCTTCTTCACCATTTAATATAATATACCATAGCCTTTAAGAAGTGTTGTTTACAGTACATTTTACTTTAATACTCCTGAAGCGGAAACAAACTTCACTCACTCACTCACTCACTCACATAATAGCATAATGGTAAGTAAAATGGAAGTACTTATGAACTCACAGGTGATTTGGGTTGTATGATCCTAAGGGAGATGAGAATGATAATCTAGTACAGACAGATCCATTGACCAGGGTAATAATCTTATCATTTGAGCATGCCCCGTGAAGATCTGGATTAGAAGTTGTTATCAGCAATCCATGCTTGTCATAAGAGGCGACTAACAGTATTGGGTGATCAGGCTTGCTCAATTGTGTACAGCGGTCCACGTGATATTGATCACTGGATTGTCAGGTCCAGACTCCATATTAAAAGACCGCCGCCATATAGCTGGTAATAATGTTATCACTTTGAGCATGCACTTTGTGTGTGGAGACCAGCACAACATAAGTACAGACATTATTATCATTATTTGATGATAAGAATTAATCTGTGGCGATATACAATTTAACTCCAATACTCCTAAGCGGAATAAAACTGAACTCACTCACTCACTGTGAACGTTATCTGTTTTGTTACAGAGAATTTCCCCCAAGTTGCAGCCTCCACCACAGAAGGTTTCATTGGCTGCATGAGAAATGTCATCATTGATGGGAATACAGTGGATTGGTACAACCTTGTCGATAATCGCAATATACGGCGAACGGCATGTGCAGCCACATAAATCCTCATTGTAGAAAATATATAAAACATGGTAACTAATGTTATTTGGGCAAATTTTAAGCTGACAAGAAGAGAGGAAGGAATTATGAGTTCAATCCATTCAAAATTGTAACATTTTACGTTGTTGCCTCTTGTTAATATTCATTTTAATAGAACTATTTGAATTTTTCTGAAGTGAACTGTTTGTATTATAAGTGCTAACTATACAATTGTTAATTGAAGCATTTTTTGATGGGGGGGTTCTCATGATGTCACTTCTAAATGAGGATATTAGCATATGAATATATTTACATATCATTTCGTATATTTATCTAGTGATAAGAATATTGAAAGTCATTATACAGAATGTGTTCTCATGTATCTCCTCATTTGTAAATCATAACTTTCAATGCAGATTTTAATAAATGGTTTTTTTATTGATCATCCTCCATGCATTGAAATGTCTAATATTTCTGATGCATATTGGGTAGTGTCTTTTACCTTCTCTCACCTTTTATACTTTTATACGTGTTCATATCATACTCAATATGCAATAAAACATCTTCATAAATACACACTATGCAAGACTTATTTATAGAACAGGAACTTTAGTGCATATATTGTTTTACCTTTTCGCATTTTCATTAAATTCACATTGGTATAAATGGATTTAGATCTGTAAACAAGTTTTAATGAGGACACATTTGGTGATTCTGTTCTTTAAACTGAACTGCTAAAATACTGCACCACAGGATTTTGTATATGCCTACAATATGAATATTTTCACTTGTGCTGAAATATTTTTCTTTGCCATGATTCAGTCCACAATGTGATACATGAAAGGGAGACACATATCATATTAATAAATCATATTCAACACATACTCTGTAGCAAATTATTACATTGATTACAACCTTCATTCCCATTTTAACATATAGCAGAACCTTTGAAACACACTCGGAATGTCAGTGTGTACTATCTGAATCAATATACAGTATAAACTCTACATGTTTGAATACTTTAATTGATACTGATTGTATCTTTTGCCTCTTTCATTATGTTACATTGACCTTAAACCAAGAAGTCAGAAATAACAGATGTGGCAATACAAGATATTTCTATTCACAGTTTGAACTTATGTTGATGTTATGTGTAAAGTAAAGTTTCTCTGTCAACAATGAAGTTATATTTACATTTTCTTCGATATTTTCAACATTTGCACCTTTTTCCTTAACACTACCATGTTAAGAAATGTTACCAAATTTAATCCTTTCATTGCAATGACTCATTGTGAAGGAAGGGTTGACAAGTGATTTGACACAGTGTTATGTGTGGAATGTACATTATGTTAGAAACTGTTTGTATTTATCTTTACTCACATGTTGTTCTGTTTCACGGGTCACGCCTTTTCATGCTTTGCATGGAAAGTGGCTGCAACTAATAAGTATTGTATTTATGAGTTATACAATTGTACATAGTGTTGTATGCATGAAAGTAGGTCATTGTTGTATTAGGGCTGGGAGGAGTCATATGTACTACCAGGGTACCCAAGACCCCAATACCCAATATCCCAAATCTACCTAGGTACCCAACCCCCTTATACCTAACCCTAATTACCCATTACCCTGGTCCGAGAACCCTAATTACCCATTACCCTGGTCTGAGTACCCTAATTACCCATTACCCATTACCCTGGTCCGAAAGTACCCTAATTACCCATTACCCTAATTACCCATTACCCTGGTCCGACCCTGGTACCCTAATTACTAATTACCCTGGTCCTAGTACCCTAATTACCCATTACCCTGGTCCGAGTACCCTAATTACCCTACCCTCAATTACCCATTACCCTGGTCCGAGTACCCTAATTACCCTGGTCCGAGTACCCTAATTACCCATTACCCTGGTCCGAGTACCCTAATTACCCATTACCCTGGTCCGAAGAGTATTACCTAATTACCCTGGTCCGAGTAAGTAATTACCCATTAATTACCCATTACCCTGGTCCGAGTAATTCTAATTACTGGTCCAGTACCCTGGTCCGAAAGTACCCTAATTACCCATACCCTGGTATAATTACCCATTACCCTGGTCCGAGTACCCTAATTACCCAGTACCCTGGTCCGAGTACCCTAATTACCCATTACCCTGGTCCGAGTACCCTAATTACCCAGTACCCTGGTCCGAGTACCCTAATTACCCAGTACCCTGGTCCGAGTACCCTAATTACCCATTACCCTGGTCCGAGTACCCTAATTACCCATTACCCTGGACCGAGTACCCTAATTACCCAGTACCCTGGTCCGAGTACCCTAATTACCCAGTACCCTGGTCCGAGTAACCCTAATTTACCCTGGTCCGAGTACCCTAATTACCCAGTACCCTGGTCTGAGTACCCTAGTTACCCATTACCCTGGTCCGAGTACCCTAGTTACCCGTCCCAGCCCTACATTGTATCATAGCCTATGCCACCTGATCAGCAGCAACATAGGAGTGATCGATGAATAGCGTCCATGTTGTAGTGTTCCTGTAAGTACATGAACCGTGTGACCAGATGTACAGTGATTGGTCAGCTTATGAATATATCTATGTGTTGGATATTGTCAGGGGCAGTTCTTGATTAATGAAGGAATGATCATTGCTTAATCTCAGGGTGGTGATGTGGCACCTCATATAAGGCGATCTTGGGGGAATGTAGGGCTGGGAATAACGTACTGCAAAGGTGGCGATTTATCAAATGCTTCAATGGTGGTGAAAATTTACTTACTTCAAGTGTGGTGATAATTTACTTACTTCAAGGGTGGTGATGATTTACTTACTTCAAGGGTGGTGATAATTTACTTACTTCAAGGGTGGTGATAATTTACCTACTTCAAGGGTGGTGATAATTTACTTACTTCAAGGGTGGTGATAATTTACTTACTTCAAGGGTGGTGATAATTTACCTACTTCAAGGGTGGTGATGATTTACTTACTTCAAGGATGGTGATAATTTACCTACTTCAAGGGTGGTGATAATTTACTTCAAGGGTGATTATCAGGTACTTACTTCAAATTGATGTCAGATACTTTAAGGGTGGTGATATCTTACTTCTAACCAGAACTTACTTCAGAGTAATTTCATTTTACTATAAGGGTGGTGATAACCAACTGCAAAGGTGATAACTGGGTATTTACTTCAGAGTGGTTTCACATACTTAAGGCTGTACTTGCTTCAAAGGGAGATCACATACTTGAAAGGTGATGATCATTTACTTCAAAGTGCTTATTACCCAATATTTACTTCAAAGTTATTTCATGTACAAGTGGTTATTACTTACTTAACACTCAGTAATTACTTACTTCAGTAGTTGTGATTAGCAAGTACCGGTACCTACAGGGGGGTGATCAGGTGCATCAAAATTTTACTTGCTTCAAGGGCAGTGATTACTGACTTCAAGGGTACCGATGACTTAGTTTACTGTAAAGAGGAATAAGGCCTCTTTCCATGTCAGGAAAAACATATCACCCTTGAGGTATGAAACCTGCATTATATTAAACCAAGCAACCTCCAAGACTGTCTGGAATTGCTACCTGAAGAGGTGTAATATAGATATTTTTGTACATTTTGTATTCTGACTGTAAATTATATTATTACAAAACATGCATAATTCAAATAGATACCACATTGTATCTTCATGTGTCGATTTCATACAGGATATGTACGTTTTTTCATACAGAAACTGTAGAGGAACAACTGAGGATTCATTAGTAGAACACATATACTGAATATATTGTTATTTGTCCTAAAGGAATTTGTTTAATTTGAAATAAAATATAACTTTTGATATTGGTAAAATCAAATAATTAAATTGTTCCATTATTTACAAATTAGAAAATCCTCTAGTTTTGGGAATATGTATTGGGAGCAAACTTATATGATGGTACATGTGCATGTGTTATTGGTAATTAATGAAAATCTGTCCGAGGCATTTTGTTTTATAAACGTCATTTGTCCTTGGTAAAGTATGTACAATATGTATGAAGAAAAACATGAAGAGGCTGAAACACCATTTTAATACATTTTATACACAAATACGGCCAGATCAGTTTTATTTTTTGTTTTATGGATCCGCCAGTTGTATTTTTTCAAGAATAAGAAAAAAATAAAAATGAATTTTCCCCACGTAAAAAATATAATCCTCATGTTTTTATTGGCCAAACATGTAAGCTTACAACACCAAAAAAAGAAATTTGATTGTTTTTCCCCCATAAAAACTTCGTAAATTGCCAAAAATAAAATACTTTTAGTATTTAAAAGGAAAATTATATTGACTAGTGATTTTTATTTTTTATTTGTTTCCCTCCTGCCTTTAGGTTTTCAGAGGACAAACATCCGTAAAACAAGAAATAAAATTGGTCTGGCCTAAATAATGAAAATTCAGTTTTTATATTTTGACATTCAAATATACATTGAATCAAAATCAGGAATAGACATTATGTAGCTGGTGCCATATTTGATACTGAAACTCATTGTGATGTTTGTTAGTCTTGCTACCACAACAGGAATTGTCACAATTAATGTGCTGTGACAAAAACGTGTTGTGACATCAGATGGTAGGCGTGACAAGTGTATTTAGTTGCAATCATTGTGAATTGCAATGGTAGATGTGAATTGTCCACCACTTGTGACTTGTGACAATAAATGAGGAATGTGATCACAGAATTGTAAGGCATGCTTGATGTGTGTGATATAACCTGGACATAATAACGTAGGTTGATATTAGATGATATCCACAATGTGCCGAAAGCCAGTGATTCGTTGGTGCTACAATGTTCAAATTCCAACTTGCTGATATTCTGTTAAAAGATTGGAAGACTTTGTTGATGTAAGCCGTTGCCAAGAGTTTATAACTTTTACCTAGTGTTGTTGTTTTCCAAAACTGAGATTTCTAAAACAACACTTTCAGGACGTACAAGATTACCTTTTACAATATTGGACACTAGATCAATAAATAGTTAAGCAAACTCTGTAAACTCTCGATATTACTTTGTGTGAATCAACACTTGATTTTTGTGTTTGTTCTTCTTTGGATCTTAGTTTTGGAATTTGTAAACAAATTTTAATCCTGTGCAACTTGATTTTACTATTTTCATAATATACTTTTTATCACTTTTTTTTCAGGTAATTTATATTTAAATTCAAACATTTTTAAACATGGTTTTAATTTTTAAAGTTTTAAATATCAACCATAAGATAATGTGATAAGTGTATCTATTTAGATAAAGTTTATGAATTTTCATATCAATAAGATTGACATTTTGATTTCATTCAAGATTTACAGCGACTTGTCCCACTAAGACTGTGTTAGCCGATTCAATGCAATGTACTGTGAAATGTTCCTCTTGACTGATATTATGTTCAGTGAAATCACTTTCCGGATCTTGTTGCAGTAAGCATTTGTGTAACCCGACTCAGGCATAATGGAGGTAGAATGTAGTTTATGTAAACTATGTTTATTTTAAAACTTATTAATAAATTACATTTGTGAAAAAATGTGTGTTTTGTTGTACTATGAACAGTTTGCTAATGGAATAAAAGACTCTTCAACCATCAAGGATGACCCTGATAAAGGTGGTTGTTGTGGTACAGTTTAGCTGAAGGGGTCGTTGTTGGCACAGTTACTACAGAAATGTACCCTGGCCAAAATCAAAATACAGAAATGTACCCTAGGATGAGTTCATTCTGCATTGTGCTATTTCTTGATCAGAACTGTCATACTGTTGTATTAGATTGCGTTAGATAAGAAACAATGCACAACATCATATGCAAGGGAACAATTCCATACAGTTCAAGTTTTGGGTTGCCAACCGGGTATGTTTTCTGTATTTTGACTTTGTTTAGGGAACATTTCTGTATACAAAAATGTACCTGGGGTACATATCTATAGTACCTGTGCCGACAACGACCCCTTCAGCTATGGACCAGTAAGAGTTGTCTAACCTGCCGGAATTTGTTGTGCTGAGTTTCATCCCTTTGTTGTACCAGAATCCACTGATCAGGAGCAATGATTTTTATCCTTGGTTTTTCAGCACCCTAGCACCATGCTTTACTGGAAAATGAAGAGAACCCAGCCACAAAGTTGAGTGTAATGTGTACTGGCATCTCTTCAACTCGTGTAATAAATTACATACAGCAAACACATTCAATATAAAAATCTCCATGATAACAAACTCTAAACATGTATGTACATTGTTTTATTCTCAATCGATTGGAAATTCATACAAAATTATGGACAAATGCGATCTTCTTTGATCTAGTACAAGAAACCATGGTAATATTTATATGTACATTCACAACTCTTGTGTTCCTCAAGAATTAACTTGGTCCTTTATAATCAATGACAAAATGATGGGTTGCAGACATGCCAACAGTGTAGGAGACAAGGAGAAACTTGATGGATGATTAATATGAACATGCATACTTGTGATTTTCAGTTCTATTTAAGACATAAATTTGGCAAAAATGATTAATTTTCCTTTATGACGACATAAAGAACCAAAATATTTACATATCATATTCAATATCTCCCATGGTCTTGTGACAAATGAAACAGGCAAAGTTGTCAACTCGTGATTGATAACAGACTTGTCAGTTTCATGCTTCATATTTGTGATCAGGAATGAGACAAAATGTAGACTTTTTCTGAAATGGTTTAGTTAACACAAAACTGCCATTTATGAGCACTAAAAGTCTAATAAGACTTCACAAAGCCAAATATTTCCTGCAGTGTCTCAGGAAAACCAACCCTGGATTTCTTTCTCCACGTAACAAGACAATCCAACAAAACATTTTTCATATATTATTATAAAATAACTTTTTTACTTTTGAAGGGTATTTCCCCTCTCAAACTTGATACTTTAACAATCATGAGTTAATGCCGGTGATATCGTACATTGCCAGGAAGACAAACCGTTACACGACAGTGTATTAACAAGTGACTGTACAATATATGAATGTGACCATTCATTAAAACTTGAAATTAACTGTCAAAAGTGTCTAAAATGGTGTTAAAACTGACAGATTTGACCTGCCACTTATCCACAGCTGTCACACATGTTCTTTACAGTTCAACAACACAGAAAATGTACACCCATTAACATAATACATAAGGTAAGGATATATACACTGATAGCACCATCAATGCTTAGAGCACTCTAGTGATGGAAGAGTCACTTTAGGCCAAAATAAATTAATTATCAGATTTTCATCCTCAATTTACTTTTGTTAGTGTCCCATAATATAAAGAACATTAATTTCTTGACTTTACTGAACATAAAATCCTACTGTTTATTCTGCTTCTGTTCATTCTACTGTTCAGGAAACTTGTTTATTAAAACTGAAATGCATTCCACGTCATATTTGTGGAAAACGTGCATGAAAATTGTTTAATTAATTTATTATGGCCTAATTAAAGACGAATAAATAACTGAAGGATACTGTCTACAGGATTGATACCAGACCAAACAACATGTCAAATTTCTGTCCAGATGACAAAGCCTCTCATTTGTCAGAGACAGACAGTGGGTCAACCCCAGTTTATCCTCAATTTCCTCTCTAATGTTTTCACTAAATATTTGGAAAGTCACATTTGGAATGAATGAAATACACATATCACTTTGCTGGTCCCACTTCTAGTTCTAAGGAGATATATCAGGAGTATTTTTGATGTCTCTTAAATGCACAAGCGTAAGATTCTTAAAGGACATTATCAGGGCTCCAGATAATCATTAAACACCAGGAGTACGTACTCCTTATTTTTTTCAATATAGGAGTACTGGAAAAACGTAAGAGTACATTTAGAGTACTGAATGGAATTTAATGGAGTCCCAGTAATCGTGTGTTTCGTTTCATATTTGCGCCATAACATTGCTACTCTTGTGTAAACAGGTCAATAAACAATAAAACAATACTTTTTCAGATAAATATGTCTGCAAATGATTCTAAGACCGTACACCATTGCTGTGGTGCATATCTGCTACGTTTTCTAAAATATTTCCTACCGTATCGTGCATATTTTTTATCCGTACATACGCCGATACGGCCCTTATCTGGAGCCCTGATTATCATATCTTGATGAACATTACACATAGTTTTACAAAAAAACAAAAAATGTTTAAACCACTGCAGAACTAATGAATACATCATGCAACCATGCAACCATCTGCTTTTTAAGTACATCGAGGATATGGTTGTGAAAAGATATTTGCAATCATGGACATACAATAAGGACTTCCTCATTAAGAAACCATTCACATTAACTGAAAATCATTAATAATTGAAATTAAAAAACAAATTAATGATCCAAAATTGCATGAACTGCTTTAGGTTTGTTTTTAATGCCAAAGCATTCTGAATCTGGTCCTGACCTGATCATTTATACCTGCAGTCTTCTGTTCTTAAGATACATAGACGAATGCAGTTTGAAAAGTCATTGCAAAAAGCAAGAAAAAGCAAAAACTAAGGTTGTACAAAGTAACAAAGTGGTGAAAATGGATATGACAGTAACAACTAAAAGATGTGATGTAAAAACACAGCTGCCATACATTGTTCTAGGAACACGATGGCACACATTACAAAACAGTTTTCAGTAAATCAGAATGATCATATCATTCACAAACATTAACTAAACTCATATTCACAACATTTTAAATAGGAATATCACCGTCAATTTCAATGTAATTGACACTCTTTTACTGAAAAACGTTTCATAAACAGTTCACAATTACCAACATGAAAACAACCATGATATGTTCATATCTTTGGAAATGCAAACGTGAATACATACTGTGATTTTACATTGGATAATTATATCTACTTCAGCAACATGAACTCAAATTATATCTTAAGGCACACATTCTTGCTTGATTATCTACTGAATAATACAAACATTAGTGTAATTCATGTTTGTATTCATTTCTACGGTTACGTTTTAAGTGTACCAGAGCTTTGATTCAAGAAGATGAACAGTTAATACTGTAAATAATGAAGCTGTGCTGTAACAATCTACCTGGTCATGTTTATAACACAGAGATATTGTCATTACATGTAATAACTATGTAATATTAAATCTATTGGCAAGGTGGAAGATTTTGGAAATAAAACTTTACAATCTGTAAATGTGTAACAAGTTTCTCAAAACCATTAGAAAAATACTTTTTTCCATCAAGGGAGAAAATTCAGCAATTTAAGCTTTTTCCAAAGTTGAAAGTTTGAACTGAATATTTCAACAATCTGTTGATGATAGGTCAAATCGGTGGGGATCAAATCGTATTTGAATATCTGAACTGAGCCGTTTGACCTTTGACTTCGTATTCACGAAGGTTAACGGTTGCTCTTGTCCATTAGGGATAGTCGATTCTCCTCCAGTTTTTGAACTTAGATCTGGCATGCTGTGTTGTACAACACTGTTAGAGTCTTTTGCCACATCTGTTTTACCCTTAGAGTCTTTATACTTGAGATTCGGCGTGCTAGTATTGACTTTCTCGTGTTCTGGATCCCCCTTACGATCGTTGATACTGCCCAATGATGGAGACTGTTTTCTCACTTTGGTAACACCCTTCCTTCCAGATCCTGGTACCATAAGCTTATTGATTAGATTCCTCTCCATATCTCCTTCTTTGAATCCAGTCACACTGTTCCCATCATCATCGGTATCAGAGATGAATGAATCGCGATTCTTGGCTACGGAATTGTAAGAAAGAGCTGAGAGTCGGTCATGTTCGATTTCCTCAACTGGTTTGAAATCTTCTGAGCCTGAAGAATATCGCTTCTTTTCTTCACAGACTTGAAGATTGTTGTGGCAGTACTCGGTCACAGCCTCGCTGTCGATCACAGAGCAATCAATGACTTCCGAGAGGTCACCAGCAATCCCGCCATTTTCAAAGCAGGGCGACAAGGGTGTGAATCCGTTCCCATTAATCGTGGGTGATTTGTGTGGGTCGTTGTTGTTGGCAGTGTAGACATAGCCATTGATGGTGGATGGGTACAAGCTGCTTTCTCGGCTGTGGGAACTGACAGACAGACTTTGGCGATGTCCTACAAATAAAAAAATGTATCTTATTGGCAAAACATTCAATAAGTGTCATTTCATGAAATTGGACACTGTGACTTCAATCAGCAAAGTCTCACAGTGAGACCAAACAATCCATTCAGTCACACTTACAAGCATTAGGTTCCAACATGGCTTATGAAGGCAGGAGCTTGGTTTGTGAAAGCCAGCAGTTGAATGCATGTCTGTTGAATTGATAATCATAGTTGTTTGAATTAACCTACCTTTGGAGCTGAGGAATGGCTTGGTGGAACTGTTGGTAGAAGCCGATGGTGATCGGTTGCGACGTCGGCCTGGAAACAGCCGCGAAAAGTACTGGAAAGGAACAAAAAATACAATACATAATATCAAGGGTTTCATAAATATTTCATGAAATAATGAATGAAGACTTTTAAAATGCAGCCTCTGTTATTCTACAGTGTGAAATGATATGTCAGGAAAAGTTTGGACTCCTGCTAGAGCTCACATTGTGTCCGGATCCAGATGACTGATTCGGGGAGCTTGATAAGTGTCCGTTGTAACCGCCAAAATTGACTCGGATACATTTTGGCAGCCATGTTGTCCGGCGGGCTATCTTGCGGTATTCCTTCTGAACCTGGAACAAACACACATATCGGTCATGAATTATGATATGTATCCTAATACACGAATGACCTTGTTTCTGGAAAGGCCCACCTACGTCATCTTAAGGGTGGGTGGTACAATCATCGGATTGGAGTCTATTGAAGGCAAACACTTTTTTCTTTCTTTAATATGCCTTTGTACATATCCATCAGAGGATGAAATAACTTACAGATGTGTGGGTATGAAAGAGGTGTAAAATTGCCTTACAATGATGTCTTTTATCTCCACAACAAAAGAATCATAATTAGTTTTAAATTAACAGTCAAATATACAGCTAATGTATTACATAAACAATCTGCCAAATCTGATTCAGTGTATCAATTAGATGTTGAAAAATCAAATTTTTCCATTTGTAAAGATTTTTTTCATATTCTGATAAGAAACCTATGTAATATGCCTTCTCAGTTATCGGTAGGGCGGAAATGTTTACCCTTTTCAGGAACACTAGGTGTCACTGCTGACTCTGATTGATCCATGCACACAATTTTTATACTTAATTGCCTTTAGCGCGCCCAATTGAATCTGTTTGTCATATAATTGAAACTGGTTATTCTCTCGTGTCGATGTTGTATATTTGATGATTTTTGTATGTATGTTTAATTCAAAACTGCAACTAACGGACATATACCTTCTCATTCATGATGCAGTGGAAGATGAAGATAAAGGCTCCCTGCAAGGAGTTGAGGATCGTGAAGATATACGCCATGGCAACAGACTCCTGATTGAGGAACAAAATACCAAAGCTCCAGGTCAATCCCAGCAGCACCACCAGCACCAGCGAACCTTTCATCCAAGCCCTGTGAAAGGGAGATAACTCATATAGTTCACATAAGGGGAAGTAACTCACAACTCACTGTAGTCAGTGTAACTGAATTTGTACAGTTTATAACCTCGATTTTTAGTGTTGGAATGCTAAGGAAATGGAAGTTTGAAATGGAATTGGAAATCATTAAGTGTCTAACCTAAACAATAATCATAAGTAAAAATATCAACTGATATTTCTGAACATTTCTGAACAACATGATCACAATGTTATGAGGTAAAATTACAGTGGATATTAAACAAATATAACAAAAATAATATCAAATATCAGTGTAGGAAAGATAGCCCGTCCCAACGTCCGAGACGGGTGAATTTTGTGGAGGACGGGTTAAAAAAATATCTAGTCCGTCCTCATGTCGGGTCAATTTTAGCAAACCAATGACATATATATAATGATTATAACCTTTTTGAATATTTATTGCCGAAGGTGTTTTATTTATATTTGGAGGACAGGCTAGATTTTGGCAGGACTGGTAAAAAATTTGACCTGCCAGTCCTGTGGACAGGCTAGATTTTCTACATCTTTCCTACACTGCAAATATGTATAAATAATTACCATACTTCAACTACCAATAACAAAAATAATATCAAATATGTTTAAATAATTACCATACTTCAACTACCAAGCAAATAATTCTAAACTTCATGCCAATAACAGTTGCAAAAATGATAATGTACTGTTTCAAATTAAGATAAAATTCGATACAAACATAAAAATAATGACTATTTTGTTTCCTTACCAATAATAACTAACAAATTTTGTTTATGAAACTAAAATATCAGAGAAATAAATGATTGTGTCAAAGTGCAGTAAGGTTGTATTTAATTGCTAATTAAATCTGAAACGAAATGTGCGATGGAATAGGCAACCCATAGCAGGCTCACACTTTATCCCGACCGCTTGGAGAGCTATCAAGGGGAGGCAACTGCTCCGGAACACTCGATGGTTGAGACAGTTTGTACAACATCACTGGGTGCAGCCGTGAAATGGAATAGTTGTCTATTTCATTCATGGAACACTTGTCTATATCATTTGTTATAGCATATATTAGGAGACATAATGAAATATTTACAGATCAAAGCTTTAAACCAAATTTCATATTATTTGTCAGATTGAACATTTCAATACTTAGTGTGTTTGTTATATGAATTATATTTGCATTTGTTCCATTTATAACAATTTGTAAAAAATTCAATTAGTTAAGAAATTATTCTATATTTTATAAGTACACAGAAATTATCTTTCACCCATTAAAAAATGCATGCTCAGAAAAGATTTAAAGATTCCTTAATTACCCTTTGAAATATATGTACAAAATTTGACAAAAAAAAGGAAACAAACTTAAAATGTTATGGGATAAATAAAATGGATATATTTATAATTTAATGAAACAAAAGTTGGGTATTTGTTAAAAAAACAAGACTGGCATTCAGTGGATTAAAATACAAATAAAACATGAAGTGGATAAGGAAATGTAAGGTTTTGATAACTTTAAAGGTAGAAACAAAAACTATCAGTACATTGTCCATAAATATCAAGGCTACTTTCATTTAAGCATTAATATATATTTTTCAGTTGAAAAAATTAACAAACTAAAAACAAATTTGTTAAAATGATTATGTCAAACAGTAGCTGATAGTTATAGACAAAGACCAGACACTGGAATGAATCAAATTGCAAAATGAAAGGGATAAGGGTATCTATATCACTCCAAGACAATCTTACGGAAGCTCCTTCAACACTTTGGGTAGGCGCTGTGGTCTACCAGTAATAGAGGCAATGTCACTCTCACTACTGCCATAGACGCAAGCACAAAACAGAACAACAGATCTCCATTTTGACATTTTTCAAGAATTACATATTTTATATTGATCAACTTGCATAACAAGACTAAAAATCATATCTGCTGTTACCTCTATGTGAGAAATAGAACAAACTTTGTGTACACTTAAGCAAGAATATGATATTTTTCTATAAACAGTCACTGTAAGTGAATAGTATTGTGTTACACTTCACCCTGAAATATTCCTCAGGGAAAGAGCCTTTCAAAATTTCCCACTAGACACAGGACCAGTGGACATTAAGTAGTGGTCATGTCTGTACTTCACTGGTCAAAAATAACTATCAATACCAAATTCACTGGAAACCAGGACCAATCAAAACATATATTTTAGTGGTCCTGATGAATTTTTACTAGCCAGGGACCACAGACCAGCATAAATTTTGCAGTGTTCCTTAACTTAGGTTACTGAACAGCAATTCTGGACAAGACAACCAGCAGGAACAACATGGTCAATCATTTACATCATTGGCCAATTTGACAGCTCAAAACCTCACAGCTGAACACCCAATTCATGAAAGTCAGCCACCGAATCCTCCCTAGTCATATATTATGACAAGCATGAGTATTGGAACCCTTACTCTGTATAACTAGAGCATAGTTGTATTCAATACAATGCACAAGTAAGAAACACTGCAACATTGTGATTATGCACACTAGCTGTATCTCCTCTACACATTCTACCCTGACACTGAAGATAGATCTAAGTTGATTGGTTAATAGTAATAAATCTGAAGTGGTTGATAATGACAAATAATTTCAGGGCAGTTTCATGTCATGTAGGAATAATTTGCATACAAGGACCTTGGTATAATGTAAAGAGACATGTCGTTGAAAAGGTCTGCAGTTAGAATTATCCAGGGGCTTTTATTCATGGTATTTTAAATATGGACAAAGAATTTGCCTGATGAAAAGATCAAAGTTCAAGAACTAGCTATACAAGAAAACACTGCAGCTTGATGAGTCTACAACTTGTAAGTTTATCAACTAACACATATTCACTGCACTGGATACATGTGAACATGTATATCAAGCTGGAATGGAGATAACTATTGTGCTCATAAATTTTGAGGGTGTTCATCACTGGAGTGAGTGAGTGAGTTGAGTTCTACACCGCACTCAACAATATTCCAGCTATATGGCAGTGGCTTGTAAATAATCGAGTCTAGACCAGACAATCCAGTGATCAACAGCATGAGCATCGATCTATGCAAATGGGATACGATGACATGTGTCAACCAAGTCAACGAGCCTGACCACCCGATCCCGTTAGTCTCCTCTTACGACAAGCATGGGTTACTGAAGATCAGTTCTAGCCAAGACCTTTACGGGTCATCATCAATGGAACATTTAGCAGTATTGAATCAATGATGGCCCTACCAAACATATTAAACAGATTTGGGTTTAACTCCTAAATGTATACAAACACCAAGAGATCCAATCCCTCCACCTAACAAGAAGAACAAATAGGACTACTCTAATTCAAATATGCCAGCAGATCAATGTCAATGCAAAACTGTAACTAGCAACAAAGCTACTGTCCCACCTGGGATGTAATCTAACTGTATTGCTTCTGTATAACGAGGTTTGTTGTCTCACCTGAGTTTCTGCAGTTTGGACTTCTCTTTCAGGGAGTTGGGTATTGGCATGCTTGCACATCATGTATATAGCAATACTCAGCATGGCCACATTTACCTGGAATAACAACACTGACTTTAGCCATGGTTAATTCACAACATGACATACTCAGACATTATCAACAAATCTCAACCGTTTTTCCATTTAAATCTGAGAATGAGATATGATAAGATAAGGGAAACACTGACATTGGCTGTGGATACACTCACAACACAATGACATACTCTGACATTATCAATAAATCTCAACCGTTTTGCCATTTTAATACGAGAATGAGGTGATAAGGGAAACACTGACATTAGCTGTGGATACACTCACAACACAATGACATTCTCAGACATTACCAATAAATCTCAACTGTTTTGCCATTTTAATACGAGAATGAGATGATAAGGGAGTATTTTGGCTCAGTTGAAATGTTAACTTTATAGTTCCATAAAACATGAAAATAATACATGCATTGTGAAATGTACTGGACAGAATGCCTAAAGTGAGTAAAAAGGACCAATTTTCAGACTTTGTGACAAACTCTAACTACAATCGAGACAGTGACTTGTGTTTAACTATAAGAAAAACAAAGAAAAAAATTTCTGATAACCAATAAGATCAGGTTTTTGTTACATTAGTGATACCTCTACACTGAATGTTGTTGTAAGTAGAACACATGCAAGATTTGAAAAGACAAATGTCCAATTCAGATTTAAATCAACATCTGATAATTTTCATAAAGCTGTCAAAAGGTTTTGTTTGCTCCCTACATTATATACAGCCTTCAGGCAGAAAGTAGTTCCTACTGTTATTTGTCCTGTCAGTTAAACTATAGCATAGTAGAGGTTGTCTACCACTTAGGTTGATTGGTTGGTTTGTTGTGTGCACTCAGCAATATTCCAGCTATATGGCGGCGACATGTAAATAATCGAGTCTGGACCAGACAATCCAGTGATCAACAGCAAGTGTATCGATCTGAGCAATCGGGAACCGATGACATGTGTCAACCAAGTCAGCGAGTCTGACCACCTGATCCTGTTTGTTGTCTCTTGCAACAAGCATGGATTACTGAAGAGGTTCACTGGTTCTACCGCATAGTTGAAACATAAGATCAATGTATCAAAATGTGTTACATTTATATCGGAATATGTTGTCTGCGTACTTACTGTCATGACAAACAAAGCTGGCCCCACAAAGCTCCAGATGAAGTGGTTTTGGGTGTTTATCCAACAACTGAAGAAAAAACAAGCATTTATCATGAAAGTATTTATTTTCATGTAATTATTTGTCAACTAAAAAATCCCATAGATGCTTGGACTTTACAACCATCATGCCCTTTTTCCAGAGTAACCTTCACAACAAGTGTTAAGACTGTTGTAACATAAGGGTACTTAAATACAAAAACAAGTCTGAACACAATACCAAAATTATACTTCCTTACATAAACCAAAAACCTTTACACAATCACCTTGACCATTACTGGGACTCCTGGGATGTCTGATTATGTTATACATTGTCCACCAGCCTCAAGGTTTAAATGGGCTGACATACCCTCTTTGTTTCCTCCAGGACTGGGGAACATCAACTGACATAGAGTGTACATCAGAGTGTACATCAACCCAAGTCACCCTAATAAACATTGGACAACATTTTTATATCACTGCACACCCAGTCATGATGCAGGTATGTCTGATGTATGGATGTTTTCGTCCAAATCAGTAAGGATAGTCTGTTTGATTGGCATTTTTGAAGTTGATGGATAATAGAAAACTATATTACCTTATGGATAACAACTTCTTTATTCCTTGTGATGAGTGTCTGTATAGCTTCTTATACCATGTCTTGCTTGACAACGGTATAAGAAGCTATACTGACACTCTTGCTTGACAACAGTATAAGAAGCTATACTGAAACTCTTGCTTGACAATGGTATAAGAAGCTTTACCGACGCTTTTGCTGGACAATGGTATAAGACCGACTGACTGAGTTTGGTTTTACGCCGCTTTTAGCAATATTCCAGCAACATCACAGCCGGGGACACCAGAAATGGGCTTCACACATTGTACCCACAATGGTATAAGAAGCTATACTGACACTCTTGCTTGACAACAGTATAAGAAGCTATACAGACACTCTTGCTTGACAATGGTATAAGAAGCTATTCCGACACTCAGGCTTGACAATGGTATAAGAAGCTATACAGACACTCTTGCTTGACAACAGTATAAGAAGCTATACCGACGCTCTTGCTTGACAATGGTATAAGAAGCTATACAGACTCTCTTGCTTGACAATGGTATAAAAAGCTATACCGACACTCTTGCTTGGCAACGGTATAAGAAGCTATACCGACACTCTTGCTTGACAACAGTATTAGAAGCTATACAGACACTCTTGCCTGACAATGGTATAAGAAGCTATACCGACACTCAGGCTTGACAACGGTATAAGAAGCTATACTGAAATGCTTGCTTGACAATGGTATAAGAAGCTATTCCAACACTCTTGCTTGACAACAGTATAAGATGCTATACAGACGCTCTTGCTTGACAATGGTATAAAAAGCTATTCCGACACTCAGGCTTGACAACAGTATAAGAAGCTATACAGACACTCCTGCTTGACAATGGTATAAGAAGCTATACCGACACTCAGGCTTGACAATGGTTTAAGAAGCTATACTGAAACGCTTGCTTGACAATGGTATAAGAAGCTATTCCAACGCTCTTGCTTGACAACAGTATAAGGAGCTATACCCAATGGTATAAGAAGCTATACCGACACTCAGGCTTGACAATGGTTTAAGAAGCTATACTGAAACGCTTGCTTGACAATGGTATAAGAAGCTATTCCAACGCTCTTGCTTGACAACAGTATAAGGAGCTATACCGACACTCTTGCTTGACAATGGTATAAGAAGCTATACAGACGCTCTTGCTTGACAATGGTATAAGAAGCTATTCCGACACTCTTGCTTGACAACGGTATAAGAAGCTATACAGACACTCTTGCTTGACAATGGTATAAGAAGCTATACGGACACTCTTGCTTGACAATGGTATAAGAAGCTATACAGACGCTCTTGCTTGACAATGGTATAAGAAGCTATTCCGACTCTCTTGCTTGACAACGGTATAAGAAGCTATACAGACACTCTTGCTTGACAATGGTATAAGAAGCTATACAGACACTCTTGCTTGACAACGGTATAAGAAGCTATACAGACACTCTTGCTTGACAATGGTATAAGAAGCTATACGGACACTCTTGCTTGACAACGGTATAAGAAGCTATACCAACGCTCTTGCTTGACAATGGTATAAGAAGCTATACAGACACTCTTGCTTGACAATGGTATAAGAAGCTATATGGACACTCTTGCTTGACAACGGTATAAGAAGCTATACGGACACTCTTGCTTGACAATGGTATAAGAAGCTATACAGACACTCTTGCTTGACAACGGTATAAGAAGCTATACGGACACTCTTGCTTGACAACGGTATAAGAAGCTATACCAACACTCTTGCTTGACAATGGTATAAGAAGCTATACTGTTTATACATGTGTTAAGTAAGGTAACATATGCCTGGTATGCCCAATAACTGTATGGCTTCATTAATGGTCAACGCCTAAAAGCACCTGTATATACATAACAACCTACATGGAAAATGGATAAACAGACTGCGAACAATATTGTGCTTGAATGCTAAATAACTATAAAGAACTTACTGAGTTTTGGTTCCGTAACCCTGGTGGTAGACAGCCGCAGAGATTGCAACTATCATGAGGGGGACACCTGCAAATACAAACACTTTTAGAATTACTTCTGTACCAATGCCATGCAATAAATATAATTATAAGCAAACGTAGATACATTTATTAGCTAGGATCCCAGCCTTAGTAATAAGCATTTGTTTGGTTATTGTATAACGCTGCATTATTCCAGCCATATGGCGCCAGTCTGTAAATAATCGAGTCTGGACCAGACAATCCAGTGATCAACATCATGAGCATCACTGACAGAATTTGGGTTAAACATTGGTTTAAATAGTTTTTTATTTAGAACAAAACATGCCAGATTGTTGAAGTCAGGTGTGGTCAGGTTCAAGCTTACCGCACTTTTACAGACAGCAGCAGGCACATGTGTGTCCATACTGATGTCGGTTTTACAGTGTTAGCACACCGAGATACCATGTACAGTGAGACCTCGGATATCCGGACACATTCGTTTTTATGTAAATCGTCCGGATAACTGAATATCCGGATATCTGGATTTTTGGTTTTCATACACCTCAAGGAAAATCCAAAATGTTTATGATCATCGAGCGTTTATTTTACATGTATAGACATTCAAAAACAGCATCACAACCTAACAATCATACCTTTACAATTATTAAGTTTTGAAAAAGTCTTTCATTGAGGACTGCTTACACTGACTTGAATATCGACACACTGCACTTTTATTGCTTTGACTGAATAAACAACTTAACAGTTAGAACTCAATGGTTAACTCAGTGTCAGCTAGGCCCTTCTAATCACCACCAATACCTTGATGATCATTAATCCGGATTAGCAGACCATGTCTCGTGTCAAAACACGTGGGACTCTCGCACTTCCCTTCACACGGTTAGCGGTAGATCAAACCTTCGTGCGGATAGGTGAGTCAATTTTGTGTTGATTTAGCCGGTTTGTTGTAAAATGTACCGTCCGGAAACGGACACCGAATATCCGTTATAGACAGTCACTTTTATAACGTAAGAGATTGTTTTTTTCTAAAAATTGACCGGAAGGCGAGGTTTCCGGATATCTGGGGTCCGGGTATCCGAGGTCTCACTGTAATAATTTAACATAGATACCCAACTAAGAAATGCACTTAAAGCTAAACAGTAGACAACAAGTACCATCTTTTAACATCTTTTGGTATGATGCAGTCGAGGATCGAACCCACAACTTCCACCCTCTATGCAGACGCTTCATCCACTAGGCCACAGAGGCAGTCTTGAAAACATGAGCAGCAACTGACTGCTGTCTGGATATCAGTGAGTGAGTGAGTGAGTGAGTGAGTTAGTATGCTTAAGCAATATTCCAGCAACATCACGGCGGGGACACCAGAAATGAGCTTCACACATTGTACCCATGTGGGGAATCGAACCCAGGACTTTGGCGTGATGAGCGAACACTTTAACCAGTAGGCTACCCCACCACCCTGTCTGCATATCAGGACACACAGCTAGGTCCCATATTGCGACCACACAATCCACATCTTAATTGACCCTTTTAGTAACCATGGCTCACTTGTACCAATACAGCCTACGAAACCTTACAGTCATCCATAAATGTGAACAAATGGAAACCCAGTCCTGCCACTGACCAGAATAAAGCTGTTTTTTATAGTGCTATCCCAATGAGATACCATGTAGCAGTTCACTCCATCTAGAAACAATATACAGTCATCCCTTGCATCTACACAGATCTCGGTGTATTGACTCCATGCTGACCAGTCCTGTTACCTACCGTAGCCACAGAGGTAGTACCACTTCAGTCTGGACCTCTCCGTCTCGAACACCTCGATGAGCATGACGTACAGCTGGACACCTTCCAGACACATCCAGGCAAAGGCCACCAGGAAGAAGAAGTGGAGCAGTCCAGCGATGATGGAACACAAGATCTGAAACACAGCCATCATGGTTAGTCTGTCATCGGTGGTCAGATAAACATCGGATTTAAATCACTGATTCAAACCAATATTTCCACTGTTAAGTCTAATTGTAACAACTGGGGTGGTTTGGTACCCCAGTGGTTAAAGCGTTTGCTCGTCACGCCGAAGACCCGGGTTCGATTCCCCACATGGGCACAAAGTGTGAAGCCCATTTCTGATGTCCCCAGCCGTGATATTGCTGGAATATTGCTAAAAGCGGTGTAAAATCCAACTCACTCGCTCACTCACTAATAGTAACAACTGACTGTAGCTCTGTTATTAACACAGATAACTGTTACAGTAGATTGTTCACCCAAATAAGGTGTGCTTTAATCTCAACAAGACAGCAAACATTGTCTAAAAGTTCTTCACTTTACGGGAAATAAAACCCTAGTCTCCCACTCACAAATCAATGTATTCACTTCAAGACCCACCAAAACACAGGATAGCATCATAAAGGAACTGTGTGATGTACACACCTTTAGTTCTGTTTGATCGATTCCGACCACGAATATAATCTCCGCCAACATGAGGCTGTATACCAAGTGCTTGTGGATGGTGGTTCGGTCACACTGTAGGTTCCTGGTATGACAAGAAACAAAAATATTAAAGCAATTCAAAAACACAGTTTAAATTCTTTTTAACTGCAAGCCAAACATATTACAGCTATATTTGAGAGCTTGAAATGGTCCAAAATGAATCTAAAGCAAGAACACAAGAGCAATGCTCAGCACAAATAATCAGCCTTAACACTAAGACTAAATCTAAATTCTGAATTTTTGTTGGCTCATGCAATAAGCATTAGGAACTCCGATTTATTTTGCATTCTCATTTGGTACAGTGTTAAGGGGTTAAGTTTTACCAATGCACCTATTGCAGTCTCTCAAAGCAGCCATTCATTTTAGCATTCGATTCTCATATCATTTAACCTCAAAACAAGACATATAGTTTCGGACAAATGCGAATCAGATTATCAGATCCAAAAGTATAAAGTAACACCAATATACAGATATGGCACTTCTTCAAATACAATTCAATCATGACTGTAAAACATAAAAAGGATAAAACAGTTTTTTGCACATTTCAATGTTAATGAGGAAAAGACATTTGAGCTTATGTTTACATGACAGCTTCTCACATTCTACAAAATAATACAAAAATGAATATAACATGAGAACAGATAATGCTTTTCGCACACATTTCAATCTGAATGAGAGAAAGAGAAGCATGTAGTCGTGTGTGTGAGCTACTCACTTGAAGGCAACGAAGGTGATCCAGGTGAAGAGGAGGCAGATGATGGAGATGATGCAGCCCACGAGGGTGATGATGCGCAGAGACAGGGCATGACCTGGTGACAGCTGCAAGACAGGGCAACAAGGTACAGGTCATTTCACATGGGACAGACCTGTAATACCTTGTAAAATTGTCCTTTGCTCACAACCAGTGTATGAAATAAGTTTGAAAAAAACCCAGGCCCAATGTGGTTTGTCTTTTTTGAATAGCAAGATTAAATAAATACTTCCAAAAGTTGCCAGCCCTGACCAAAAGATACCAGGTTACGGGCTGTCGGACAGGTCTTATTTCATACACCGTTATAACCTTATTTTGCTTTTTTGCTTCTTTGCAACTTTGATGATTCAAGACAACATAACTGTACTGAAAGTTTCAGTCAAGTATATGTATTACGATCTCCTACCAACCTTGGTGCCAGTGATGTCCATGAGGACTGCGAAGTTGGTCAAGTGGTTGCACTTGCAGGTTGTATGGGTGCTGTTTGTCTGGATCATACTGCAGCCATCTTGAGACCACTGGCCTCGCTTTTGACTGTAACAGAGAAACATTCACTTGATACTTGATTCTGTTTAATGTTGTATCCTGCAGGAAAGTGTGCTGTCAACATGTGAAAGTTTGGATTCCTGTCATTGTTTCATCAATCTAACGGGTGATTATTTCCTGTTATCTTCCAAAATTGGATTACACAAGAGGTATGACTTTATTGGAGCAAGCAATGCCTCCCAGGAGATATCTATACAATCAAATTCTATCACCATAGCAACAGTATTATTACCTCTCATCCATCTTCCAGTAGGAACACAGGGGGTTGGATTTCACTTCAGGCTGAAACAAAAACAAATTATTCAAACTTTTGATTTAAAAGATCCAAAGATTGAACATCCAAAGAGCTTTTCATGTTACATTGTCCACCATTTTGCACCTCTGATACTTAACTAATCAGTACTAAACATTCAAATAGGGGGAAAATATAAGACAAAATACTAAAACGATAAATGTTCCTCGTGGGTGAGTGATATTACGATAGCTTCTGGAAATTGAAAAGGATTCACGTTTCCACTTAATAGTTGAAAGGAGAAGGGAAATAGCAATACGCATGAGTCAGGAAAAGGAAAAGTAATGTTCCTTTAAGTCTAAATATCTTATTTTTTAAAGTTACTTCTCTCTTTCATTATACAAAAGAATGTGGACTTATTGCTTGTGCACTGATGCTGATCACAATCATTCCAAAATCTGAACTTCATGCTGGACATGAGGGTCATTGTACTTTTTGCTGACTATCAAAACCCTGGACATCGACGTGAAAAGAGTCAACACTCCAACGCCCCCAACACCCAGTTCGCATGGAATGAGGATAGTTTTATGCCAATATTCCAGCCATGCTGAGATTCAGGATTTAAACCCATCTGGTGAACCAAACCTGGATCTTTGCTGTGACAAGCAAACACTTCAACCACTAAACTCCCCTTCCACCCACTCTTGATTGAGAACTATAGCATGTACAAAGGACAAAATCTCACACTCAAATGTTGCATAGTGTATTCCACTGGTTCGAACAACTCGATCTCCTCCCTGTTGTTGATGGAAGCTGAGATGATGTTGGAATTGACGACCTTCTCCTTCTTCTCCTCTTTCTCTTCCTCCTTCGGGGAATTAACGATGATCTCATTGGACATCTCGGAGGTGCTTCGACCCTCGACATCCTTCTGCCCCTCCGGCTGATTCTCTGACAGCATCTTCGGCTGCATGAACTGCTCCAGGTTGTTGTAAACAACGAAAACAACAGTCACAACACCTGCAATGAGAAAAACACAAACATTATAATATCTTATTTCACCAATAATTTTTTTTCCAAATGAACTTTAGTCAACAGTTAAATCTAATAACAACTCAAATTCAATGATAACAAAATAATACAATTAGGTTAACATTGATGTTTTTAATCATTTTTTTCATAATTGAGTACTTGTTTCTTTGGTATGAATCATTGGCTCTGACAAGCCAGTAGAGAGATTGTCTCCCTTTAGACGGTATTCTGGACCCAACACAGTGGTGTATTTGGACATTGCTGGTGAAAGCATGAAACACCATTGACTCACTTGCTCACTTTCTGAGACCATTGAACCTAATCACTGTCTGAAACAATGTCTCTCTTGTCCTTTGGGCTACCCATAAGACAACCTTGTCTTACCTTTTTTGGCAGCATTGACAAGGCTTCGAGCGGGGATTGAGATATGGTTCGATCTCTTATTCCATGATGCCTCCTCCTTGACCTTTTCAGATGGGAAGGTCATGGGTTCAATGCCACCAAGGACATTCTTCACGTTAACCTCCAGCACTGAAACACACCAATAGATCACATGATGTTTGTTTGTTTCGTTAAAATAACACTCCAATATAAGCCAGTGGTGTTTAATTAACCCAGACTAGACAAACCAGTGATTGATGTCATGAACAACAGGATATGATGACACACCATCAACCAAGTCAACAATTGTCTTAATTATATGACCCGTGAAGGTCTGGGCTAGAACTGATCTTCAGTAACCCATGCTTGTCGTAAGAGGCGACTAACGGGATTGAGTGGCCAGGCTCGCGGACTTGTTTGACACATGTCATAAGTTCCCAATTGCGCAGATCGATGCTCATGCTGTTGATCACTGGATTGTCTGGTCCAGACTCGATTATTTACAGACCGCCGCCATATAGCTGGAATATTGCTGAGTGAGGCGTAAAACTAAACTCACTCACTTAATTATAGATTATTCTAACCTCCACTCCCACTCGGGTATATCACATGTATTTGTGTAAATCATTTGCAAGACGACCATGTAATGAACCCTTACACTGAGTGAGTATGTTGTGTTTAACACAACTTTTAACTGTATTTCAGTGCATGGCAATCTCTTGTGGTGAGATGAACTGAGCCACTTACACTGAACATACTTAATGAGGACATATATATATCTTTCATGAATATGAATTAACGAAAGAAACACAAATATTTTCAAGAAGTCTTTCTAGTCTCTCACTGTCATTGTAGTCTAAAATGAAACGATTTCAGAACCAGTGGAAAACTTGAAAGGTCTCACATCCATTAAACTGTACGCCCAGATAATGAGTAACAGTTATTACCGAGATTCTCGCTGACCATGGTGTTGGCATCGTTGACCTCCATGACCTCTGCTACTTGGAAGGCAGACTTCTCAACGCTGATGATCAAAGACGTCGCTGCCTCTTGAGACTGTGACGTTGGCAGCAGGTCCCATGACTTCTTCTGTTTCTGTGACAACAGGTTACTACTTGTGTTCACAAACGACTGAAAAATACAGAATCCAAATATGTAAGCACACAAACTTGAAATACGAAGAAAATAAAAAATATTGTCAAATCAAAATTTAGTTACAGTCATGTAGTTTTCATTTACATTCGTGACAAAGAATGTTATTACTAGGCCTCTACAACCTGCCTCTACAACTGGATGTTCTACAGATTTGTACAGGGTTAATGTAACAGCTACCTGTTGGCTAAAGCTGTAGGCTTGAGGAGTGAGTGAGTGAGTGAGTGAGTGAGTGAGAAAGGTTTGAAGCTGCTTTTAGTAATATGCCAGAAATACCACGGTTGGGGACACCAGAAATGGGCTTTACAAAATGTACCAATTTTGGGAATTGAAACCCAGTTCCTAACTTTTCAGCATAAAAAGAGAACACATTAACCAAAACCAAAATAGCAAAGGACTTCAACTGCTTATTTTCCTGTAAGCAACACGTTTGGCAAGAAAAACGGTCAAGAAACATGCCCACATAGTCAACCAAGAACTGCAATACAACATGAGATCGGCGATGAAGTCTGGTGATGACCATACCTCAGTAAACTTCTCAATCTTCTTCCTGCGAATGGCGACTGGCACATCCTGGGCAGCTTCCATCTCCATTCTCAAAGCCTGGTTCAGCCTCGGCAGCAGTTTCTGGGTCGTGCGTTTCAGATCGCCAGCGTTGATCTCATGTGCCGACACGTCTTTCAACTTTGTCATCACCTCCTGGGACGACGCAACGCCTTGGAACTGTGGGGAACATAACATTTTCTTCATATGTAAACTTGTCTATGGTGAAAAGTGAGCTATGAAGTGGCAGAATTCATTTAAAGTACACATAAACAAAATATTTTCAGGTGGCATGTTTGGCGCCAATGTCAGGCTGCAGGCTATATTTAACTTTAGTACTCAAGAAATGGCAATACAAGTGGAATCCCACAAGTGAGAGGCAAAACTTTAGACACTGTCTTGAGATCTTGTTCAAATTTTCATGTTGTACAGGTTGGTGGCAAGACGCAGTAGTTATGCGTAAGAAAGGGCCACATCCCATTGCAAGTTCCATTGGTTACAAGATAGATCTGGATCTAAGCCATTAACTACTACAAAAGTTGGGAGGTCCATTCATTGCAAGGGATGACAAGACTTCATGAACTAGTTCCTCACCACTTCATCTATGTTTTCATCAATCGTCTTCACCCATGGTGAGACACAGTCGCTGAGGTCCGGGCCACCCACCCATCCTCTCTCTCACTGCACAGCCATCTTGCAGTGCCTGGGAAACAGAGATACAATCAAAATAAATACCAGCCACAATACAACTCTACAGGCGATTGTAAATTTCTATGTATATCTATTGTGATCTGGATTTACACCACTTTGAACAGCATTTCAGTCATAAAACCATTTATTACCTTAAGATAAATTTGTCGAATTCTGATTGGTCAATAGCCAAAGGATATGAAAGCATGTAGGCGGATTTGCCAGGGTGTACAAACCGTATGGGTTGTACAAGTGACCTTGACCTTAGATGAAATGCGGCTGCCAATAAGCTGATCGCTATGAAATTTTGAGTTGGCGTTATACAGGTATGAGTATAACAGAGTAATAAAATTGTTGCCTTAATTTCTTATTTGTTTGTGTAAATAAAAAAATTAAAAAATTAAAATGTTTCTGTATTTCACTTATTGTTTAACAAAACCTCAAATTCGATCATTTTTATCATAAACTAAGCCATCCCCAGTTATCTTCCTTTATGACGGTTCAGGAAAAAACATGGTGAAAATTTTTGCATCTCATTCTACCAAAGATTGGATGTTGGTTTTTACAGATAAGCTAAATAGAGAGGAGTTAGGGGTCTTAAACTCGTCACACAGTGTTTTGAAAGGGTGTACGGGAGTATAAGATCCTTGCAAATTCTGTATGTTCGGAATTTACAAGGGTCTTACAGTCTTGTAAACCCTTTCAAAACACTGTGTATCTAATACTATCAGGACCCGTGAAGATCCGGGGTAGAATAGGTCTTCAGCAACCCGTGCTTGCCACAAAAGGCGACTATGCTTGTTGTAAGAGGTGACTATTGGAATCGGGTGGTCAGGCTCACTGACTTGGTTGACAGGTGTCATTGGTTCCCAATTGCGCAGATCGATGCTCATGCTATTGATCACTGGATTGTCTGGTCTCGAGTGTGTTTAGTTTTACACCGCACTCAGCAATATTCCAGCTATATGGCAGCGGTCTGTAAATAATCGAGTCTGCACCAGATAATTCAGTGATCAACAGCATGAACATTGATCTGCGCAATTGGGAACCGATGGCATGTGTCAACCAAGTTGGTGAGTCTGACCACCCAATCCCGTTAGTCGCCTTTTACGACAAGTATGGGTTACTGAAGATCAATTCTAAACCGGACCTTCACAGGTATATATATATACATATATATAGTGAACATATTCATAATGCCCACCAATAAGCCCTCCAGGGCAAGCTGCCTTTGCCCATCTTCCAATAGGTGTTGTCGGCCATAACACCCCCTCAGCTCTCACGGTCTTGCACACACGAATATTGTATGGACGGTGTGTGGTTGGAGGTCGAGGATGTGGAGTTGTCTCCCTTCCACTACTAATCTCAGCAGGTGGCAGTGTTGGCTTTCTGGTGTTATTTCCTGTAGATAAAACAAATACTCAGATAAAGCTGTATATATGTATTTGATATTTAATAATTTACATCTCTCTCTAACATATCCTGCCACTGATACTACAATATTAAGATTATTAATCCAGATTCAACATGATTTGTGCAGGAATAAATTTTCATTAAACAAAAAGTGATGGTTAAAGTTTATTTTCAACATCGCTGCTCAATAGAGATAATTTTACACATTGACTCAAGATGGACATCAATTTTATTTAGCAAAGAAATTCCTTTTTGTCTACAGAGTTAATGAAGAGAGAAATCTGGCCTTGATAGTTAAGAGGAATTATTAATATTGGAAAAAAAGTAAAAATTATTAATATTAATTCAGAAGAAATTAGAAAAAAGATAACATTAGAGCAAACATATTGCAGAGTTGTGAACACAGTGTTGCAGTGAGTGCACTCGGTCAAACTTACTTGTGCAACACAACACTTGAAGCACTAAATTTCTAAAACAATTGCAAAAGAAAACAATTACCCCAAAAATAAAAAAGGGTTTTATTTACACAAGCAAAGTCCCATAAATATTCCTAAAAAAATAATACCAATTCTTCTGTGACCAAAAGGTTTGACTGTCCGTCAAGTGCTACACCAAACCAAAAAAATGGTAGAGTGACTCAATATATCACAACACATAAGCTGTGTGTATATGGTGCAATATTATCCTGGTTAAATACGACAGTATATTGTCCACAAGCTACACCACAATATATGACCACTGATCAGTAGTATATTTCCACCTGTAGGAAATGAAATACATGAGTAAGCTGTGATTAGATGTCTCCCATCTGTTTGAAACTGACGTGATATTAACACCTATATAGCACACAGGAAGCAAGCACAAAACGGCCATCATGCTATAACGTGGTACATGTACATAACATTTATATCACACACAGTGCACTGACATCTTGAAAACAAAGTCATGGTTCCTCTGAAAAACCTTTTAAAATCCCAAACTTATTTAAGCCAAAACCAATAATCTTTTGATTTCTATAAAAAATCTATATAAAAAATAAAGTAAAAAACAATTATCGTTTGATTTTTATGAAAAAGCAACCCCAAAACATGTGACTGATTCATTTATCATGTTCATTAATACTAAACAATTTGCATTCTCATGTTAACAATTAACTGTTGTGATCATTTTCAAGATACAAGCCAGTCTGTTATGGATGATAGTGCTTTATTCAGAGGAACCATTTAGTACTAAGATGTATCACTCACAGTTCAACACTATATTTAACAATTACCGTTAACGCAGGGTGCAAAATAATATATTTTTCACAATCAGAAATACTCAAGATCCCAAATTTCTCCAGTTTAGCTCAATAGGTTTTCCTAGAATACCCTCATGCAATCCTTAATAATCCAGTGTTTCTTGTCTTAACTCTATGATATCTCTTGTACTTCTGTGATTTTGATTTTGATAGGATGGATTGTGTCTTTCAAAACACATCTCAGCACTTAGATGATCTTAATTCCCACACTGAATCATAGGCTAATGACAGTCAAAGCACTCAGCATGCTTAGCAAACCCTTCCTTCCACAATGTGGGGTGGTAGGGTAGCCTAGTGGTTAAAGCGTTCGCTCGTCACGCCGAAGACCCGGGTTCGATTCCCCACATGGGCAAAATATGTGAAGCCTTTTCCTGGTGCTCCCCCGTCATGATATTGCTGGAATATTGCTAAAAGTGGCGTAAAACTAAACTTGCTCACTCACTCCTTCCTCAATGCAATCTTTGCGATCTGTCAGTATCGTGAGCCTATGTTAAAGTGTAAGAGTTGTAATCATCTCAGTACTAAGAGAACTTTATGAAACAGGGCTTATTTTGTCATATATAATGATGACTTGAATATACAATGATGATAAATTTAATTAAAAAACATTTATTCAACTGAGGTGGAATTATGACGCTATGACCTTTCTGACAGTGTTTCTAAATTTGGAATGTCTTTAGTTATACTTAATTATACCTGTTGGAACTGGGTATCATGATGTTATTATATTGGTATGTAAATGTGCCACATTCAGATGAAAAAACAAACACAAGGGTTAACGTGTTAACAACTACACACAGTGATTAGTGGGTTTGTGTCATTAACAAGACAAACATTTTATGACATGCAAGTTCAGGGCTCATTAGTACAAAAGAAGGTTTGCACATAGCATAATTATCGCCTTGTTCCACTAGACAATAGACTGGTGACATGCTTTGTTAGGGCTGGTAAAAGAAAGATTATCTGCCCTTACTATGCATAGTCATTAAAAACTTGTCTCACCCACACAGAGAAAACACCTCAAACTTACTAGGTAGAACCACAGACGATGTTTGCTGGGTGGGGGATTGGGTGGGGGATTAGGTGGAGGAGAGGTAGAGGAGATAGAGGACATGGGGGGTGGGAGGTGGGTAGTAGTAGGAGTAGGGGTAGTGGATGGAGTTGTCGTTGGAGTGGTTGTTGTGGGGATGGGGGTGGTAGTAGTAGTAGTTGTTGTTGTGGTAGTCGCTGAAAAAGGTTGCCAGATATACTTATAATCTCATTATTTTTCATAAAACCAAATAAAAGTATAAAAAAGTTGCCATAAAATTTCCTTAGATAAAAAAACTATAAAAAGGATGAGAAAGGTTTCCAGATTTTCCATTTTTTGCATTAAAACACAAAACTATCACAATCCTTTTCATTACACATCTTCAAAGAAGCTAGTAACTACAATGACTCCAATTTCCAAATAAGCTGGTTGAAATTAACTACTTGATAAATAAAATAAATTCAAACAAATCTTAGTCTTCAGTATTCATTTAAAACATTGTTTACACGATTATTTGAAAACAAATACATATAAGAGCAATATATTTGACTTTCAAATTACAAAATCATCTAGAACCTCTGCTTCAGCTGATATGAGTCAAGAAAAAACACAAAGTTGTGAAAAGAAAACAACTTTCTCAGTCCAGCTTTGACAGCTTGTTTATTTCACACCATCAATCAAGTTGATAGATGTTAAAACACACATAGAACCATGCAAATCCTCACTTCATCGACATACATGTCAAGGTAACTATTATCAGTTTCAAGCATGTAAATGCTAAAGTGATGTACTTTTCGTGACCTTGTTAACCCTTAAGGTAACATCTGTCATACTTACTGCTGGGCTCTGTGGGTATTGTACTTTGCGTTGTAGTAGATGTTGTTGCAGACGTAGGAGGAGAAGGGGTTTTTTGGAGTATCAACTGAAATAGCAGGAAAACAAAAGGCATGCCAGCATGCTCTAAAACTCAACAGAAGAAACAAAATGTCTCATTCAAAAGATTAGCATCATAGAGTCTTTTAATCAAATGTCTCATTCAAAAGATTAGCATCATAGCGTCTTATAATGAAATGTCTCATTCAAAAGATTAGCATTGTACAGACTAAAAATTAAACATATCATTCAAAAGACTGGCATTATACAGTCTTGAAATGAAATATCTCATTGCAAAGATTATCACAGTCTTGTAATGAAATATCTCATTCAAAAGACTGGCATAATGCTATCTTACAATGAAATATCTCACTTACAAGATTGCCAGAAAAAGATGTATGTAATAAAAATTCTCACTGATAATATCTTCTTTCATATCAATGTCATTTGTTTTTGATGAATGATATTTCAATTGAACATCGACTTAAACAACATCGAATAAATAAAATGTTTGTATTACATGGTAAAAAATACAATTGCCATATGTGTGAATAATATTTCTTGTGTACATCCATAGTTATTTACCATCGTAACAAAGTAGGAACTAATTAACAGACAAATTTAACAATTTGTGAATCAAATTTCAGAAATCATTCCTCAAATAATAAGTTTGTATGAAAACATAACTTCGTCGATATCGTAATACTGACATATTTCCAAATCATGATTCACAACATGTTAAACAGGTCCATTGCCTACCAAGGGAGATAACTCCTCAGACCATAGATGTTATCTGCATTCCATGTTGACAGAACTGACACTATCTAATCTACGGTTGTCATCATTCTCATGTCATCTACTTCATTCCAGTGTACAGCAACATGCTAAAATGCACGCAAAATGCAAACCTACATCCTCGTTTGAGAAAGGTGTACTGCAGTGGTTCACCCTGTTTCCCCTATATGCATATGGTGCAAACATTTGCCTGATCTATCCTCCTTATCAGGTCACCTAAGAAATTACCTACCTGGATCGCAATATTAGTGTAATGTGCCCAATAACTGATGACTACAGGCATTATGCCACCATCGGCTACTACTTTAGTTATTGTGTGGTATTCAGATAAAGACTGATTTTACTTTCCAAAGAACTATTTGTAAATTTGTATTTTTTGTCAAAAGACCTTTTTCAAAAGCCTGTCATTGAGTAAATTTTTAATTAAGCCATATCACCTTTAAACTTCCTTTTAATAAAAACAAAAATCGTGTTTCATCCATAAGATTGTGGGACTATTTATTCAGGGTTTTTTCGGCATTCAGGATTAACATTAAAAGCAGTAAAGGGTCAGATTTGAATCGATTCCGAAAGCCATGTTCTGATAGGGACAATATTCACCTCAGCCCCAAATGATGGACAATTTTTTTTTAACATCTGCATTGTTTGTTTGATGTTAAACCCACCAAACCTCATTTAATTACACCCATGTTCTAAGGGAACTGAATACTTAACAGAGACTGGTTCTTGGTTGTAATTGCACTGAATCACCTTTAAAATTCTTGGCAAGTTTATTTAAAGATGAATTAAAGTTTAGCCAAAGCCAGGATACAAATGCCTTTTTATTAACCTACTGGCACTAGGACTGGTAATCCTTCAACATTTTAACCACATCAAACAACCAAAAATTTAAAAATAAAATGAAATCGGACTGCAAGCCTTTAAAGAGGGCTGCAGTTAGATGGACCTAAAAAATGTCTTTTATATTTCTGTCCTGTCAGGTTCAGGTTCATTTCAGTTTGGGTGTATCTGTCTCTAAAGCCTCATTTGTTAAGTCCTCTACAGTACTGACATCTAACAGGTTTTCCCATTGACACAGACGTCAGTCAACGTCAGGGGAGTCTACAAACGTGTAGATCTGCTTCCAAACATCACGTAATACCAGTGAGTTTTTTTGGTCAGATTTCAAAACAGGTAATTTATTTACCTTTTTTATTTTAGTATTGCCACAATGAATATACCCCTGTGACCTCTTATGAGTGAGTGAGTTTAGTGTTACGCCGCACTCAGCAATATTCCAGCTATATGGCGGGTGACCTCTTATGATAATATACACCTGTGATGTCTTATGATAATATACATCTGTGACCTCTAATAATTTTTACCTGTGATGTCTTGATGTATACCTGTGTCTTCTAATGATAATATTCACCTGTGATGTCTTTATAATATACACCTGTGAAGTCTAATGACAATATTCACCAGTAATGTCTTATGATAATATACACCTGTGATGTCTAATGATAATATATGCTTGTGATGTATAATGATAATATACACCTGTGATGTCTAATGATAATATATGCCTGTGACATCTAATGATAATATTACACCTGTGATGTCTAATCATTACTTACCTGGTTGACAGTAGTATTTCACCTCTGCGTATTTACTAGTATCAGGGCATGGGTCCCCGAAAACATGATTATTGGCCATCATTTCACACTCCTGTCTCCCATCACACCTACAGCAAGAAAATGCACATGCAGTTAAAGAAGCACTATGGCATGACGATGGGTAAGTTCAATACATTAGTTCAAATACATACTTAAATATACCCCTGTGACCTCTAATGATAATGACATTAAAGTGCAGCAAAAAGAGAATACACCACTTGAGATTTGGAGGTGGTCTAGACAATCGACTGTTCTCTTACCATTCTGAATTAAAGCTTAAGATCTGATAGATGTACATGTTGTAGCTAATTTTATATAGTTCTGATACCTCCAGTGTATTATGGTTATTCCTAATAAATATTATTGTTACCAGTATCTCCACAAAACCTTTAATTGTCAGTTTCAAAAGTATGATAAGTTAAAATCAAAACTGTGGATCCTTTTATTAAGTGCGAATATTCATATTGTTCCTTAAAAGGAAACTGTATGTCCTTAGTGAAACGATATAGTAATAAACAAATAACTGCTTGACAAGTGAAACTATACACAGTCAACAAATACAATAACATATCCTTCTTGTGAAGGCAAACTAAATTATTTATTACATCAGAAGAAATTTGAAAGTGTGTATTCCTAATTAAATGAAATTACATAAACATGTTATCAGGTTTCTGATAATTTATGCAAAGATTTCTAAGAGCCCTGAAAACTGTTAATATTGTTAAGAACCTAGAAATTTAAAAGAAAAAAGGGAAACAAAAAATTGGAACAGGAATGCTTCAAGTACTTAAAAAAACATGAAATTCTAATCACAGTGGGGTAAGTTCATGCCCACTATTTTGTAAACATTTATTTCAACAACTGACAGTGTGATTGTTAAACTGTCATCATATCCCTTCTCACTCAACATAATGTTTGTCAGTACCTAACACAGGACAGCATTCAGTGACAGCTATTTCCAACATGCTAGTATATATGCAGCTATTTGTGTGAGTCACTTCACTATCCGTGTTTATAGAAGGTTGAAATTAACATGATTAACACTGAAACAGACATGACTTGGTATCAAACAGAGAGAAATATACATACACAAGTGGTTGTCAACTGTCTACCGCTAACGGTTAGAACACCAGACATATAGGCTTGCCTGCTCATGCAAAAAGCAGTTTTTCATGGCAGTACTCATGTTAACATTCATTTTACTAAATTTGTTAGCATTTTACAATTCTGTGGAATTCTAGTCAATAAGTGTTTCTTGATTACATTGAATATTAAACATTTGCTGATCAAATGGCAGAGTATATTTATTTATAAGAAAGACATGAAAATAATATTCCTGTTATTTAAAGTCCCTTTGAAAGTGTATTGGAATTTGAATATGGAAGATATTGCCATATAAAATGTGAGCTATAATTCCACGGAGATGTATCTGAGTGACATTTAACACTAACTGAGTCTATGATACACGTAACATACAGTCATACAGTCACATCTCCACATCTCTCACCCAGTGTACCAGCACAGGCCCATTCGAGAGTATGTGAGTGTTTCATTGCAGAGGTCATCAAAATGTGAATCCTGCGCCAATATGACACTTCGGCTTCCTGTTACATCTACGCAGTACAACAAATACTGTGTCATATGTTTGTTTAAATGATATTATATGATTTCTGTATTTTCTAGAGTTTAGCACCCACATATTTTTCTAACACAGCTGTGTAAATAAGGATGTAGATAACGCACACCTATACTGAGTTCTCATGTTTTTCCCCAACACAAAGGCATTAGGTCTAGGTTTGTTAGTATGCTGTTTTACGCCCCACTCAGCAGTATTCCAACTATATGACGGCGGCCTGTAAATAATCGAGTCTGGACCAGACAATCCAGGGCTTAACAGCATTTTCCTACAATCGCCAACGGCTGAAGGGATGGTATAAATCCAGCTAGGGTCCATGCAGGTAGCAAAGGTACTGTAAGTCCCCATGGTCACTAGTATGGTGATCTACCTTTGGTTGTTGGCGATATATAGCCCATTTTTAATTGTATTGTCCTAATTTAAAATCCTGTTTTTAGAGATAGATAGTAGTTTGGTTTTTTGTGTCTGTGATATTTAGTTGGTTTTGCTGTCCTCCGTTGACAGGCTTTTAGTGATTTACATGCATTTATGATGAAGTTAAAAACTAGTTTTAGTCACGATATGGCTGAAATAATGCCAATGTGACTTTACATTTTAACCCACCCACTCACTCCTAGTGCATATTTATGTTTGTTCTTAAAGTCTGCAATAGTCTCTCATAACCCTAAACGGGTGGCTCGCCTTTATTCTGTATTATAGCTAATACATGTTCTGTATTTTACAAGTGAGGTGAGACTCAAATAAATAATCTGTCTGTCTGTGCATCCCCCTCCGTTATAACGGAATTGGCAATGACATGTGTGGCGATCAAAGTTCACGGATATCAAACACATCAGAAGAAAGAACACTTCTCTAGTCTGAAATCTGTCAGCAATAATTTGTTTATGAAGGGGATAAATATTAACATTTCATGAGGCAAATATGATTCATATCGAACTTCAGTGTCTTAAATCTTTACATATGATTTCATCCTCATCCTTAAATTAATATAAAAATGTCCATTCCATAGAGATTTTACACCATATATACCTACAAGACAAAAATGAACATAAAGTGGGAGAGTGAGTGAGTGAACGTCAGCATCGTCAGCAATTGTGGCTACATCACGGTGGTCTGAAAATTATTCCCAATGTCCATCCTCCACATTGTCCAAGCCTAATGACCAAATAAAGTAGGCCTTCATTTTAAACACTCAGTGATCATAAGTTGGCTCTCTTATAACTGGCCTGGGAAGGTATTCAGCTCCTATATACCTGGACGGTTAAAGATAGATATCAATGTGGTTGAACATGTTTACCGAAGTGTGACATTAATGGTTCCAGATACCATCATATATGTGTCACAATACTAGGACGTCACCAGGGCGTACAGATTTGCACAACAATAATCTGTGTACTTGATTATCTCTTTCAGCATACATCACACAAGATAAGCCAGTGAGTGAGTGAGGGAATAAAGCATAACATCATCTTTCATCTTGGGGTGGTGGGGGCTGTCTTGTAGTTGAGCCATTGCCAAGCCATTGGTTCGATTCCAAACATGTTTATGCAATGTCTGAAACCCATTTCTGGTGCCCCCTGTTGTAATGTTGCTGGAATATTGTTGCAAAATATGATCCAAAAACCATACTCACTCACACTCATACACCTGTCCTACTTATCTCAATGAGCAGAGCTACAGATAACTATTTGTGTCACTGAGTAATGTAGTCGCTTGTGTTCATCTCAATTGGGTATCCTAATTCTCCTTTGGGTAACCAAATTCATTGTACCCAGCTCACTCAAACTCAGTTGGGTATTTTGCCATTTTCCATTAATTGTAAAAATAAAATAAAGTTTAAATGTTGGTTTATGTGTTTGTTTCATATATTTGATCTGTAATATGAAAAACGATAAGATAGACTGCAAGTTGCCAAGTTCAGGTGCTGAAATAGAACCTCTCAATATACCTCAGTTATTTTATCTCATTTTGTTTGTACGCATGTAAGATAAAATATATTGAGTATTTACAAAAATTTAAGCGTACTTGTACGCAATAGGCTTAATAGGAATTGTTTTTCACATAAATATTTGCGTAATTTACGCAGATACGCAGCTTATCTGTACCTCTGATGAGTGAATGAAGGTTGCTTTATCAAAACCACAGCCTTATCACAGCAGTTTGTCAATGATCAGCCTTGATGATGAATTACCAGCTGATATCATGGAAAGATCCCGGCAATAATCACCAGGCTCCCATCTTTTGGCTAGCTCTTACAATATGCGAGGTGTCGTGAAAACCTATTGATTCTGACACAGAATACCCACAACGACTTATAATCATTGGGAAAACATATAGCTTCAGGCTCTATTCCTGAAACTGTAGCAGGAATAATTTGTTGTTAAATTCCACAATATTCCAGCTAAACATCAGTGGACTGGAAATAACTGAGTCTGGACCAGATAATCCAGTGATTGACACCAATGCACCGATCTATGCAACTGGGATAGGATGCCATTCATGAACCAAATCAGCAAGTCCGTCCACCCAATCGCAGTTAATAAGTCGTCTCTTACAAGGAATGATTTGTTATCACCTTTATGATATTTATTACCAACAATTCACGAGTGACAAAGGACAACGTGAATGTTCGCAAATGAATATTTTCCCTTAACATCCAAAACCCAAGCCCTCAATCTTAAGAACCCTGTCTAGAGCTGAATCTCACACCACCACTTTCCTGATTGTGTTAAGAACACAAATTGATCAATTATTTCTTGTTAAAAGAATTAGTCTCACCTCTCTGACACAACCCTGAATGACAGAACGGAGATGCACTGAACGTTCCAGCCTTCTGTAATGCCGAACTTGTTGCAGACGGAGATGCTGTAGCGGCCGTAGTTGGCCAGCATGATGCGGATGACCTCGTTCTCTTCGCACACAACATGCAGCTTGCCGTTCTCACATGCGTACGTGGTCTTCCATTCCGTCCGTGGTGGGAGGCGACCACCAAAGAAAGAACCTGCAAGAAGACATTTGTTGAAAAGTTTCATATGAAGATACACCTCCACATGGTACCACTGGGTTGTGGATAGGAAAAATAGCTAACAGCAGACATTATGGAAATGGTATTTAGCAGACATTATGGAAATGGTATTTAGTAGATAGATAGATAGATAGATAGATAGATAGATAGATAGATAGATAGATAGATAGTGAGTGAGTGAGTGAGTGAGTGAGTGAGTGAGTGAGTGAGTGAGTGAGTGAGTGAGTGAGTGAGTGAGTGAGTGAGTGAGTGTCAGACAAATTAACAGGATACGACATATACAATCAAAACAAGATACAATGAATACAATGAACCAATGTGCCGAGCCTGATCACCAAATCCACTTTTCCAACTTTTCCAACAAGCCTAGGTTACGGGAAGCCACACTCCCACCTTTGATTTACCATGACAATACAAGTAGGCACAGAAATCAGGTCCTGCCTTTACTTTACACAGTGAGCAAAGAGAAAATTCAACGAAAACTAATTTCTTACTTTACACCCTAGAAAGAGGAATCATCATAGAGCCAGTAAGCTGCGTATTTGCGTATAATACGCAATAGAAAAGATGAAATATGCAAGAAAACTAAATTCCAGCATATGAAAAAACACTAAATATTTACATTTACGCTATGTCAAAATAACAAAGCGTACTTACCCAACACATAAACATCATGTTGCGTATCATATCAATTCAAGCCAATAGAACTCAAGTTTTGCCATCTCTAAATATTCGCGATTAAATGAATCTTGAATAATTCTAAACGCAATTAAAATGTGCAACGCAGATTGAATACCAATCATGGTTTGTTAACCCTTCACTAATAGCCATCTTGGTATCTTGTTTTCCAACAAAACAGATGTAGACTAAGGCACTTATTATTTCTTACAGCACAAGTGGATAAAACTGTAGTAGCTATTACCTATTATTTAGCAGGAGGATTTGGTTTTATTTTATTTTATAATAAAAAAATGTCGCACCTCTTTTACTTATTTGAAATGAATACCGGGATTTTAAAAAGATGGTGGGTATGTAAAAGTATAGATACCCTCTTGAAATTGGAAACACCCACTTAGTCTCAAAAGAATGGGTATCATACCCACATGGCCAGAAGCTTTTCTGCTGCTCTGAATCGTAAAACTTAAAATGATTTCGGAAAACTTCAATAGTGGAATTCTTAACAAGAGAACATGTTATATTTTCTTCATATGGCTTAAGTAGGAAACATGGTAATTTTGTTGGAAATTGATTCTGACGCCAACCCACATTTAATACTGTAATACCATCAGTGGACAGGAACTACAATTACACAAAGGGAGATAACTTCAGCTGCTGAAGTTTGTTGCTGTTGGGGGAACAATCAAGTGCCATTCTTCCAAGATGTAATGCCAAGTCGTCTGACAAGTTGACAGTAAAAAGAAATTTAGAAGACAAGATCAGCTTAAGTCCTAAAAAAGAAAATCATTTTCATAGATCTAGGACTCGCAGAGGACAGTCACATGACTCTAATGTCATTCAGAACATGCTCAACCATGTTCAGGATCCTCATAAACATTCTGGGGGATCCATTAATGTTCCTGGCAAGATTTAATGGATTGAGAAGCAGGTTAGATATCTGACCCATAACAGGCACAGAGAGGAGAGGCTGGGAGGGTTTGAGGTCACCTTAACCATTCTGGAAGCAATATGCTACAAGGGATTAACAATTTGTGACAATGTCAGGCATCAGACCCTCATCACTACACTCAAACACATTGGCAACTTGGCTATGCAATAATATCAATGGCATAGTGAGGGTTTATGATACAAACAAACTATTTACTTCAAATTCTTGTTGTCAATTAGTCTGAATGGTATAGTTCTCATCTATACTACACAAAAGAGTTAAGGATCAACTAAATCTTTACTATTAGTATAATTTATCTGTCTGGCCAAGACTGATGGAGTCAGTAATGGGAAATAATTCTGTTATCCTTATTTTCTTTTGAGAGGCATAAATTTCTGTAGGTTTTCAAGAGAGTGAGTGAGTTTAATTTTACGCCGCTTTTAGCAATATTCCAGCAATATCATGGCGGGGGGACACCAGAAATGAGCTTCACTCATTGTGCCCTTGTTTGGAATCGAACCCGGGCCTTGGTGTGATGAGCGAAAGCTTTAACCACTAGACTACCCTACCGCCCCTTTTCAAGAGAGAATATCTTCAACCCTAATCATGAATTAATAAACTGAAATGGAAGTAGCTTTTAGCAATCACACCCTTACTTTCCAAAAAAATAAATATGCACAACTGTTTTCTTCATAAACACGACAGTATCTGATGTATCTGCCTTATCACCAGCATATTTATCTATTTATCATACACATTCCCCCATTTCACTGTATAACAACAGTTGCTTAAATGATAAAACTAAAAAGTATCTGACACACAAATCAAAACTCTAAAATTTCAAAATTTCATATTTCAAAACAAAATATTGAACTCAAGAGCTACCATGCTACTACTGGAACATCTAGTTTTCAGATCAAGAGTGAAAAAAAACTCTCTCTGATAATACCACATTTGGCTAATTATGATTCTTTAAGAAAAAATCCTCTGGCAATTTTATGTGACGAATCCTGTAATTTCATCCTAATTTAACATTTTCTTGATTCATCAAAATCCAAATTATTAGCGATATTCCCTCCTGGTCTCTGCATCAGATGGCAATTCCAAGATTCCGTGCCAGAAAAAAAGTTCCTCCCTCTCTTCTAGCATCAAATTATAAAATCAATAAATATGCTGAGATAATGAGATCACTTGGTGACTTCAAGTGTGATAACTTGCTCTACTTTAGACCTACTTCTATCAATCTTAAACCAAAGAGCATAGGAAGGACCCTGCAGCTATGTGTAAATGTTTATAAATAAAACATTTATCAAGCAGTGTTTTGGTTCACTCTGGTGGCCTTTTCCAGTTTTTGTATATGCTGCGATCTCATACATGTTTTGCACAAAACAGGCTAATTTTTAAGAGAGCATTTCTTTAATTAAGTGCAACATGGTTAGATATATGTGAAGTTATCATGTCAGATTTTGGTGGTTGAAGGACTTTTACAATTTCTGTAGGAGAGTTACTGGAGTGTAATATTGTTAATTATGTTCTTTTTGGGAAGTATTGAAAAATACATTCTTGTCACAATGTTACGAATATGAGTTCCATGTAAATAGAAAACATATTTGAAAATTTGAATAAACAAAGATCCCAATCTGGTTAGAAGCATGGGAATTATTAGCTCTCATCAAAAAGCCTCTCAACAATGTACAAACACGTTTAATTCTAAAACATCTTTAAATAAATAATTAGGCCAGCCTTATTGCATTTTACAATCTAATTTAATCAAGTGTCTCATATATCAAAGTCTGTTTAAACAAATAACATCTAAATACATGGAAATTTCAGCTTAGAGTCAATACGAATATTCAAACATTTGAAAAATAAGATCAAATGGATTTCAATTAAATTCCAAATTAAAAGACCCAAACAAATGAAAAACAACATAATCTTGTTACTTTGGAAAATTCTTCAAATAAAGGATTACAATCATAAAACTGTCTAAGATCACAAGACAAAAGTACCAATTTACATGTGACAGAACTAATTTGCTTCAGGTGAATTTTTTGTGTTTCCAACCCTCGACTCTGCAAACTGCTAAAGCCACCTCAGATATATCTTTGGTAGTTATAATCCTTGATCTTAGACTCCCGATATGTTTAGCCATTTTTTTCAAGGTCACAGGAATTGGTTTATGAAGTTAGCATTTATTGTTATGCTCAGATGGTTTGCATCAGACATTTGTAAGATATCTACTTGGAATCCTAACAACTTAATTTCCCCTTGTAAACAGGCAGGAGGGAGGTGTTTTCAGAGACAATAGGTTTCTTTGTATATCCAAGCTAAGTGTGTGAGAAACGTGGGAAAACAAAGTGATATATAGATCAGTAGCTGTGTAAGTGAAACTGAGAGTTGTATATATCACAGTATTTTCATAACACCTTTTCAATACTAATAGGAAATTTTTTAGGGAATTTTTAAGCTGTTACAAGAATGTTGTGCAATTGTTTGTCAGAAATTAATTTTGTTAGATATTTTTGTATAATGACAAGTTTGTTTCATTCAAAGTTCATTTCTTGGGTAGGTTTTAGAATTATTTGGGAGGAATGATCAAGACTTTATACATAACACAATCTGATGTTCACTATGTCAAATGCATTTATACTTTTATTCTTTAAATGACTGCTTAGGGACCATTCATAATTTATGGCTAGGAGGTGGTGATGATTGGTGGGGTGGGGGTGGTATTATGCTTAAACAATATTGGAGAGGGGGTCATTGATTTTGTACATGAAATGCAGGGGGAGGGGTCACTTACTTTGTACATTTTACATTTACTACATGCTCCATAAAATCATCATCACCCCCTGGCCATAAATTATGAACGGTCCCTTATATCATAAAAAATATGAAAATCTTTTATCAGTAACCATTTTTAGCTAGACATTATTAGTTAAAAGGCTTGAAACTAATATAGGCAAAGATTAAGATAAGTGACATTAGTACTGTGATGTTGAAATCAAACTAGTGGTCGATATCATGAGTAGCAGTGGCACCTGTCAGGATACACAAACACACTCATCCCAGTTCTCTGATGAACTCAATACACACTTGGCCACCACAATGGGCACTTCATTCTTATTTTTATCATCACTTAATCCGTCATTTTAACCACAAGGAATATTTTCTTTGGACCAACACTGCCCTTATTCAAAATTAATCAATCGGAAGAGTTATCATATTGCCTTCTTTTCAGTGCCACCTCTCGTTCCACATGAACAAAGTCTTTGAAAACTCTCCACAATACTGGGGGGATTACCTATTGTTACACACAGTGAAAAAATGTTAAACATGTTCTTGGAAAGGTTTCAGTGGATCTCTGCCTTACAATAAAAGACACATACCTGGCACAGCAGCTGTCAGCTGACAGTTGATCACGACGATGATGACAAGTAGCTGCAAGTTTCTCCCCATCCCCCTGACTTGACCACACCCAATGTCCAGTATAAACAGGGTCCACTATAGCTGGGTGTCCATGCTACTGCCAGGCCAGGTCAGGCCTGCAATCACCACCTGAAATGTACATGTGCATACTAGTTACACCTGCAATCACCACCTGAAATGTACATGTGTATACTAGTTACACCTGCAATAACCACCTGGAATGTACATGTGCATACTAGTTACACCTGCAATCACCACCTGGAATGTACATGTGCATACTAGTTACACCTGCAATCACCACCTGAAATGTACATGTGCATACTAGTTACACCTGCAATCACCACCTGAAACGTACATGTACATACTAGTTACACCTGCAATCACCACCTGAAACGTACATGTGCATACTAGTTACACCTGCAATCACCACCTGGAATGTACATGTGCATACTAGTTACACCTGCAATCACCACCTGGAATGTACATGTGCATACTAGTTACACCTGCAATCACCACCTGGAATGTACATGTGCATACTAGTTACACCTGCAATAACCACCTGGAATGTACATGTGCATACTAGTTACACCTGCAATAACCACCTGAAACATACATGTGCACACTGAAAATGAGCATACAACTTAGTCAACAGTCATAAATTTCAGCATCAGAAGTGTAAGAGATTGTTATTCATATTGCACGTCAACATGCTCATGTAAACTGTCATGTCAACATCAACAAACAAACAACAACCTCATAAATCATGTCTTTTAATGTTAAAAAACTATGCTTAACTGGATATAGTGTATTTAAGGACGTAGTTATCTTAGAAACATAAAATATACACCAACCATTGGTTACTTGAGAACACACATCATGTCTCAATTGTCAGGCAGTTGCTTGTTTCAACCCGAAGCCATATGATAAATTTCATGGTCTCTGTTTCAACAAACTAAATCAGTTTTATAAAAAAAAATACTTTAACCCAATTTACAACATTCATATCCTTTTGCAAGAATCTGAAGCAGGTGAAGTTAGTAGGCAGTGTGTCATCGAAATGAAACATGACTTTAAGTGTTCAAGCAAAATGATGCATCATGACATCAACTGCTTGAATCGTGGATACAGGATTCAATATCATCTGAACATGAGGATCCTTACAATCAGCTTTATCAAATTTGACATTTTGAATAAAACAGCTCAAGTTTAGACATAAACATGAAACACATTTAAGTATATCTAAACCTCTTTGTCTTTTCCAGAAAACCAGCATCTAAAGGCCATCTTATTGTCTTTTAACAGCATGGGTGATCACATGCTTCCCATTGTGTTAACACCTGTGTGTTGACAGGCTGACATAACGAGATGTACACACCTGGTAATTAGCACTCAGTGGGTGAGTTGAATGTCGAAAAATATAACACATACATGTGCATTTTAAACATTTGTTTAAACATTTCACACATATAAATTATTAATTTGCAATCAAAGAACTAACATTATTTACTTGGTTTAATAACCATCAAAATTATATTTCCCAAGTTCTATTCATATAATTATTTTATTGAAAGTGTACCTTAAATACGAATATATATAAATAATGTGCTGTAAATTAATAATATGGGTTTATCCCAATTATTTGTTTTGATCCCTCGGTGTCAAAAATGCACTTTTCACCCCTCTCACCTACTCCACCTTGCCACTGACATCTATGTCCGACCTGTGACCTTTCTCCCTTCCCATCTGAAAGTTCCCAACTTCCCAGACATACACTACATCAGCAGGCTACCCCTCTTTGTCCCTCACATCAAACTACATATCCAAAAACATAATACAAGCAAAATCGTGCAAGGAAAAAATGTACAAGCTGCAATTGACATAACTTGGAAAGAAATGTACGAGATATGTCTACCATCCCCACACATAAAAACATACCTTACATACGTGCTTCATCATTGTCCGTATCAAGAATGTAAAACCTTTTACGAAATGTCACTATCAGCAGTCAAGGCTTCTAGCACACTTTGAAGATTAGGATTTCATCGCTGACCACTAACATCCCCGAGACAGACCGAAACTCATGCCTCAGCTGTACGGATCTGGTCAGTGTAAACAATAGTCAACATGTCCAAGGTGAATTTCAGCTGATCTGGACCTTACTGCAAGCTTTGGGATCAATATCGTTTCTGATAATGGTGCCATGTGGCCAACTAGGCTGAACACGTTTCTCAGATAGCAAACTTCCAGCCTCTTGTAGAAGACTGGCGCTGCTGTTGGAGACTTTGGAAGAGGTGATTTCTCCCAATACTTTACGCAGAATATTTAAATTTCTATTAAGTTATACATCTAGGACTTAGTATTACCATTAAAAGAATGTATTTCTAAATTAATTCTTTTTATAAAAGTGTGTATTTCTCTGCTATAGTTATAGACATCCATGCAGCAAGGTTGCCATTATTCTAATACAGAGTAAGAAATAGTGTCCACTTATGTCAGCTGAACCCTCAGTTACATAGCAGTAGAGTGTGTTCATATAAGAAGGGATTTAAAAAGTTTCGATTTAAAATTAAACAAATCAATTTACTCTTCCCATTTCAGCAAAGCAACTCTGTACCTATTTGACAAGATTCAATGTTTAAACTTAAATTGATTATCAATACAGCTAACACTTCTTTCCTTAAGCATAATCGTATGTCAATGTTCTAATAAATCCTGGAAGTTAAACTGCTTGCCTGATTCTATTACAAGCGTTGCAACACCGATCCATTAATAAATATATGTCCATATAAAGGATATTGAAAGGTTTAGAGATAATTTCAGCCAACATTACAACTCTGTTAGTTTAAATTTGATTTATAGCAGTAGTGGAGTTCAATATTTTGACACGGAATTTGTCATGCCAGAATGCCACTCATGTAAGATAATCACACACACACACTCCCCCTCACATTCTCATTAACACATTTCCCCCCTACTTAGACAGAGAAATTAACCCCTGACATTTTACTGGCATCATCAGATGGGTGTACAACCTGGGCAGTAATAGTGCATCTAACTGAGAGAACAGTACCACTGTGAATGGTTTACATTTCATTCATACAATGGTATTTATATTTATATATATACAAAAACAAAACAATAACTGATTATCATGATTATCAATTGTAAAATATCAACTGTCAGCCTTAACAGTATGTAACCGTCTAAATTCAACAATAATCTTATCGGGAGTAAAAGTAGATAACTGTGATTCTTCTGTCCTCTCATACATTTGTCTTAAAAATACTTTAAACAATAACTTGTGTACACATAAAACAACTTCACAAGTAGTTGTTAATCGTTTTCAGCAAAATATCACTGACAGGTCTCCACAAAATGTTCTCCAGTCAACTGTTTAACTGATATTTACCGATATAGGATACAAAAACTGTTAACATGTACATCAACAAAGACATGACATAAATATTACCTTCAGAACATGTAAATCCATTCCCTCCCACTGACAAAGAACTTCTCAGAGTACGAGCCCTAACAGCCCACCCTCTGCAAAAAAAAGTCTTGTTTTGATTAGCACGTTTCCTCCCACTAGATATCATTCCGATTGGCCACCATTTGCTGCATGTCGACCCACCTGTCTCCCATAAAGTCAGGAGGCTGTGTAGGTCAGTCCTCAAAACAATAGCGCCAGGCAGAGACGATAGACAGACAAAAATTGCAGCTCCACATCAGCGAAGCTCATTACAAGTTGGCGTACACCAGGGCTGCATATTCCCTCCAGTCATATTTACATGTGTCTCATACAAGTTGCTCATTACTGGCATAACTCAGTTGGGAGACTGGGTGCTTCTACTCTTCAGCCAGGACATGTATACTCGTGCTGTTTTTTTATGTCATAGCAATCTTTTGTGATACATGTTGTTTTAGAAATTTAAATACCAATTGAAATACCAGTATTTAAGCTGAGCAATAATGATATCCTTTTTCATTTGCTATTTTGGTTATCTTGATCTTGCACAAGTACTTACATAAATGTTTTATTATTGATAACATTCATCAGAGCATCCTCAATACTTCATTTTCATTTGTTTGAAATTCGAAGGCAGGAATTTATGGACGTCAACTTCTAGTCTTGGTATTTCATTCACCTGATGAAGGAGTAAGAATATACTCTGAAACATCATGACCCTCAAAATAAAGAGGCTGACATCCATAAATTCTCTCCTTTATGTGTATCACTTCTGAATGACGTTCAAAGACTCTGTTATAAATTTGTTTCATTTTTATGGAATAGAGCATAATTTTGTAGCTCATGTTCAAATGATGATCAGGAGAATGTGACACTAGAGCCTGTTAACCATATCCACGCTATATACTGGATTTCATCTTCTAATCAATTAATGTCAACATGCCTGACTGTAACTCATTAGAAGACATTCATAATCAAACTTTTAATTCAGATTTCAATATTGGCATGTGTCAGCATTTCTCTCATATCAAGTAACAACATGTAATGGCGGAGTCCTCATTAGTCATTTGACAATAGGGGATTAGGATTACATAAGATTGAAGAAAACCATTGCCACTCACAAATTGTTATGCACTTGTACTGATGAAATCTGGGTTTACATAATGATGGGATTGATTGATCTTGGATCTGACAAGAGCTTGTTAACTACAGTAATCAGGCCACTGGTCATATTGTCTTGTCATGTTACAATTATGGGAACATCAATAATAAGATTGGAGCCAGTGCATCACCCGGCCTCACACACACATGGTTGATCAGATAAAACAAAAGATTCTTCAAATATTTCTGTTTTGTTCTTATAAGGTATTATTTAATACACATGTCTTGGTTTTTACCAACTCTTAAGCAGATCCTGGGTGGAAATATGAACATGCCTTTGAATATATTTTAAGTGAGTCAGTGAGAATGAATTGAGTTCAACACAAACTTGTTTGAAGATATCACGCACAAAACTAAACAGAGCACATTAATATGGCTTCAGTGACTCATCCATCATTCCTTACAAGCATGCCTTCCAACATTAAGTCTATTATTACTAAATGCACAAGTTAAAGGGAAGGGAATCTTCAAAGGATTAAACAAATTTCTTAACCCAACACAT